GCTTTCCTTCTCCTAGTCACTAGGCCAAACTGTACTGCTCATCTCTGCTCTTTGCATTGCTTTTCACCAACTGCCACTGCCCCCATCCGATGAACGCAGCAACAAGTTGTGAGGCGCAGCAAAAGCTACTAGTTCCTTCCCCTAACCGATGGCGATTCATGCTGCAAGAGTGTGTGGCTACATGGCTCCATGCGATGAGGCGAGTCTTTAGGGGCCTAAACAACGACCTCACAATGCAATGCCAGCTCTGCAGCAATGCCTAGACACATTTTGTCACGTCCGTGCAAGTCGGCGTGCTGGTGGTGGCGCTGCTGCTGCTGCTGCTGCTGCTGCTGGTTGTGGAACAGATGCTTCACTTCTCTCCACCACATACACATCGACTCGAATGCCCTGGAGAAGACCACGAGGAGGGGAAACCCGCGCTACACCACATCACTATTTTGCAAGTCGGTGTGCTGCTGGTGCTGCTGGTTCCGGAATGGGAGCTTCAGTTCTCTCCAGCACATACACATCGACTCGAATGCCCTGGGCGAAAACACGAGACGCAAAAAGATAACACAGTAAACGGTGTGATGCTGAAAACATGTTGTACTGTATGCCATCTCCCCCGCCACCAACTCAACCCCCTCGCCCAAACCTTTCCCCTTCCCACTCCCTCCTCACCTCCATCTCCACAGCCAGTCTTTGCTTCTCCAAAAGGCACACAGCCAAACAGCTACTCTCACGCCTCTTTTTCCGCGGCGTCTCATAGACTCCCTCCCCCATACACACTCCCTTCCCCTCACCTCCATCTCCACAGCCAGTCGTTGCTTCTCATGCAAACACACGCTCAGGCCCTCAACGGCTGCCCTCACGCCCCTGCCCACCGCCATCAGCACTGCCAGTCCTGCAGGGAGAGGAAACAGGGCGGTGGGAGATGAGTGCACAAAGTGCTGGGCTAGCAGTAAGCGCAGCAGACACACACACTGCCAGGCCCTCAACTGCTGCCCCCACACCCATGCCCACTGCCATCAGCACTGCCAGTCCTGCAGGCAGGGGAGCAAGGGGGGTGGCGGGGAGGGACGTAGAGCGGTGGCTGAGCCTGCAAGCCAGCAGTAAGCGCAGCAGACACACACACTGCCAGGCCCTCAACTGCTGCCCCCACACCCATGCCCACTGCCATCAGCACTGCCAGTCCTGCAGGCAGGGGAGCAAGGGGGGTGGCGGGGAGGGACGTAGAGCGGTGGCTGAGCCTGCAAGCCAGCAGTAAGCGCAGCAGACACACACACTGCCAGGCCCTCAACTGCTGCCCTCACGCCCATGCCCACTGCCATCAGCACTGCCAGTCCTGCAGGCAGGGGAGCAAGGGGGGTGGCGGGGAGGGACGTAGAGCGGTGGCTGAGCCTGCAAGCCAGCAGTAAGCGCAGCAGACACACACACTGCCAGGCCCTCAACTGCTGCCCTCACGCCCATGCCCACTGCCATCAGCACTGCCAGTCCTGCAGGCAGGGGAGCAAGGGGGGTGGCGGGGAGGGACGTAGAGCGGTGGCTGAGCCTGCAAGCCAGCAGTAAGCGCAGCAGACACACACACTGCCAGGCCCTCAACTGCTGCCCCCACACCCATGCCCACTGCCATCAGCACTGCCAGTCCTGCAGGCAGGGGAGCAAGGGGGGTGGCGGGGAGGGACGTAGAGCGGTGGCTGAGCCTGCAAGCCAGCAGTAAGCGCAGCAGACACACACACTGCCAGGCCCTCAACTGCTGCCCTCACGCCCATGCCCACTGCCATCAGCACTGCCAGTCCTGCAGGCAGGGGAGCAAGGGGGGTGGCGGGGAGGGACGTAGAGCGGTGGCTGAGCCTGCAAGCCAGCAGTAAGCGCAGCAGACACACACACTGCCAGGCCCTCAACTGCTGCCCTCACGCCCATGCCCACTGCCATCAGCACTGCCAGTCCTGCAGGCAGGGGAGCAAGGGGGTGGCGGGGAGGGACGTAGAGCGGTGGCTGAGCCTGCAAGCCAGCAGTAAGCGCAGCAGACACACACACTGCCAGGCCCTCAACTGCTGCCCCCACACCCATGCCCACTGCCATCAGCACTGCCAGTCCTGCAGGCAGGGGAGCAAGGGGGGTGGCAGGGAGGGACGTAGAGCGGTGGCTGAGCCTGCAAGCCAGCAGTAAGCGCAGCAGACACACACACTGCCAGGCCCTCAACTGCTGCCCTCACACCCATGCCCACTGCCATCAGCACTGCCAGTCCTGCAGGCAGGGGAGCAAGGGGGGTGGCGGGGAGGGACGTAGAGCGGTGGCTGAGCCTGCAAGCCAGCAGTAAGCGCAGCAGACACACACACTGCCAGGCCCTCAACTGCTGCCCTCACGCCCATGCCCACTGCCATCAGCACTGCCAGTCCTGCAGGCAGGGGAGCAAGGGGGGTGGCGGGGAGGGACGTAGAGCGGTGGCTGAGCCTGCAAGCCAGCAGTAAGCGCAGCAGACACACACACTGCCAGGCCCTCAACTGCTGCCCTCACGCCCATGCCCACTGCCATCAGCACTGCCAGTCCTGCAGGCAGGGGAGCAAGGGGGGTGGCGGGGAGGGACGTAGAGCGGTGGCTGAGCCTGCAAGCCAGCAGTAAGCGCAGCAGACACACACACTGCCAGGCCCTCAACTGCTGCCCCCACACCCATGCCCACTGCCATCAGCACTGCCAGTCCTGCAGGCAGGGGAGCAAGGGGGGTGGCAGGGAGGGACGTAGAGCGGTGGCTGAGCCTGCAAGCCAGCAGTAAGCGCAGCAGACACACACACTGCCAGGCCCTCAACTGCTGCCCTCACACCCATGCCCACTGCCATCAGCACTGCCAGTCCTGCAGGCAGGGGAGCAAGGGGGGTGGCGGGGAGGGACGTAGAGCGGTGGCTGAGCCTGCAAGCCAGCAGTAAGCGCAGCAGACACACACACTGCCAGGCCCTCAACTGCTGCCCTCACGCCCATGCCCACTGCCATCAGCACTGCCAGTCCTGCAGGCAGGGGAGCAAGGGGGGTGGCGGGGAGGGACGTAGAGCGGTGGCTGAGCCTGCAAGCCAGCAGTAAGCGCAGCAGACACACACACTGCCAGGCCCTCAACTGCTGCCCCCACACCCATGCCCACTGCCATCAGCACTGCCAGTCCTGCAGGCAGGGGAGCAAGGGGGGTGGCGGGGAGGGACGTAGAGCGGTGGCTGAGCCTGCAAGCCAGCAGTAAGCGCAGCAGACACACACACTGCCAGGCCCTCAACTGCTGCCCCCACACCCATGCCCACTGCCATCAGCACTGCCAGTCCTGCAGGCAGGGGAGCAAGGGGGGTGGCGGGGAGGGACGTAGAGCGGTGGCTGAGCCTGCAAGCCAGCAGTAAGCGCAGCAGACACACACACTGCCAGGCCCTCAACTGCTGCCCCCACACCCATGCCCACTGCCATCAGCACTGCCAGTCCTGCAGGCAGGGGAGCAAGGGGGGTGGCGGGGAGGGACGTAGAGCGGTGGCTGAGCCTGCAAGCCAGCAGTAAGCGCAGCAGACACACACACTGCCAGGCCCTCAACTGCTGCCCCCACACCCATGCCCACTGCCATCAGCACTGCCAGTCCTGCAGGCAGGGGAGCAAGGGGGGTGGCGGGGAGGGACGTAGAGCGGTGGCTGAGCCTGCAAGCCAGCAGTAAGCGCAGCAGACACACACACTGCCAGGCCCTCAACTGCTGCCCCCACACCCATGCCCACTGCCATCAGCACTGCCAGTCCTGCAGGCAGGGGAGCAAGGGGGGTGGCAGGGAGGGACGTAGAGCGGTGGCTGAGCCTGCAAGCCAGCAGTAAGCGCAGCAGACACACACACTGCCAGGCCCTCAACTGCTGCCCTCACACCCATGCCCACTGCCATCAGCACTGCCAGTCCTGCAAGGGTTTATTTGGGCATAGGATTGAGTCGAACTGGGATAAACAAAACTGAGGAGCGTGAGGCTTCCACGTCAAGGGATAAATGGTTGCCTAAACGCCTACTCACCTGGAGTGGTGTGGGAATAAGACTGCGGATAATGTGAAAGGGAGGGTGATGTGAAAGGGTGGGTGATGTGAGAGGGAGGGTGATGTGAAAGGGAGGGTGATGTGAAAGGGTGGGTGATGTGAGAGGGAGGGTGATGTGAGAGGGAGGGTGATGTGAAAGGGAGGGTGATGTGAAAGGGAGGGTGATGTGAAAGGGAGGGTGATGTGAAAGGGAGGGTGATGTGAAAGGGAGGGTGATGTGAAAGGGTGGGTGATGTGAAAGGGAGGGTGATGTGAAAGGGTGGGTGATGTGAAAGGGTGGGTGATGTGAGAGGGTGGGTGATGTGAGAGGGTGGGTGATGTGAGAGGGTGGGGTGATGTGAGAGGGTGGATAACATGTGGTGTTACACAATCGCCAGACAGGTGTTGGGGCGGGCAGACGTGAGGGTGTTTGGGGCAAGTTGAATACGCACCCGTGGTCTGAAGAAGGCGTCTAACGCCGAAACCGGTTACCATCACCCTTTACACAAGCGTTCCCTACGCAAACACAATTTCACCTACCCTGGTATCATACACAAGTAAATTGCTGCCACGTATTGAACAATGGCCTCCAAATGGGGCTTGTTTGGGGCAAGTTGAACGTGCCTGTTTTTGAGAATTCTCAAAAACCAGGGCGGGCAGACGTGAGGGTGTTTGGGGCAAGTTGAATACGCACCCATGCCTGGAGTCAATACACGTGCTACCTGAGAGTTTATTGAGCAGGCACGAAAAAAAGTAAAGAAAGGAAGATAAAAAATCACAATTGTTTATTTATGTGATGCGGAGTGAGTACTCGGCCTGGGAGACACAAGAAAAAAAAAAAATTGTCGAGGCATTTCACAAAGAGAACATGCAGAATGAGCGGCAGCAGTTGCGGGCGAGCAGGGTAGAACAGAATGTTCTCAATCTCTTGGATTCAGAGCCCCCTCTTCCTCACACACACACACACCTGCCGGATCACTGCAGGGCATAGCCTCTCCCTCATCTTGAAGTTTCCTGGAAGCAGCGCATGCACCAGGGCAAAGCATGGAGAACACAGACAGAGTAAGGGGAGGAGGATGGGGCATGGGGCATAGGTATGGGCAATGGGCTTGGGTATGGGCATGGGGTATGGGCAATGGGACATGGGGCAAGGAATACGATATGACAATTCTGAACTACTTATAGAGTACTGACTAACTAATGATGATTGACAAAGCACTGTGGGCACCTCCCTAAGAGCACTCACCACACCACACCCCAGAGGGCATGTAGGTCTACCCGTCTCTACCACTTCTCACCGCTCTTCACTACTTTTCACCAAACTGCACCGTACCTTCTGAAGGACTCACCACACCTGACCCCAAAGGGCATGTCACAGAGCACCCAAACCACACATGGACACCCCACTTAAGCACCTCTGCCTCTTTCCACCACTTGTCACCACTTCTCACTGCTTCTCACCGTTATTCACCACTCACCACACCTGACCCCAAAGGGACACAGAGCACCCGATCCACACTTGGACACTCCAGCTAACCACCTTAACCAGTTTCAACCGCACTGCACCTCCCTAAATTTTACACTCACCACACCGCACCCCAACATGTCACAGAGCACCCGATCCACACAGCCGGTTCGCAGAGGCAGCGCAGAGGCATCCCAGACAAGCCAATCACAGCCTGCCACGTGGCCCCCTTGGCTCCTATCCCCATTCGCTACAGCCATTCCCAAGGTGCTGCTATTGGCTGCAGCGGTTCTCAATGCGATGCTATTGGTTCCAGCGGCATCAACGCCCCCCGCGTCTTTATCCCCTCCAAATGCACTGACTTGGCTTTTCAACCAATCAGCAGCTTCGAGAGGTAGCGTCCCACAGCCGCACCTGAGAAGGGGGTTGAATGGAGGGGTTCAGTGCGGTGCGGTTTAGTATGGAGGGATACGAGGTCATGCATCAACAGCCCCATTGTCTTTATCCCCTCTGAGTGCACCGACTCGGCATTGCAGCCAATCAGCAGGCTCCAGAGGCAAAGTGCCACAGCCACACCCAAAAAAAGGGGAAGAACAAAGGGGTTCAGTGCGGTGACACGCGGTAGAGAAGGATGTGGCCTGGGTGGATGCCTGCCAGTTGCAGGAGGGCGAAGACCAGCAGCTTTGTAGCACGCATGTACCCTGAGTGACTCTATAACGAGGATGTCTAATCACGAGTACAGGGCCTCACGTGGGGTCGAGCACGATGTGGCCGGGGTGGATGTCCGCCAGTTGCAGGAGGGCGAAAGCAGGGTCAGTGAGAGTGGTGTACTACGTGACTCAATAACGAGTACAAGGCAGGAGCAGGGACTTACATGGGATCCAGCATGATGTGGCCGGGGTGGATGTCTGCCAGTTGCAGGAAGGCCAAGGGCAGCAGGTCTGAGACTGACAGGTGTGCTCCCTGTCTGCAATTCAGTAACGAGTATGTGTAATAACGAGTATGGGGCCTCACTTACATGGGGTCGAGCACGATGTGGCCGGGGTGGATGCCCGCCAGTTGCAGGAGAGCGAATGCACGGTCTGTGAGAGTGGTGTACCCAGTGACTCAATAACGAGGATGCCTTATAACGAGTCATGAGGACTCACATGGGATCGAGCACGATGTGGCCGGGGTGGATGTCCGCCAGTTGCAGGAGGGCGAAAGCGGTGCTGGGGGGGGGGGGATTGCAGGGGGAGAGGAGGGAGGTGGGGAGGTGGGGCCACAAATCATGGGATGAGACTGTGGGAAAGAAGAGAGACAGTGGCAGAGAGAGGGAATGATTCGTCGTAAGATTGTAACAGAAGTAGAGCTGGGGGGACGGGAAGGGGGCTTTCATGCAGGGATTGTCACATGCGGCAAAGAGAACAGACAAACCCACCTGGGCTTGAGGGACGTTGGGAGGAGTAGAGCTGGGGGGGTGTGCTGGGAGGGAGTAGAGGTGTGCCAACTTCCCTCAAACCCAGGTCAGTCTAGTCTCCCTGGGTTTGAGGGGCGTTGGCACGAGGGCCTTGCGGTAGGCGCGAGAAGAGTAGACCTGGGGGACGAGTGATGGGGAGGGAGTTTCCATGCAAGGATTGTCGCATGCGGCAAACCGAACAGACAAACCCACCCACCTGGGCTTGAGGGACGTTGGCACGAGGGCCTTGCGGTAAGGGCGCGAAGAATAGAGCTGGGGAGGAGGATGGGGGAAGGGTTAGTGGGAAGGGGGGGGGGAAGGGGGGGAAGGTGGATATGGAGAAGCGGATTGGGGTTGGGGAGGCATGATGTTGGGATGAGGGCCTTGCGGTAGGCGCGCGAAGAATAGAGCTGGGAAGGAGGATGGGGCAGGGAGGAGAAGCAAGAAAGTGGGAAGAACAGCAGGCGGAAACATTGAGAGGGGGCGGAGGCAGAGCATAGGAACAATGAGGCGCCCCGCACGAGTGGATTAGAGATGGGTTGGAACTTGGAGGGGGCGGGGGGAGGGGAAGGAGGAAGGGAATGGCCAGGGTAACCTTTGAATCCCCAGCCCACATCCCAGACTGCTACACAGTTCTATCCAAACCCATATGCCTCCCACCCACGTGTCTCTCCGAGTTTTGTGATTTCGCTTGAACTGCCCTCGCCCCTTTCTCACTGCCTGATGGGTTAAAATGCAGCTCAAACCCAAACCACACCCACCTGCCTGTCTCCCACCCACCTGTCTCTCTGCGTTGTGTGACCTCGCCTGAACTGCCCTCCCCATGCTCTCTGCCCTCCCTGCTGCTGTCACCCTTGCCGGCATTCTTGCTGTGTTTCCCCTGGGTCGCTAAATCTCACACCCACCTGCCTGTATCATCACCTGTGTCCCACCCACCTGTCTCTCTGCGTTGTGTGACCTTGCTTGAACTGCCCTCCCCGTGTTCTTTTTGCCCTCCCTGCTGCTGTCACCCTTGCCGGCATTCTTGCTGCCTGCCTTGGCCTGCCCCGCCTCATGCTCCCTCAATTGCTCGCTCTGTTGCTCTGTCTGATGCTCCCTCAATTGCTTCGTCTGTTGCTGCTCGCGTTGCTCTTTTTGTTGCTCTGTTGACCCCTCTTCGTTTGCCTTTGGGGAGTCCCTGCAATCAACAATTGATTACATTAGATTAAAGAAGCTACAACAAGCAGCTAAACCAGTTTTTTGAGTTGACTCAAAATTAAGTTTGCCTTTGGGGAGTCCCTGCAAGCAAAAATCACTTGCATCAGACAAGCTACAGCAAGCAGCTGAACCAGACGAGCTATGATCAGACCAGACTGACAAGTCAAAATTGATGAGTTGATGGGCGTAAGACCACCGCAGCCCAGCTGTCTTCTACTGACAGCTCCTAGACCAGACAAGCTACAGTCAGACTTTTGAGTCGACTCAAAAGTCACCTGTCTTCTACTGACAGCTCCTAGACCAGACAAGCTACAGTCAGACTTTTGAGTCGACTCAAAAGTCACCTGTCTTCTACTGACAGCTCCTAGACCAGACAAGCTACAGTCAGACTTTTGAGTCGACTCAAAAGTCACCTGTCTTCTACTGACAGCTCCTAGACCAGACAAGCTACAGTCAGACTTTTGAGTCGACTCAAAAGTCACCTGTCTTCTACTGACAGCTCCTAGACCAGACAAGCTACAGTCAGACTTTTGAGTCGACTCAAAAGTCACCTGTCTTCTACTGACAGCTCCTAGACCAGACAAGCTACAGTAAGACTGACAAGTCAAGAGTAGATGAGAGTTCGATGTGATGATTCGTGGCACAGCAAGCAGGAGAGGCAAGAGAAGGGGGGGCTCTCGCGCTTCGATGAGCGCGACGAGCAGAGTGAGATGAGAGGATGAGGGGAGGAGGGATTGAGCGGCAGGGGTGAAGGGAGGAGAGGGCAGGGGTAGGAAAGAAAAGAACTCTCACGCGTAGATGAGTGAGACGAGCAGAGTGAGAAGGGGAGGACGAGGAAGAGGAATGGAACAGTAAGGACGAACGAAGGCAACGCACGAGAAGGGGAAAGGGAAGGGCTCTCACGCGTAGATGAGTGAGACGAGCAGAGTGAGACTGGAGTCCCGGATCCATGCTAGCACGTCCACTGGGAAGAGAGGAGGGGCGAGACAGAGGAGATGCTCAAGAAAGGAACCCAAAGGCGGAGTACGATAAGACTCGTTCTTTATCACACTACATTCTCTAAACTACTATTTTTTATGCCTCCTGGCTGTCTGCGCACTCACACTCAAACTGCCGAAGGCTGACAGTCCAGGACGGGAAGATTCCCAGAAGGCCCTCGCCCAACGCACCTGTGAGGGAGGGCAGATGCGGACGCAAATGCAGAAGCATGGGAAATCACAGATGCGGCTGTCAGTCATCCTTGACGGATCATGCGTGAAACAATGATAGAGGTAGGTTGATGGTACTATGAATGAGCCGTGAGGGGAGGGGAACCAATGCCCCCCTGCAGATGCATGAGACAGCGCAGATGCAGGCTCATGCATGAAATCCCATGTGCTCATCACGTGCTGTCAGTCCTCCTTGAAGTCTCATGCACGTGATGTGACAACGCCAGAGGTGGGTTGTTACCAAGTACAGTGAGTGAGCCAAGTACAGTGAGTGAGCCAAGTACAGTGAGTGAGCCAAGTACAGTGAGTGAGCCAAGTACCGCGAGGTCTCATGCACGTGATGTGACAGTTACCAAGTACAGTGAGCGAGCCTCGAGGGTAAAACACATACCAGCAGCTTCAGGGGAGGAGAACCCGTGCTTGCTCTGCTTCATACACACATGCACGCATTAACGCATGCACACATGCACTTGTATGCATACATGCGTATAACGAGGACGTACCAGCAGCTTCAGGGGAGGAGAACCCATGTTTAGTCTGCTTCATACACACACGATGACAAGTCACTCTAAAGTGCAGCCCTCCCTGCCTCTCTGCTGTTCCTCCTGCTGCTTCTGCTGCTGCCTCCGCTGCTTTGCCTCCCGCAGGTGCTCCCTCAGGTGCTCCTTCAGGTGTTCCCCCAGGTGCTCCTTCAGGTGGTGTCACATCAGCAGTGTCTGTTGCCCCAGTCGTTACCACCACCGCACCCTCTCCCTCCTGCTGCAGCCTCTTCCTCGCAGGTGATTTTCCATGCGCTTCAGCAGATGATGACGTCAGGTCCTTTCTGCTTTCGCCTGCTGATGACGTCATCCCATCCTCCCTGCGCTGCTGCCATTGGTGAAAGAGCGAGAGGGCTGGCTGCCAGTCTATCTGCTGACGTGGCAGGTGGGATAAAGAGGGGGGGAACGGAATAGAGAACATAGCCTAACTGCTAGGAGTTTAGTCATTGCATGGCATGCCAATGATGAGCTGGCGTTGCTGACCTGGCATTGCTGAGCTAGCTATGCTGAGCTGGCAATGCACAACCAATGGAAAGTCGGCACGGCAGCAAATCATACCTGAGCTGGCAGTGCAGTGAAGTAGTCAATGGCCTCCTTGCCATGTGGCACGTCCTGATTGGTCAAGCAGCAGAGCAAAGGGGTGGTGGAGAGCGATAAGGGGAGGGACAAGAGGAGGAATGAGGAAAGGGACGAGGAGAAAGCGGAATGGGTATAATTATCCAGTGCCTTCAGGCTTCAGCTGATCATTATTCAGACCTCTAAATCAAATCGTTATGTAACGTACATCTCTTGAGGCTACAAACGCGTATAGGTTGTCCACCGCCCTCAGCTGCTGCAGCTCCTGTGATCAGTGGAAAATAATCAAAGCAGGATCAGGCAAGAGATATAGTAGGCTCAGGTTTCAAAATTGGCGTTCAAGAATCAGGGATCCAGATTTAGGGTTAAGGGTTTCAGATTCTTGGTTTGAGATTCAGGGAGTAAGGTGTCATGCTTTCACTTCCCCTCCTCTTCCTCCCTTCCCTCTTCACTCCCCACGTATCCTCTTCATGTCATCACAACCCGCTCTTTCTGGGAACCTTCGCGCACCCACCTCAGCAGCAGCGTCAGTGGTGAACCTCACCCCGCCATGCACCGTGCTGACGTCATACACCCTCCCCGCCAGCCTGGCGGCCAGCTGGCACCGCAAAAACGGGGGTGGGTGTAAGACGGAGGGTGAAGAGGAGTTTAGAATGGTTTGGAGGGAATAAGGATTAGACTTATCAGAGGAGACTAGGTTGCGGGTCCTCAGAAGCGGCGCATTGCAAGTAGGCTTCCCTTATAAACGGTTCTTATACATTCCAGAGATATAGGAGACTTAGCTAATCCATGGGTACGCACTCAACATATCATGAGTTGCGGAGACCGCGTAGCAGTGGCAGGGTCGCCTGCATTGCAACACTCGCGCGTCGCGCGCGGGTCGAGAGAGAAACCCGTGTTTTGCGAGGCTCTCACCTCATCTCGCAGCGCGAATTCAAGCCCCGCTGACGTAGTTCCGAGGTAAGCCATAGAGGTAAGCCATGGTTCCGGACGGCATGCTCACAGTCGCATTATTTTCCTGTTTTGAACGTAGCGTCAACGCACATTGGTTCTGTGGTGCAGTGGTTAGCACTCTGGACTTTGAATCCAGCAACCTGGGTTCGAATCCCGGCAGAACCTGCAGTTTGTAGGTTTCTGTTTTGGCGCGCTTCCCCGTTTAGGGGAATCCCTTGAAGTTGGATCCCCGTTTAGTGGGCCGAACGGCTCCCCTGACGGCTGATTTGGCGGGACAGTTATTGAGTTTGGTCAAGGCAGAAGGTTCTATCTTTAAGAGTGGTTGCGCGTGGTGCTATTACTCTCGTTGGGATGCAGTGTGGTACAGAGTGGTGGAGCCTCGACGACCACCATAACTTCCCTCGAACACAATCAGGATTGATCCAGATTGGTGGGATACGGGCTAGGGGATTAGAGACCGCTAGAGTAGGAACCTCTTCAGCTGTTCCGGAGAGATCTTTTATCATACGCTCTTGCGGCAGTTCTGGTAGATCCTGAAAACATCCGAATCTAGAAACTACGCATTGTTCTCGTTCGATTTCAGTTAGCTCTCCCTGAATATCCACGTCGTGAACTCGACGTCCTTAGCGTTCCGATGATCAGCTGAAGCTCGCTTAGCTCATTCCCGTTGTTTTCTCGTGGCGTAGCCAATGCCGTGGCTGGCCCATCTTTTTCTCCTGCGCGAAATTTCTAAAGCTGGAAGTTTTCGCTTGATCAGGCTGGCGGTCGCGAACATTCCGATTTCCGTTCCAATCCGGTAACCAGTTCCCCCGTCGCGAAAGTTGTTGATCGTCACCCTTCGCGATGGCCATCCGTTTCACGGTGAACAAATTTCCGCTAGATCCGGAATCGCGCGACGCGACGGGTCTGCCGTGGGGCTGCGTCGTCCAACCATTCGCTCTCGATGACGAAGCGGGAATTCCGGGAAGCGGCGTCGCGGCTAGCGTCGGCACCGGCGGAAGCAGCATTCGAAAATCGTCTTCTAATTCCTCTTTCCCGCGCTTCGGCTCGTCGTCTTCTCTTAATTCCGCGTCTGGCGGCGCGGCTCTGCAGCCGCTTCCCGCTGCGCTTTCCCCCGCACCGCTTCCGCTAGCCGATGACGTGGCGCGATGCGAGGATTGCTACGCGTATATCAATCCGTACTGCGTGATCGATCGGTTTTCCTGGCGGTGCTCGCTGTGCGACGTCGTGAATCCGTTCAGCGACGCGGAGCTGCGTCGCTACGGGGGATCGAACGTCGCAGACGTCGCAGAGCTGTCGCACACGCTCGTCGAGCTGGACGTTGCCGCGGAGGGCGACCCAGACGAAGTGGAATTCGAACAAGGAGAGTCGCAGGGCGACGGAGAGGTCGCGGGTTCGATCCCGCATGGATTGGGAGAGCCAATCAGCAGCTGCCACGTGTTGGACGAAGCGGAGATCCGCAAGCGGCCGGTGTATATCGCCATGGTTGACGTGTCAGGCTCAGAGGAGTTTTTGGAACTCGTTAAGAGCTCGCTTCTGGCCGCGTTAGAAGCGCTTTCGCCTGCTGCACTGTTCGGTCTGGTTACGTTCGGAAGCAAGGTGAGCACTTCGCACAGGTGAGTTTCGCTAGTCAGTGGAGATGGACAGGTAACGGCGTTGTAACGTTATCTGAAGATAGTGAGCTACAAAAATGGGAAATAGATTGAAACGGTTAGTGTCCCTCCGTCTCTCGCCCTCCTCCCTCCCCCCTCTCCCCCACACCACCAGGTGGTTCTGTAGGATTTGCAGGGGCCCGTAGCAGCACTCACATCCGTAGCCATCCTCGCATAACCTTACAACCCGCTCCACCCCTCCGCACCACTCCCCACTCCCCCCTACCCTACCAGGTGGGTCTGTACGACCTACAGGGGCCAGTAGCAGCAGTCAAGTCCGTCACCATCCCCGCTTCCCCTTCCAACCGCCTGCCTCTAGCCCTGGGCGATCTCCTCCCCCTCCCCGCCTTCCTCGCGTCTCTCTCGCGCCACAAGGACCACGCCACTGCCGCCCTCGAAACCCTCCGCCCCAACCCTCTCTCCTTCTCCTCCCTTCCTCGCTCCCTCCCTCCCTCCCCTCCCTCCCCCCCTTTACCGCCCCCATACACAGGTAGGACTGTACGATCTACAGGGGCCGGTAGCAGCAGTGAAATCCGTCGCCATCCCCGCTTCTCCCTCCCACCGCCTGCCTCTAGCCCTGGGCGATCTCCTCCCCCTCCCCGCCTTCCTCGCGTCCCTCTCGCGTCACAAAGACCACGCCGCTGCCGCCCTCGAAACCCCACCCCACTCCTCTCTTCTTCTCCTCCCTCTCTCCCTCCCATCCCTCCCTCTCTCCCTCCCTCCCTCGCTACCAGGTCGGTCTGTACGATCTACAGGGCCCCGTAGCAGCAGTGAAGTCCGTCGCCATCCCCTCCTCTCCCTCCCACCGCTTACCCCTAGCCCTGGGCGACCTCCTGTCTCTCTGCCTTCACCCCCTACCCCCCCCTACACAGGTCGGTCTGTACGATCTACAAGGCCCTGTAGCAGCAGTGAAGTCCGTCGCCATCCCCGCCTCCTCTGCTCACCGCTTACCCCTAGCCCTGGGCGATCTCCTCCCCCTCCCCGCCTTCCTCGCATCCCTCTCGCGCCACAAAGACCACGCCGCTGCCGCCCTCGAAACCCTCCGCCCCGACCCTCCCCCCCTTGATTTGGACGCGTCTGGAGGGGGGAAGAGCGGCGGGGGGAAGGGGGGAGCGGCGCAGGGCGCGGGGGGGAAGGGCGGAGCGGGGAAGGGGGGAAAGGACGCGGAGAGAGGGGGGAGGAGGGACGGGGTTAGGGGATTTGGAACGGCTTTAGACGCTTTGATTAGGTATCTAGGGGGTATGGAGGATGGTCCGAGTGCTAGAATAGCCAGAGGGCTTCGAGCTGACGTCATCAGTACCAGTGGCAGTGGTGGTGGTGGTGGGGGTAACGTGAGCATTGCTGCAGCAGCAGCGGCAGCAGCGGCCGCAGGGGAAGTAGGATCGTTTGTAGGGGCCAGATTACTGGTTTTCCTGTCCGGAGCCCCGAACCACGGTATGGGGGCGTTGAGTACGGTTCGGTACGATACAGCGCTTGCCAGCCTGGCTGTAGCGGCTAGTGAGAGAAGCAGGAGCGCCAAGGATGTAGCAGACCCGGCTGTAGCGGATAAGGGGTTGCTACAGGAGCAAACGCCGTTTTATAGGGAGTTAGCTGCGGCTGCAGTGCAAGCAGGGGTGTGCGTGGATCTGTTTGCTGTACCGAGTTATGCTAGTAACGGGGATGAAGGTGCTAGTAGAGAGGGCGGGGGTGCGGTAGCTGCAGATTCTGCTGCTGCTGCTGCCGCTGCTGCTGCTGGGGTATCTGCTGTGACTATTGCCGATCCTCCTCCCTCCCCCGCTCCCTCCCTGCCCGTCCCATACTGTGACCTAGCCTCTCTCCGTTGCCTAAGTGTGGAAAGCGGGGGTACTCTGTTTCTTTACCCTTCTTTAGACGAGGCAACCCTCCCTCAAGACATTTACCGCATGCTTTGCCGACCCTCCGCGTTCGGCGGGGTGCTCCGGCTCCGAACCTCCCGGGAGCTTCGGGCCGTCCGAGCCTACGGGCACTTTTTCCCCGATGCACAGTATGAGAATCTGTATCATATCATTCGGTGTGACCCTTTTGATTCGTACGCATTTGACTTGGAATTTGCGGGGAAGGCTGGGTTTGGAGTGAAGGGGAGGGGTGGGAGAGACAAGGGAGGGAGCGGCGGTGGTGGTAACCGGGGGGCAGTGTTACAGCTGGCGTTTCAGTATACGGTGATTATTCCGGTGGAAGGGGGAGGGGAGAGGGTCGAGGAGGGTGGGGGAGGAGGGGGTGGGGCGGGTAATGGGGCGGCTAGTAACGGGGATGGGGCTGCTACTGGTGTGAATGGGACTGCAGGTGGTGGGATGGAGGGAGGAAAGGGGAAGGTAGGAGGGGGAGAGAAGGAAGGGGAGAAGGAGGGGGAAGGGGGAGGAGGTGGGGTGGGGACCGGCAACAGCAGCAGTGGGAGGAAGGGTGGGAGGAGGAGAGGCGTGGTGCTGAGGCGGAGGCTGAGAGTGAAGACGATATGTGTGGATGTGGCACAAGGGGCGAGGGAGATATACGAGTCTGCTGATAACGAGGCCATTCTCACTGTTCTCACACACAAGGTGAGTCTTAAGGGGGAATGGAAACAGTGGGAGGAATGGGAAGGGTGGGAAGAGGAGAGGGGTGGTGCTGATGGGGTTGGTGCTGAGGAGAAGGCTGAGAGTGAAGACGATATGTCTGGACGTGGCACAGGGGGCGAGGGAGATATACGAGTCTGCTGATAACGAGGCTATCCTGACTGTTCTCACACACAAGGTGAGTCAAACAGAGGAAGGGAAGCAGTGGGAGGGGGGGGAAGGGTGGAAGGAGGAGAGTGGAGACGATATGTGTGGATGTGGCACAAGGGGAGATTTACGAGTCTGCTGATAACGAGGCCATTCTGACTGTTCTCACACACAAGGTGAGTCAATTGGGACGAAGGGAAGCAGTGGGAGGGGTGGGAAGGGTGGAAGGAGGAGAGTGGAGACGATATGTGCGGATGTGGCACAAGGGGAGATTTACGAGTCTGCTGATAACGAGCCTATTCTGACTGTGCTCACACACAAGGTGCGTCTTTACCAGTGTTGAGACATCTTATGACTGGAGGTTGCACAAGGGGTGAGGGAGATTTATGAGTCTGCTGATAACGAGGCCATTCTCACAGTTCTCTCACACAAGGTGTGTGGTCTCTTCTCTTCGTCTAGTTTACGGAAGAGGGTGTGTGAACTCTTCTCTTGGGGAGGGCAGGTTTCTTTTGCAGGACTGGCTGGTCATTCTCACGGCCCACTACAACCACGCCTTCGGCCTCGCCCAGTTCGACCAGCACTCTCCCTCTGCCTCTCCCTTTCCCTCTCCCTCGGGCAGGTTATACGTGCATCACTAGAGGAAGGCGTGAGGGAGGGTAGACTCCTCTTGCAGGACTGGCTGGTCATCCTCACGGCCCACTACAACCAGTCCTGTCCCTGTCCCTCTGTCCCTCTACCTCTGGCAGGTCATCCGTGCATCCCTAGAGGAAGGTGTAAGGGAAGGTAGGCTCCTCCTTCAAGATTGGCTGGTCATTCTCACGGCCCACTACAACCACGCCTTCGGCCTCGCTCAGTTTAACCAGCCCCACTCTGTCACTCGCCTAGACGTCTCCTTCTCAGCCTGCCCGCAGCTGCAGCCGCTGCCTCGGCTGGCCTTTGCCCTATTGCGCTCTCCTCTGCTGCAGCTGCCAAGGGAAGGGGTTCATCCGGACCTGCGCACCTTCCTGCACTGCCTTTACAGGTGAGGCCGTGAGAGCTCCGTACCACTCTCCACCCCTCTCTGCCTCTCTTCAGCCCAGTTCAACCAGCCCCACTCGGTCACTCGCCTAGACGTCTCCTTCTCAGCCTGCCCGCAGCTGCAGCCACTGCCACGCCTGGCCTTTGCGCTCCTGCGCTCTCCTCTGCTGCAGCTGCCAAGGGAAGGGGTTCACCCTGATTTACGCACCTTCCTGCACTGCCTCTACAGGTGAGACCATGAGAGCTCTGTACCACTCTCCACCCCTCTCCTCCTCTCTCCTCCTCTCTCCATTCCTCTCTGCCTCTCTCCAGCTCAGTTCAACCAGCCCCACTCGGTCACTCGCCTAGACGTCTCCTTCTCAGCCTGCCTGCAGCTGCAGCCACTGCCACGCCTGGCCTTTGCGCTCCTGCGCTCTCCTCTGCTGCAGCTGCCAAGGGAAGGGGTGCATCCTGATTTGCGTACCTTCCTGCACTGCTTATACAGGTGAGAGTTCTCCACTGCTCTCCATGCTACCTCTCTCTATCTCTTCCTAGCCGTCCCTCGCGCTCGCCGCTGCTGCAGCTGCCAAAAAAAGGGGTTCTTTCTGACCTGCGCATGTTCCTGCACTGCCTCTACAGGTGAGAACTCTCCACCGCTCTCCACCGCTCTCCACCGCTCTTCGCCTCTCAACCACTTTCAACCTCTCTGAACCTCTTCATCTCCCCTCTATACCTCTTTACGCGAGGAAGGGATGCACCCTTACATTGTACTTCGTGCACTGTCTTATATAGGTGATTGCCAAACCCGCCCTCCCTGTCTACCGCTCTCCACCCTTTCTGTTGCTATCCCCACCCTCCCCCACCGCAGTTCCCTGGATCCTTCCTTCCTCATGCGGGCAGTCTACCCCGCCCTCATCTTACACCACTCTGTGCGTCATTCTTTTCCATCTCTACCGCTCTGCACCCCTCTGTTCCCTCCCCCACCGCAGTTCCCTGGACCTTTCATTCCTCATGCGGGCAGTCTACCCCGTCCTCTCCTCCTACACCACTCCCAACCGCCCCACGTTCCCCCGCCACTCCCACCCGCTCCTCTTTCACCGCTCTGTACCTCACTCGTTTCCATCTCCACCACTCTCCACCCCCACTCTCGCCCCTCTTTCCTCCCCCCCCCCCTGTGCAGTTCCCTGGATCCCTCATTCCTCATGCGGGCAGTCTACCCTGTCCTCTCCTCCTACACCACTCCTGATCGCCCCTCCCTGACCACTCTTCCCTCACCGCTCTGTACCTCATTGTTTTCCACCTCTACTGCTCTCCACCCCCTCCGTTGCTATCTTCACCCATCCCCACCCCTCTCCACCGCAGTTCCCTGGACCCCTCATTCCTCATGCGGGCAGTCTACCCCGTCCTCTCCTCCTACTCCACTCCCGACCGCCCCGCCTCTCCATCACTCCCTGAGCTGTGCGGCCGTCTTTCACCACATAGTACCTCATTCTTTTCCATCTTGACCGCTCTCTACCCCTTCTCTTGTCCCCCCAACCCCTCCCAACCGCAGTTCCCTGGGTCCCTCCTTCCTCATGCGGGCAGTCTACCCCGTCCTCTCCTCCTACTCCACTCCCGACCGCCCAACCCTAAACCACTCTTCCTTCACCGCTCTGTACCTCATTTTTTTCCACCTCTACTGCTCTCCACCCCGTCTGTTGCTATCCCCACCCATCTCCACCCCTCCCCACCGCAGTTCCCTGGACCCTTCATTCCTCATGCGAGCAGTCTACCCCGTCCTATCCTCCTACACCACTCCCGACCGCCCAGCCTTCCCCCGCCACTCCCTGAGCCGCGCGGCACTCGTCACCAGCGGCAGCCCAATCTTCCTTCTCGATGCATTCAGCACCATCATCGTCTTCTACTCGCCTGCCGCTCCCCCCGACCTGCCCTTTCCCCCACCGCAAACAAGTGAGTAGCCCTTCTCTTACCCTAGCATGCGCTCCCCAGCCTTCCTCCGCCACTCCCTGAGTCGCGCGGCCCTCGTCACCAGCGGCAGCCCAATTTTCCTGCTCGATGCATTCAGCACCATCATCGTCTTCTACTCGCCTGCTGCCCCTCCCGACCTGCCCTTCCCACCGCCCCAAACGAGTAAGTAGCATGCGTGCAGCGTGCGCTGCTTGCCTTATCCCATGCACCACTCACTGTAACGAGCACCACTCGTCACCAGCGGCAGCCCAATTTTCCTCCTCGATGCATTCAGCACCATCATCGTTTTCTACTCGCCTGCCGCTCCCCCAGGCCTGCCCTTCCCACCTCCCCAGGCAAGTAGCCCTTATCTTACCCTAGCATGCCTGCCCCCTGCTTGCCTCGTCACCAGCAACACTTGTCACTCTCAACACCCCACATCTCCTCTCTGTCATCTCCCTCCCTCCCTCCCCTCCCTCCTTCTGTGCGTCCGTCCCTCCCTCCCCCCCTTCCTAGCATTGCAACGAACGACCATCAACTGGCTGAAGCCGATCGCATAATCACGCCGCGTACAATCACCATTTCCTTTCTCTCCCCATCTTCTCTCTCTTCTCCCTCGCTCCCTCCCTTCCCTCCCAGGCTTGCTGCGAACAACCATCAACCGGCTGAAGGCTGATCGCATAATCACGCCGCGTACAATCACCATCCGGGGAGGCGTGGACAGCACAGCCCCCTTTGAGACGTTTCTGATTGAGGAGCAGGATGTTGATGGGGATGTGGAGGGCGGGGCCGTGGGCATGGGGTTCGTTGCTTTCTTAGAGTCAATTGCTCGCGATGTGCGAGAATACATGAAGTAGTGAAGGGAGGAGGGGTGGAGAGGAGAGGATATCACAGCACGGCACAGCACAGCCCCCTTTGAGACGTTTCTGATTGAGGAGCAGGATGTGGATGGGATGTGAAGGGGGGGCCGGTGGGCATGGTCTTTGTTGCTTTCTTAGAATCGATCGCTTGGGACGTGCGAGAATACATGAAGTAGAGGATGGAGTGGAGGGGAGGAGAGTGGAGAGCACTGCACAGCCCAGCACAGCACAGCCCCCTTTGAGGCGTTTCTGATTGAAGAACAAGATGTGGATGGGGATGTGGAGGGCGGGGCGGTGGGCATGGGCTTCGTTGCTTTCCTTGAGATGTGTGTGGTGTCAAGTACGTAAGAGCGATTCAGAGTATGATATTCCTACCTACCGTACTACCCATATGGAGTGGTTTGATTGAGGCATGTTGTAGGCATAGCACATAGACCAGCATTGACAGTAGTGGTGAAACTGGCAGTGCGTACGCTGCACAGCACCCGTATAAAAGTTCTGATAGTGAGGTGGGCTGAGGAGCAGAATCTGGCAGGGTTGGTTGATTGGGAAGGAATATGGACAAGCTTTGTTGTCATGCTCCTCCTAAAGTCCATCTCGTTACTTGGATTGCGATCTGTGAGAGCACATAAGTATGTACCGTATGCATAGGTACTATACGCATGCATGGAGCAGAAAAGGCATGCTTTTAAGGAGTAGAAGAAAAGAGAACCACGGTAGTAAAATGCTTTGCACACATTCTGCACCGTGATGTGAGGTGCTATGATTTTAGAATTGCTGCCTAGAAGAAATCTGCACAATTCAATAGAGAACCATTTCTATAAATCCACATCACAAATGTGGACCTGTGGATGGAATAACATGCTTCTACATGTCTCCTACAGCTGTTATTGGAGCCAACTGGCCCTTACAGTGTATAAAAAAATCATCAAAGAAAAGAAAAAAACGAACAAGCCATCACTTTCAGGTTTGAACCCTCCTGCCCCGCTAAAAGCCCATCCTCCACTTTCCACGAGACGGCGTCAAGGCAGGAAAAAAGGAGTCCCACAGGGACGCCTTCCCCTTGCCGCCCTGCTTCTCTGCTCCCCCTGCTGCGGCAACTTGACCCTGCAGCACAATCGACGGTCCTAATGCCGCGTCCCCTGCAACGCCGCGCACAGCCGTCGGATGAACTGGAGGACACGCGTTCTCCTTATTCTTCATGTCGTCACGCTTCTTGCGTGAAGCAGCATCAGCATCCTGATCAGCGTTCTTCTCAAATAACCCACAGCTACCCTCGTCTCCTTCCGCTGCGACAAGCCTGTTCTTTTCGTTCGCATCCTCATCGTCTCTACTGCATGGATCAAGAGAAGGAAGGTCGCTGACGTTCGCATCCTTCTGGTATCCAGGTGGACTTACCAGAGAATCGACGGGAGTTCTCGGCGTCAACGAACTGGAAACAGCAGGCGAAATCGCTCCCATCGCTCCAGTCCCGGCGAACGATGTGGTAACCACCGGCTTTCGCCTGGAAGCCGCCTTGATCCACGGATGCGCGACGACCTGCGCCATCGAGATCCGCTCCTCGGGATTCACGGACAGCATTGCGCGAATCAGATCCTTAGCTTCCGCCGATACGGCAGCCCAGGCTCCGCGCGACAAATCCACATTTCCGCGGAGAATTTGACGAATCAGCTGCCGGTCGCCATGGCCTTGAAACGGCATGGCGCAGGAGAGCATTCCGAAGAGAAGCACGCCGAGCGACCAGACGTCGGCTTTCATGTCATACTCCTGGCCGAGAATCACCTCGGGAGCTTCATACGGCCGGCTGCCGGCAGTTCCGACGGTTTTCTCCCCGGGAGCCAGGTGAACCGCCAGGCCGAAATCAGCGAGCTTCGCGAGAACGCGGTCGTCTGAAGCAGTTACTTGCTTCGGTAACGGAGCAGGTGGTAAGGCGGAGCAGTAGTAGTACTGAGGACCGGAGGAGTTGAGAGGGGTGCAGAGGAGTACGTTCTCGAGCTTGATGTCGCGATGCATGATGCCGTTCCGGTGGCAAAAATGGATGGCCTGAGCCACCTGGCGAAAAATCAGAACAGCTTTATTCTCCGGCAATCCCCATGATATACCAGAACGTTGCTTGCTGTTGCTGCTGCTGCTCGAGTTATCACCGGAAGAAGCCTTTCCTCCAGATTTTGCGGAAGTTAAACCGAAACCGAAGCCGCTGCCGTTGCTGCTGCTGCTGCTGCTGCTGAGCCTCGGGAATGGTGCTGCCATTGCTGGTGACGTAAGAAAAGAGATCTCCGACGTCACAAAACTCCATCATTAAATAAATCGCTTCTTGGTCTTCGAAGACGTACTTAAGCTCAATTATGTTGGGATGCTTTCCCGCCATGAAATCGAGAAGAGCGACCTCCTGCCGTAAAAAGTGCTGGTGCAGGAGAGAGTCCTTAAGCGACACTTTAAGGACCTTCTTACACGCGTACTGCTCGCCGGTTCGTCCATCCTCGCACAACCACACCGTACCGAACCGACCTTCACCGATGACCTTGACGAACTTGAGAGCATCCCACGGCGCCTCGGTTGGTCGCCGGAGAAACGAAGATGACGAGTCCATTTATTGTGTCTGGCCTAAAACTATCAGCCGAAGGATAGGAACGGAAACCTAGGGAAGAAGCGGAAAGCGGACAACGGGGAAATGCCTGACCTTCGAACAACTGGCATGCTGATTTTGGATTTCCTCTGTTCAGTCCGAACTGAAGCTATCAGCTATGAACATAACTAGCGTCGAAGTCCACGCAGGGTTGTTCGAACACCGTTCTCGTAGTGTCAGTCCGTATCTCCTAAAAGCTTAACTCGAGTGATAATCTGATCACCAAGGCAGACACAGAAACGGAGCACAATCAAGGCAACGGGAAAATCGCGAAAACGAGAACCAGAGAACCAGCAGACAGGCAGCGAAGTGGATGGAGGAGATGAGACGTGCAATGGAGGGTGTATGTGCGGAGAATCTGGATACTATGAAAGCAAGAGCTTGCTTGGGGGAAGGAAACCCTAGTTACAGTATGGAGGGGGTAGGTTGGGTTGGTGGACGGTGGTGTGTGTGTCATGGCGGAGTTTCGGAGGAAAACGAGTTTGTCTGAAAGTGACGGTGGTGTGGTGTGCGGTGCGGTGCAAGTGAAGCATGATCCAGGCGGGGAGTGAAGTGTGACGTGTGCTGGACGGCGGATATTGACGATGGTGTTGGTTGGACGGTTGCGATGGCGTGGAGGTGTGGTTTGGGTTGGGGAGAGGAGTTTGGCTGCTGTAACGAAGGAGCCGTTCTCGCGCACAGGTTGAATACAGTACAGTATCTTCCGCACAGAAGGGAAGGCCTTTGCGAACGCGTGTTTAGGGCGTGTGTGAATCTAAATGGAGTTCGAAAATAGGTTCGAACTTAGAGTGGTAACTAGTTTCGCAGTTGTTCGCAAATTCTTTCGCCAACTCTGGGGTCAAGCTGATCCTGATGGCACTCGAACCCCCCAAAGTGAACAAGATTCGAGTTTATGAGCAAACATGGTTTTGCACGTTGAAGCGAACGTGTGTGGTTTCAGGCACGTACGAGGAGTTCGCGACAATCGCAAAGCCTTCGTGCACCAATAGATGCACAACCGAAACCCACGGCATACCCATTCAGGCAACTGCCGCCACGTGTATCATGTCGTGGCACGATGACGTGCCGCTTCTGCGCTTGACTAGAAGTTGGCGCACTGGCAGCGAAATTTGCGCCAACAATGTACACCCCACATCAGCCACCATTCGGGGCACGATGATGAGGTGGAGGTCTAGAGGGTCCATTTGGGGGGCGCGCTCCGTTGACGTGTCGCGCTGTCAAGATGTCGAAACTGGGTAACCTACACACCCCAGTGGCGGTTCGGTTCCCCCCCTACAAGCTCGAACTTGCAAATTCGCACTTGCGTGTGTGGTTTTGAGTGTCCAACTTTTGACTCTGGCGGTTCACTTGCTACAATCGAATCCAAAATGCAAACTTATGGTAATATTTAGATTCACACACGCCCTTAGGGGGAGCCAAAGAAGTCGGGTCCGGACTCCAAACTCCCGAGGGAGGAGGGGGGAAGGGGGACGGGGGAGAGAACATGCGAAAAAGCGCCGCTTGGGAGAGTTTTTGGCCAGAGCAGGCAAGGGGGCATGGGGAGGGGATGGGCTGATGAGGCGACAGGTCGGGTTCCCCGCAGCAAAAGCAGAACGATTTTTTTTAGAGGGTAAATAGGATAAAGGTTTACAACTAGAAAGGATGAGTAGTCTCCACATTCTAGACGTGAATAGACATAACTTCGTATTTTGCTACCCATAGCCAGAACTGCCGGCAGTAGGGACTGGTGGTGAAACGCGGCAGTGCCATGTCATACACTCGGCTTGTTGGAGAGACCCCTTTTGAAGCTGGAAAAAGCGCGTTGCTCGGGACCTGTATTACCTGTGACGGCAAAGCGGTCAGGTGACATCCGAACCGAACAAGCAGGTGTATGAGTTTGAGAGGTTGGCCCCAGACCAGGCCCCGATTAAAACAAAAATTGCTCCGCGTAATTCCTCCCCAACCGCAGAATGGGAGCTCATGCATATTTGGGACCAACCACACGGGAATAACAAACAGAAATATCAAGGGTAATGATGCAAACGAGCCGCACATATTCAGTAGCTAAAGTGTCCGAGCCTAGAGCAGACCCACAGAGGGGAAATTGTGGCATGACAGCTGTAAGAACGACAAGGTGACTGTGAGGGTAGCACGGCACAGGCCTCCAAGCCGATCCGCTGTTTCTGGACATCCTATCACAGATTCCCCTTATGGAGACACTCGTGGGCTTCCCCACGGAGTTTTCCTTTACAGGGTAATTGCTACTCTACAGCAAAACAGAATAAAACATAGTGCAATAGGAAGAACTCACAGGTAGTCAAAGCAGAACTGGACCAGCTCTGACTTTTGTTCGGTTCTCATATGAAGGGGGTCGAAAGCCATCACAGGGATGTCTGTTTTCATAATGGACCCCCTCCATAACATTAGTTATCATCCATCTAAATTACAAGTATATTCATATTGTTATTGAGGATAAAGATTTACAAAGAAGACGGGAGCTGGTACCAGTTTTGGCCCAAAACCAACCGCCAGCATTGCTCCGAAGCTACAATACCGTAGATTGGAACACACCTGGAACGAGGCAGCAGCGCCATATTATTAGCTCCTGGAACCCGAAACCCTCAACATTAGCTCCTCCCAGGCTTGCCTCCCACTAAAAGCTCACCCTCCATTTCCTACGAGACGGCGACAGAGCAGGAAGAAAAGAATCCCAAATGGAAGATTTCCCACTGTGCTTCTCAGACCCTCCTGCCATTTCGTCAGGCAGCACAACTGATAGTCCCAAGGCCGCGTCAGCAGCACATCCTCGCGGAGTCTTTGGATGAAGGGGAGGAAGGGAGTTCTCCTTTTCTTGATTTCCTGAACGCATGTTGCGTGAAGAAGTATCAGAATCCTCCTGATCAGCGTTAATTTCAAAAAATCCAGCACTGCGCTTGTTCGCTCTCCCCAGCGCTTCGAGCTTCTGATTATTATTCCCGTCCTCCTCATCGCTTGTGTTGTCCTTTCCGTCCCTATCGCCATCGTCTTTATTGCACGGATACAGCGACGGAAGGTCGCTGGTGCTCGCGACCTTCTTTCGGCGACCGCCAAACGGACTCTTCATGGGAAACAAGGGCGATGTTGGCGTCAACGAGCCAAAATAACCAGGCGAAACTCCTCCAGAAGTTACATTAGCGAAATCGAGCTCGGTAAGCGATGATGTGGTAATCACTGGCTTTCGCCGTCTGGAAGCAGCCTTGATCCACGGATGCGTGACAACCTCCGCCATGGAAATCCGCTCGTCGGGATTCACGGTCAGCATCGCGCGAATCAGATCCTTAGCTTCCGCCGACACCGCGGACCAGGCTCCGCGCGACATATCCACGTTTCCGCGAATAATCTGGCGAGTCAGTTGCCGCTCACCGCTGCCTTGAAAGGGCATGGAGCAGGAGAGCATTCCGAAGAGTAACACGCCGAGCGACCAGACGTCAGCTTTCGTGTCGTATTCCTGTCCAAGAATCACCTCGGGAGCTTCGTACGGCCGGCTGCCAGCGGTTCCGACGGTTTTCTCCCCCGGAGCCAGACGAACCGCCAGGCCGAAATCAGCGAGCTTCGCGAGAACGCGGGCGTCTGAAGCAGTACCCGGCTGTTTCGGTAACGAGGGTGAAGGTAAGGACGTGGAATAGTAGTACTGAGGAACGGATGAGTTAAGAGGGGTGGAGAGGAGAACGTTTTCGAGCTTGATATCGCGATGCACCACCCCGTTCCGGTGACAATAGAGGACGGCGTGAGCCAACTGGCGAAAAATCAGGACAGCTTTATTCTCCGGTAATCCCCAGGATAAACCAGAACGTTGCTTGCTGTTGCTGCTGCTGCTCGAGTTTTCGCCGCCGGAAACCTTTCCCCCGGATTTAATGGAACTCAAACCAAAACCGCCGATGCCGCCGCTGCAGCTGCTGCTGCTGCTGCGAGCCCCGGGAACGGTGCAGGCTCCATTGCTGGTGACGTAAGAAAAGAGATCTCCGACGTCACAATACTCCATCAAAAGATAAATGGCTTCGGAGTCTTCAAAGATGAACTTAAGCTCAACGATATTAGGATGCTTTCCCGTCATAAAATCCAGAAGCGCGACCTCCTGCCGTAAAAAGTGCTGATGCAGGAGCGAGTCCTTAAGTGACGCTTTTAGGACCTTTTTACATGCGTACTGCTCGCTGGTTCGCCCATCCTCGCACAGCCACACCGTACCGAACCGGCCTTCACCGATGACCTTGACGAATTTAAGAGTACTCCACGGCGCCTCGGTCGGTCGCCGGAGAAACGACGATGATGAGTCCATTGATTAGGACTAACCTAAGCTATCAGCCAGGGGGTAGGAAAGGAAACCTAGGGAAGAAACGGAAGGCGGTCAACGGAGAGAAGCCTAACTTTTGGACAACTGGCATGCTGACTCTGAATCCCCTTGTTCAGTCTGAGCTGAAGATATCAGCTGAAAGAATAAGTAATAAAGTCTAAGGCCGTTCGCTCTGCTGTTGTAGGGTCACTTGTAACGCCGCTCTCGTCTGGCTGTAGTCCACTTATCACGGAAGCCAATAAAAAGGGCAGCAAAATCAAGCGACTCCCGGAATTTTGATTCGAAGAATAAGGAACCAGAGAATGATAAGTCCGAAAAGCAGCAGCCAATGAAGTGGATGGACGAGATTATGTGGAGCGTGTAGGTGCGGAAAACCTGGAGGTTGAGGTCAGATGGTAAAGACGGCGGGCGGGAGGAGAAGCAAGTTTCAGCGTCAGACGGGGCCGAAGGACAAAGGCTGAAACGAAACGTCACCCAGATGTGGAACGAAAGACGGTTGTGGATGGAGATAGTGGAGGTGGTGTGGTGCGGTCTGTGTGGTGTGGTGTATTGTGGTCTGTGTGGTGTGGTGTAATGTGGTGTAATGTGGCGTAGTGTGTGTGGTGGAGCGCAAGAGTTACATGATCAACATGACGGTGGTTTGCATGGTGTGGGGCGGGGCAAGCGAAGCATGATTCAGAACGGGATGCAGGATGGTGGATGTTGGTGTGGGGATTGAAATGGAGGAGTTTTTGAGGAGCGAAACGAGAGCGTGGATAATGCGGGGAGAGCATGCACTGCTGGGTGGGGGTTTCAGATAAGTGCAGGGACTGAGCAGGCATAGTTGTGAGCTGGTGACAGACTGGGGTCACGACGGCAGCATAAAACCATGGGTGCGTTCCTGGCTAGTGTCAAGCTTCCGGTCATCCGCGGATGACCGGAAGTTGGACCCACTTTGGGCCATCCGAGACCAACTTCGGGTCTTCCGGCCCAAAATCGCCCCTGTTTCCAGAAGACCTGAAGTTTGAGAGCAAGTTTGACCCAAAGCTTCGGGCCTTCCCGGGAAGGCCCGAAGCTTGACACGCGTCAGGAACGCACCCTACGATAAAGTGGTTCGTCTTCATATTCTTTTTCTAAAACGTGGGTAGGATACTGTAGCTGGGGAGGAGAGATTTGGCTTGGGGTCGAAGGATGGTCTCCCAATCCCGGGGCCTTCCAGAGCCGCAAGCAACAATTGGCGGTGAAATGCGAAGGCCACACGTGCACCTCAGCAAACTCGTCTGCACCGCACCGCACCCCCACCCCCGCTCCTTGGGGGAAGCTGAGGGGAGGGCATTTTCTGCCACACCTGAAACAAACCCTGACGGCAAGGCGGCCAGGTGCTGCTCGAATTCATTTCGCCAGCCACGATATGAACCCATAAAAGTGCGGAACCAACCACACGAGGATTTGAAGGCAATTTGTAAGTTGTAACGAACAAAAATATCTGCTCAATGATGTAAAGAGCCGTACAAGTACAAAAGCCGTAGCTATACACCACCACGGGGACTTTGCAGCTGTACAGCTCATGCCAGCTGTAAGCCGACGAGAAGACTAGGGGTTGGGGCGGGATGGGATCTTCTCGTCGCACAGAGCTTCAAGCGAATCTGCGATACATTGTGTCTGGTCATCATCGCAGATTCCCTTTATGCAGACACCCATTGGCTGAGCCAAACGGCCATCCTCCTTACAATATGATTGCAAGTGTTCACATATAGTGATTGTACAGCTATTATGTACATGGGTCTCTATGACTCATTATAAACTCCCTGATCGAGCTGATGGTTGCAGTGTCCACTGGGATGATATGGCCACACACATGACGTAACACCGTTCGAGAATCAGCATCAAAGAGTGAAACCAATTCCTCACTCCGCCGTTGGGTTACTTGACGGTCTTGGCCTTGACAACTAGGTGTGCTCGTAACAACTACACCGTTGCTGCGATTCGTGCTTGCTCCAAAGACGTGTAACGACGGCAGCTTTATCGCTTTGCTGCTCTCCATCATCTCATGCATAAACGGATGGGCCTCTCTTGCAGCTACATACCCGGAGCAAAGAATCACAAACCGTATGCCACCCCACACTTCCCTTTCCCCCACAGCTCCCCGACTCCCCGCACACTTGTCTCTCTCACTCTCCTCTGCATTCTGCTCCTCCCTTCCTCCACCCACTTTCGTCTCTTTCCAACCGGACAGAGAATGAGCCTCTTCCCTTTCTTTACTAGCCAACGCCGCAACAGCGGCAGCCACTGCTGCACCTTGGGAGAATCCCAACACCCCATCAAACGGACCCAGCTCAGATACCACCTTCCTCAGATAGGACAAACTCGCCGCCCATCCGTACACCTGCCCGTCCAGCTGGTCAGCAGGGAACCTGCCAGCTGGCAGCACGTGTGGCCCTGCAGCGTGAGCTGGGATCGCGTCAGCGACAGCTGGCAAAACTGTGACAGCTGGCACCTCGCTGGTGCTGCCAGCTGGCAGTTGGCCAGCAAGGCAGCTGGTGGAAGGAGTATGAGATGAGTGAACCTGGTGCTGGGCCAAGGTGAGAAAACTTGTTGGAGAAGAGGGAAGTGTGGGGAAAGTGGGTGCTTGAAGGGAGGGTGCTTGAAGGGGGGATGCTTGTAACGAGGTTGATTGAAGGGCGAGGTCAATGGGTCCTATCAGCCAGGCGAACTTGGTGCGGGGAGTTTGAGAATCTTGAGGAGGAGAGGTAGGTGAAGGGAGTGAAGAGATAGGTGAAGGCGCAGGTGAAGGGGCAGGTGAAGGGGCAGGTGAAGGGGCAGGTGAAGGGGCAGGTGAAGGGGCAGGTGAAGGGGCAGGTGAAGGGGCAGGTGAAGGGGCAGGTGAAGGGGCAGTTACAGTGCCACCTGATGAGGCACCTGAAGGATCACCTGAAGGAACATCCAGGCACCTGAGGATGTGACAACGTGTGCGAGGGCATGTGGGGCGTCAATAAAGACAAACTCCGCCACCACCTTGAGCTTCCGCTGCAGCGCTCTCGTGCGGCCAGAAAAGGACGAGGCGTTTTGTCTGAATCCGTGAAGACAAAGGATGCGAGCTTTCGGTCTTAGACTCTCGCTGCTGCTGCTGCTGCTGCTGCTGTCATTGCCGCTGCTCCTGCTGTTGGCGGTGGTTGCTGCAATGTTGGTGAAAGTGAAAGTTGTGCCAGCTACTGCTGTGGAAGCAGCATAGTCAGTGTTAGTGGTAGTGATGGCAGCATCAGTGCCAGCAGTGGTTGCAGTGGTGGCAGCAGCAGTGGCAGCAGTGGTTGCAGTGGTGGCAGCAGCAGTGGCAGCAGCAGTGGGAGTCACACCAGCAATGTCGCAAGAGTCGCCGGGCTGCTGCCGCAGAAAAGACAAACCACGCAGTACGCATGCACACATGGCAACGCACAGTAGCACGTGCCCGTAGTTTGCAAGAAGAGATGTGCAAGAAGGTGACTTTTCAGTCGACTCAAAAGTCACCTCGCATGCACACGTGGCAAGGAGCAGTAGCACACATGCCCGAAGTATGCATGCAGGCCGAACCGCAACGCAAGAAGAGATGCAGAGTTGAGTAACATAGGCAGCAGAAAATGTCAAGAAACAGAGAGGCTTTTAGGGTGCCTAGAAAATTGCCAATGACAGTCTGGTACAAATACAGCAAATATGTTTCACGTGCTTTTTGAAACGGCTCAGAGACCACCCACCAAGGCCACAGGCGAAGGGGAAAGGTGCTGTGGTAACTGTCGCAGCAGTTGCTGCTGCTGCGTCTGCTTATTTTGCTCTTCCTCCTCCTGCTCCTTCCCCTGCTTCTGCTCCTGCCCTTGCCCCTGCCACTGCTCCTGCTGTTGCTCCTCCTGTTGCTGCTCCTTACCCTGCTCCTGCCCCTGTTGCTGTGCTTGCTCCTTGTGCTTCTGGCGATGATACTGCTGTGCCCTTTCTTTCTTCCCTGCCTTATCCCCTTCCATTGTGCAACCTCCCTTCTGGCAGATTTCACACAGGATATCCGGCTGGAAAGGGAAAAACGGGGAGTGGGGAAGGGGAAGAGCAGGTAAGATGAAGGAGGTGGGGACAGGTTCCTTTCTCGGTTCTCACCCCTTTCTCGGTTCTCACCCCTTCTTGGCACACACAGGGCACACGAGCAGCAGCATGCGGCAGGCAGAGCAGCGGTTCCTCCCACTGTAGTCATCGAATAGCTTTGTGCACAAGCAGCATGTGAACTAGGCATTTATACCCATTCTCACCTGTGCCTCAGCACAGACAGGGCATATAAGCAGCAGCATATGGCAGGCAGAGCAGCGGTTCCTCCCACTGTAGTCATCGAAAGGACAGGCAGCACGTGAACCAACCACCACACATTCGCACCCATTCATACCCATTCTCACCTCTGTCTCAGCGCAAGCGGGGAACACGAGCAGCAGCATGCGGCATGCAGAGCAATGTTTCTTCCCGCTGTAGTCGTCAAATGGCCTCTCACACACACAGGCAGCACGCAACTAGGGCAGTGGTTCCTTTCACTCACCTCCTCCCATTTTAGTCGTCAAAAAGCTTTGCACACAGGCAGCATGTCAACAAGGCAGCAGCAGGTGAACTGCTACACATTCACACCCATTTATACCCATTCTCACCTCTGTCTCAGCGCATGCAGGGCAGATAAGCAGCAGCATGCGGCATGCAGCACAGCGGCTCCTTCCACTGGAGTCAGCAAACCAACCGGGCAGCACACGAGCCACTACACAAACACATACATTCGCAACCCCTCCCTCACCTCTGTCTCAGCGCAAGCAGGGCACACGAGCAGCAGCATGCGGCATGCAGCACAGCGGTTCCTCCCGCTGTAGTCGTCAAAAGGGCTTCCCGCACAGGCACCACCTGAACCAGGCAGCACATGCTTATGGACACACCTGCTTAGTCCCATACCTGATTCTCAGCACAAGCAGGGCAGATGAGAAGCAGCATGCGGCATGCAGCACAGCGGTTCCTCCTGCTGTAGTCGTCGAAAGGTTTGGTGCACACACAGCATGTGCCTATGGTTGCTTGCTGCGGCGCTGCTGGTGGTACTGCCAGGCTGGAAAGGGATTGAGGGAGAGAGAGGGTGAGTGGAGTTGAAGGAAAGGGAGGGGGGGGAAGCTGATAGCGGTTCCTCGCGCTGTAGTCATGATACGGCTTGGCACACAGGCAGCAAGTGCAAATGGTTGCTTGCTGCGGCGCTGCTGGTGGTACTGCCAGGCTGGGAGGGGGAGAGGGTGGTGGGGGATGAGTGGGAGATGAAGGAAGGACTGGGAGAGTGAAGGGGGGAGACTGCTGATGGCACAGGAAGCACGTGCCTATGGTTGCTTGCTGCGGTGCTGCTGGTGGCACTGCTAGGCTGAGAGAGAGGGAGTAGGGCGGTGGGGTGGGTGATGGGGAGATTGACCGAGCTGCTACCACTTTAACGGGTAATCTATAAAAACAAAAAACCCTGAGATTGACTGAGAAAAAAAAGAATATGCTGCTGGCCTTACCGGTGGTCAAAGACAAAGTTCTCTTCTCCGAAAAACCCCCCATTTGGGAACTACAGTCACATAGTTAGGACGTACCACCGATGGTCACACACAAGGCGCCTAAAACGGAACCTCACCAGTGGTCAAAGACAAAGTTCTTCCCTCGGAAGAACCCCCCATCTGGAAACCACTGAATCGACTGAAAAGGCATACAGTTTACGGCGTCTCACTGGTTGTCACACACTGGCTTCTGAGGCGCCTCAACACTCACCGGTGGTCAAAGACAAAGTTCTTTCCTCGGAAGAAACCCCCATCTGGGAAGGCCTCAAGGTAGCGCACAATGCCCCCTGACAGCTGCACACACGGGACAGGGCGTACGAAACAAGGCATGATATGGTGTGGGCTAGTATGGCATGGGATGGGATGGGATGGGAAGTATGGAAGGAAGAATCCCCCATCTGGGAACGCCTCGAGAAAATGCACGATGCCCCCTGACAGCTGCACACACAGAGAGGGTGGAAATACAAGGCATAGCACCATGGCTTAGTGGGGTATGGCATGAAGCAGGACCCCCCATCCATCTGGGAACGGCTCGAGATAGTGCACAATGCCCCCTGACAGCTGCACAATGCATGGGGTGCAAGGAGCAAGGCATGATATGGCATGGCATAGAACCTTCGAGATAACGCACAATGCCTTTCTTGACAGCTGTGCAGTGCACGTAGGGATGGAAGAGAGCAGCACCGCACAGCACCGCGTCACACCACAACGCACAGCACACACCTGCACCACGTCTTGAAAGCCGGGCCCTTTGGATCGAAGATAGGCCGTGGCTGACTCACAGCGGGCCCCTACCAGTACCCGGACAGCACCACACCGCACCACACAGCACCGCAAAGAACCACACACAACCGAGCATACACACACCTGCACCACATCCTGGAATCCAGGACCCTTGGATCGAAGGTAGGCCGTGGCTGACACACAGCGAACCCCTCAAGTGCAGTACCCACAGCACCGCAGAGCACCGCACACAACCGAGCACAAACGCACCTGCACCACGTCTTGGAAGCCGGGCCCCTTGGATCGCAGATAGGCCGTAGCTGACTCACAGCGGACCCCTCCTGTGCAGTACCTGAACCTCACCGCACAGCACAGCACAGCACCGCACCGCACAGCACCACAGATAACCGAGCACATACACTCACCTGCACCACGTCTTGAAAGCCAGGCCCCTTGGATCGCAGGTAGGCTGTGGCTGACTCACAGCGGACCCCTCCAGTGCAGTACCCGCACAGCACCACACAGCACCACGCAGCACCACACAGTACCGCTCACAACCGAGCATACACACACCTGCACCACGTCCTGAACGCCGGGTCCCTTGGATCGCAGGTAGGCCGTGGCTGACTCACAGCGAACCCCTCCGGTGCAGTACCCACACAGCACCGCACCACACCACACAGCACCGCACAGTACTGCACAGTACCGCACACAACTGAGCATAAACACACCTGCACCACGTCTTGGAAGCCGGGCCCCTTGGATCGCAGGTAGGCTGTAGCTGACTCACAGCGAACCCCTCCGGTGCAATACCTGGGAGCAGGGAGTGAGTGAGGGAGGGAGGGAGGGAGGGAGGGAGGGAGGGAGGGAGGGAGGGAGGGAGGGAGGGAGGGAGGGAGGGAGGGAGGGAGGGAGGGAGGGAGGGAGGGAGGGAGGGAGGGAGGGAGGGAGGGAGGGAGAGGGAGGGAGGGAGGGAGGAGGGAGGGAGGGAGGGAGGGAGGGAGGGAGGGAGGGAGGGAGGAGTGAGGGAGGGAGGGAGGGAGGGAGGGAGGGAGGGAGGGAGGGAGGGAGGGAGGGAGGGAGGGAGGGAGGGAGGGAGGGAGGGAGGGAGGGAGGGGAGGATTATGAGGAGGAAAGCGAGGCGATGGGAAGCCCTTTAAATTGGGCGAGGGCTCTTTGGATGGAGGTAGGCCGTGGCTGACTCACAGCGAACCCCTCCCGTGCAATACCTGGGAGGGAAAGGGAGGGAGGAGGAATGGAGGGACGGAGAGAAAGGAGAAGGCTGGAGTAGCAGCACCTTTTGTCTCCCAAAATCACTTGCTCGGCAACAGCTTACAAATTCTGCTCAGAATAATTAACCTAACACTACAAGCAGCACTAATGAACATATTTTAAGCACCGTTTTGTACCTCAGCTTACACTATGCACCTACCATAATGAGAATTCTGAAAATTAAAACCATGGACAGCACTTACATAAGCACGGTTTTGTTTCTCAATTCCTCCTCGTGCCTGTCCACCCATGCAGGCAGATCGCTGAACTGGCGAATGCAGGGGTCGATGAACTTGACGCCTGGGAGATGGGAGGGGGGTTGAAAAAGGAGGTGCATGCAGCACTCCTATCAGTAACCTCTACTCTCCTGTCAAATCCTTCTCGTGCCTGTCCACCTATGCCCGCAGATTATTGAACTGACGAATGCAGGGATCGATGAATGTCACACCTGAGGGAGGAGGGTGTATTGTTAGCGTTAAGAGGTGTGCAGTGCGGTGTAAGAGAGGGGAATCCTCAGCACCTCCTCATGCCTGTCCACCCATGCCGGCAGATCGCTGAACTGGCGAATGCAGGGATCGATGAATTCCACACCTGAGGGGGGAGGGGGGTAGTGTTAGGGTTCAGAGGTATGCAGTGCGGTGTAAAAGGGGGGTATAGTCAATTCGTGTTCGTGCCTGTCCACCCATGCAGGCAGATCGCAGAACTGGCGAATGCAGGGGTCGATGAACGTCACACCTGCAGTAAAGGAGGGAATTGGAAGGTGTGCAGTGCGGTACAAGGGGAATCAACGGAAGAAAGGGGTAAGTCTCCTCCTCAAGTCTCTTGTGCACATCCACCCACCCATCCCAGGGGAAGGAGGAACCCCCGTGAGAGGAATCGCGAAGGCCGTAGGAGGACGTACTATTAGGTTTGGGGGTGTGCAGTGCGGTGTGAGGGAGAGTAGCAAAGGGAAGAAGGAGTGGCCCCCTCATGCCCATCCACCCACCCATCCGGGCAGATCCCCAAAACTCACAAGAAGCGTGAAGGATGCAGAAGGAGGTTTCATGTGAAGAATCGGACAAAAAGCGGCTCGCACCTTTGGGTGGCACGAATCGTCCGATGCGTGTCTCGTATACGTTCCTGGTGTCCAATACCACCATGCCACGTGGCACACGCCCCTCCTCCTCCTCCTTTTCCTCCTCCTCACACTCTCCCCTTGATTCCTCCTCGGCCCCCACTCCTCCATTCTCCATCCCCCCACTTTCCTCTTTTCGGTTCCCCATTCCTCCATTCTCCACTGTCCCTTGCAGCATGAGTTTATGAAACGCCTCTGCAGACACGTGATTGGCTGTGAGGGAGAGGTCAACCGGGCATAGGGTTACCAGCTCCTGAGGTAGCACCAGGAAAGAGGCGGAGGGGTGCGGAAGAGGGGGAAAGGGGAGTTGATGAAACGCCTCTGCAGACACGTGATTGGCTGTCAATGAGGGGTCCACCAGGCATACGGTTACCAGCTCCTGAGATGTAACCAGAAGAGAAGGAAGAGAGGAACAGGGAAGAGATGCAGGCAGAGTGAAGATGGGAGCGAGCAGGGTTTAGGGTTAGGATGCATGCATGTTGCATTCCCGCGTTATCCTGGGGTCCGGCCACTGAACCCCAGAACGGGAACCCCAGTTAAAACCCCGGAACCTGAGCTGCTCACTTCCTTATCATTCCTCCTAAAACCCTGATCCCGGGACCTTGAAATGCACCTGCTACCCTCACCTTGACTATCCGCACTGAGAGGGCATGAATGTTGCATTCCCACGCTATCCTGGGGTCCGGCAGCCAATCACAATGGGAAGCTGCCAAGGTCAACCCCCGAACCCCTTAACCTCAAACCCTCCGCATCTTGGTATCATTACCTTGACTATCCGCACTGAAAGGGCATACACGTTACATTCCCATACTATTCTGGGGTTGGGCGGCCAATCACAATGGGAAGCCACCAAGCTCAACCTCCAGCCAAACAACTTAACCCCAAACTCTCCGCATCCTGCTGTCCTCACCTTGACTATCCGCACCGAGAGCGCGTGAACGTTGCACTCCCGTGCTATCCTGGGGTCCGGCGGCCAATCACAGCGCTCCGGCTTGATTACCCAATTTCGAAAACACTCTACCCTAAACCCCAACCCTGCACCTGCCCTGTACCGTGTATCCTCCCCGTACCTTGACTATCCGCACTGAGAGGGCATGCACGTTGCACTCCCGCGCTATCCTGGGGTCCGGCGGCCAATCGCAGCTCTCCAGCTTGAAGTCGGTGCGTGCAAACCAATTGGAAGGGTGCTGGGAGAGAGAGGCGATGTGACTGTGTAGGGAGGACATGCGACCGACTACCTGCCAGGTGGTGATTATAGCGAGGGTGGGTGGGTGGGGTCAGATTAGCTTGAAACTCAGATTGGCGAACCACGTGGCGGGGTGGTGGGAGAGGGTGTGATGTGACTTTGGAGAGCGGACATCCGAACCAGTCTCTGCGGAGTGATTATAACGGGAGGGGATGGTAGGAGCGGCAATGTTGGTCACTGAATTAAAACACTACTGACCGTGACGTTAAAGCCCTGTTTAGACACGCGGACGCGACCCAAGAGGCCTTGCTCCTCGCAGATGCGTCGCATCCAATCAGCTGCTGCCACGTCATCAGGGACATCCACGTACTGATAGTACAGCAGCACGCCGTAGCCCTCGGGTTCTGTACTGTTCAACGGTTTTCTACCCGTTATAGTCTCACTCGACGACATTGGACGAACCACAGTCTTGAGGCAATGAAAGTGTGCTATATACTTCGAACCGCCAGCTACGAGAATGCTGTTAAAACTGTCTACTGTTATACCGAAGGCTACTAGCGCGAAGGCGCATACTATCGCGTACGAATAAGGCACGGTGAGAGGTAGTAGGCAGGACCTTCGGGCTCAATATCTGACAGGAGCCTTGGAGTTTGTTGCGACTCGGTTGGGGCTTGGTTGTATTTGGGGTGGGAATGTACGGTATTTGCAATTTTTTGGTTTCCGTGGGCTTGAGAAAATTATGGGTTTACAGTCGGTACAAAACGGCTAAATGCAATAGTTTTTGCTCCTAGAAGGTTTTGTAAGTCTACCGCTTTGAACCGCGCTATACTCACCTGTCCGAACAGGCAGAAACATAGCTGTAAAATGTCTCGCTGCAGGGACCGATTCGTTATAGAGATCATGCAGGTAACGTGTGTGTAGGTTGTAGGGTGAGAGAATTCACATAGGTGTTGTGTATGACGCCGAAAAAAAGTTGCTTCACGATTTGAACTGTGTACTGCATTCCTTCACAGCAGCGCCTCCTTTTGCCACTTCCCATCCCGCTTCCGTCGCCGCATTCGGAGCCGTGTAGTGCGCAACACACCTGGAAACTCAATTTGTAGACATGATATCCATAGCCGTTTCTAACCGTGTCGCACTGACGACAAATTGTGCCAGCCGCCAAGAGCAATGTTACGTCGCGCAGGAGTTTCGAGCACGCGGTTGCAGCGGCGGAGCCGCCGAGTCTAGAAGCTTCCCGTCGGCGCATCGAAGCAGCTGCGTTGATCTCCGTCCTATCTGGCAATTACGTCGCTCCGAGGGTGCCAGGTGTCATCAGCCGGGCGATATGACGTGTCAGCTTCACGCACGGCTGTCAACCGTCACGAAGGATCACTTTCTAGGCAATCGTTACCAATTTTCGCGAAATCAGCGACGGCAAAGTTTGTCTCGCAATGTCGATTCGAGTCTGGTTTCCCTCAGATGCAGCCTAAACTCGTTGGCTTCTCCCATCTCTGCATCTGAACCGTCGATTTCTGGTCAATCTCCACCATCCGTTCCTCACCAATCTTTTGTAGCATCCATCGCCGCATCGCAGCCGTCCATTCCCGTCGCGCTGCCATCTCGACCGTTGATCTCAGCTAGCGACACGTGGGGGGTGTGGGCCGCGCTGCTAGCAGCCGCAGCTGTAGGCTTCTGGTCGGAGCGCCATACCGATTTAGGACGCGCTTTAAGCGGCCCGTTAGTCGCCACATTAATAGGCCTAGCCGCGAGCAACTTAGGCCTAATTCCCTCCGAGGCGCCTGCGTACGTCGTAGTTAATCGCTTCCTGCTGCCTCTAGCCGTTCCTCTGCTGCTATTCGCGGCCGACCTAAGGAGGGTGATTAAAGACACTGGGCGGCTGCTTTTGGCGTTTTGTGTGGGCTCAGGTGCGTTAGTGCGTGCAGTGGCTGCTCTCTAACTTCTTTTCTTTAGTAAGTGCTGCACTTTAGAGAGTCATTAATTTCTTGCTTCCTGATGGCATTTGCTGCCCTGTGATGCCATAAATCCTCCCCTCCTAGCTCTCTCTCCTTTTACTTTTCTCTCCCCTCCTCCCCTCTCCTCTTCCCCTTTTCCTCTTCTCCCCCCCCCCAACCACCAACTCCCTCTCCCCTATTTAGTCGGCACTATCTTTGGCACGCTGGTGGCCTTTGCCGCCCTGCCACTCCGTATAAGGCATCCTCTCCTCCTACCTCTCCCAACCTCCTTTACTTCCCCCCTTTTTCCCCCCCCCCCCTCCCCCCCCCCCCCCCCATCCCCCCTCTCCCCCCCGTCACCCTCCCCCTTTCCCCTCCCCCATCTAGTCGGAACCGTCTTTGGCACCCGGGTGGCCTTAGTCGCGCTGCCAATCTACAGCTCCTCCCCTCCTCTGACCTCCTCCTTTCCCCGTCTCTCTTTCTCCCCCCGCCCCTCCCATGTACAGTCGGAACCGTCTTTGGCACGCTCGTGGCCTTTGCCGCCCTGCCGCTCACAGGTCTTCCCCTCCTCCTCCTTCTCCCTCCTCTCCCTCTCTCTTTTCTCCTCGCTCTCTATACTCCGGAATGCAGTCGGCACTATCTTCGGCACCCTCGTGGCCTTTGCTGCCCTTCCGCTCCGGTCGCTGGGTGGCGACGGTTGGAAGATAGCGGCAGCACTGATGAGTCGACACATAGGGGAGGTGAGTGCGTGAGGGGGAAGATAGGGGGAGGGGGAAGATAGGGGGAGGGGGAAGATAGGGGGAGGGGGAAGATAGGGGGAGGGGGAAGATAGGGGGAGGGGGAAGATAGGGGGAGGGGAGAAATGGAGGGCAGTGACAGGCACTGCAGACATCACCATCGGTGGTGGCGGTTCTGTTGGGTCTCGTGTTGTTGCTGCCATTTTTGAGAATTTCCATTTGAGAACCCAAAACATTTCTCAAGAAATGAGTTTCCTTCTCTAAAGACCGACTCAGATCCCTTTGGTGTTGACAGCTCTGTTGGACCTCTTGCTGCTGCTGCTGCCATAGCATACTTACCTCCCCACTCTCTCCCCCCTTCCCCTCTCCACTCCTCCTCCCCTCCCAGCTGTGATTATGTGGCAGTGACAGAAGCACTGACAACCTGCTGTGTGCGCTAAGGGGGTGCTGCTGGTGGTGCTGCTGTAGTAACCTCCTCGTCCTCCCCACCTCCCCCCCCTCCCAATCCCTGGCCTCCCCTCAGCTGTCAACTACGTAGCAGTCACTGAAGCACTACAGGCATCACCATCGGTGGTGACGGCAGCCCTGGCAGCCGACAACCTGCTGTGCGGCCCTAAGGGGTGCTGGTGCAGGTGGTGCTGCTGCTGACTTGACCTCTTTCTCCTTCCCATTGTTCCCCTCCCAACCCCCCCAGCTGTGAACTATGTGGCAGTGACAGAGGCATTACAGGCATCACCATCGGTGGTGACGGCATCTCTGGTGTTGATGCTTCATATTTATCCCAGCCAACCCTCTTCCCCCTCCCCGCTACAATCCCAGCTGTCAATTATGTGGCAGTGACAGAGGCATTACAGGCATCACCATCGGTGGTGACGGCAGCACTTCACTCCCCTCTTTCCCCTCCTCCTGCATTACCTTCCAGCCGTGAACTATGTGGCAGTGACAGAGGCATTACAGGCATCACCGTCGACGGTGACGGCAGCTCTGGCAGCCGACAACCTGCTGTGCGCCCTCCACTCGCACCCCATCCCCATCTCCCCTTTTCCCGGCTTCCTCCTCCCCTCTCAGCTGTCAACTACGTAGCAGTGACAGAAGCGCTACAGGCATCACCATCGGTGGTGACGGAAGCACTGGCAGCCGACAACCTGCTGTGCGCGCTAAGGGGGTGCTGCTGGTGCTGGTGCTGGTGCTGGTGCTGGTGGTGGTGGTGGTGCTGCTAATTCAACCTCCTTCTCCTTTCCACTGTTCCCTCTCAACCACCCTCCCAGCTGTGAACTATGTGGCAGTGACAGAGGCACTGCAGGCATCACCATCGGTGGTCACGGCAGCTCTGTTGCTGGTGATTATTCTACCAACCTCTCCTCCCTCCCCCACTCCCCCCAGCTGTGAATTACGTGGCAGTGACAGAAGCGCTACAGGCATCACCGTCAGTGGTGACAGCAGCTCTGGTCTGGCAGCCGACAACCTGCTGTGCGTTGGTGCTGCTGATTCACCATTCTCCACCGCCTTTCCCCCTCTGCTCCCCCTCGCAGCCGTGAATTATGTGGCAGTGACAGAGGCGCTACAGGCTTCACCGTCGGTGGTCACGGCAGCCGACAACCTGCTGTGTGCCCTAAGGGTGCTGGTGCTGGTGTAATAACCTCCTCGTCCTCCTCACCTCCCCCCCGTCCCAACCCTCCCAGCTGTGAATTACGTGGCAGTGACAGAAGCGCTACAGGCATCACCGTCGGTGGTGACAGCAGCACTGGCAGCCGACAACCTGCTGTGCGCGCTAAGGGGGTGCTGCTGGTGCTGCTGGTGCTGCTGGTGCTGCTGGTGGTTAACCCCCGTTTCCTCTCCACTATCCACCTCTTCCTTGCCCTCGCAGCTGTGAACTACGTGGCAGTGACCGAAGCACTGCAGGCATCACCGTCGGTGGTGACAGCAGCACTGGCAGCCGACAACCTGCTGTGCGCGCTGCACTTCACCACTCTCTTTGCACTTGCTGCTAGAATTCCTGCTGAGGATGCTTCTAGTGTTGATGCTGCTGCCACTGATAACACACAGTCGTCAGATTTGACGGTGAGTGAATGAGCACTGGCAGCCGACAACCTGCTGTGTGCGCTCCACTTCGCCACGCTCTTTGCACTTGCTGCTAGCATTCCGGCGGAGGGGGAGGGAGAGAGCAGTGGTGCTGCTGATGCTACTGCCACACAGTCAGATTCAGCTGGTTCCACGGTGAGAGAATGAGCTCTTGTCTCCCTCTGGCAGCCGACAACCTGCTGTGCGCGCTCCACTTCACCACGCTCTTCGCCCTCGCTGCTAGCATTCCGGCGGAGGGGGAGGGAGCTCTCGCAGCCAACAATCTGCTGCTGCTGTGTGCGCTCTTGAGAATTCTCAAAAGTCTCACGAATGCGCTCCACTTCACCAACACTCTGTTCGCTCTCGCTGCCAACACTCAGGTTGATGGACATCAGACCTCCGCAGCCCACCTGTTTACTAATAACAACCACTCTGTTCGCTCTCGCTGCCAACATACCTGCGAAACGAAAGAGACTCAGAGCCAACTGTGCTGCATCCCCTTGGGTCACCGCCTGCCCTGCTTCACTCACTGTCTCATTCTTTTGTGTTGAGACGTCTCATAACAACTCTTTTATCACGTCACTGTCTCATTCTTTTGCTCGACTCGCACAGGGAGGCACCATACCTTGCGTCGCCGCACTCGTGCTGTCATTCACGTCTCATTCACTCCCTCAACTTCCACCTTTCTCCTTTATCCACTCCTCCCCTCTGTGTCCCCTACTCATCCTCCCCCAGCCCTCGTTTGACGTGTCAGCAGCAGCCACCGCCCTAGCCCTCGCAGCTTCCCTCTGCTGGCTCGGCTCGGCTCTCGCAAAGAAGCTGGCCTTCGTTGGAGGCACCATCCCTTGCGTCACGGCGCTCGTGCTGGCCTTCGCTACAATCACACCCAGTTTTGCCGCCCCTCTGGTGGTCCCTGGGGAGAAAATGGCTGCTCTCATGCTACAGGTGAGAAAGGGTGTCAACTTTTGCTGCTATAATCACACCTTGCCTCGTGCTGGCATCCGCTACAGTCACACCCAGCCTTGCCGCCCCTCTGGTGGTCCCTGGGGAGAAAATGGCTGCGCTGATGCTGCAGGTGAGATAGTTTTAATTACATGTTTCTACAGTCACAAATCACCTCTTGCTTCCTTCACATCAGGCACCATCCCTTGCGTCACAGCGCTGTCTTCCACCCCTATCAGGTCTTCTTTGCTTCTATCGGAGCAAAACAGCAATCTCTCCGTCACTCTTTCATCAGCGTCCTCCCTCTTGCTAGAACCCCTTCCCTTGCTCTGTTCCTTACCCCCTCGCCCACATCCTCCCTTCATCAGGTCTTCTTTGCGTCTATAGGAGCCAACGGCAACCTCTCCGCCATCCTCTCATCAGCCCCCTCTCTCTTCCTCTTCATCCTCCTCCAACTCTCCCTCCACCTCCTCTTCACCCTCTCCCTAGGCCGCCTCCTCTCCTTCCCTCTAAAGCACCTCCTCATCTCCTCCAATGCCAACGTGGGAGGCCCAACCACAGCAGCCGGCATGGCTGCTGCTAAAGGCTGGCGCTCTCTTACCGTCCCCGCTATCTTGGTGGGGATATTCGGGTACGCTACAGCTACATTCCTGTCAGTGGCCCTCGGCCATACAGTGTTAAAGCCCATGCACTTGAAAGCAGGTGTTTTCTAGGGATGCACCCGCTCTAAAGCACCTCCTCATCTCCTCCAATGCCAACGTGGGAGGCCCAACCACAGCAGCCGGCATGGCTGCTGCTAAAGGCTGGCGCTCCCTTACAGTCCCCGCTATACTGGTTGGAATATTCGGGGATGCTACAGCTACGCTCCTGTTGTAGCGCTAGGCCATACAGTCTTAAAGCCCATGCATCTGAACTGAAGGCAGGTTTGTTCCACTAGAAGCCGCTGTTGCTAAGCGGCTGGTGGTGCTCTCTCAACTCTTACCGGTAAGTTCTTTCATTCACAGTGATTTATCAGTTCATTCATAGTTAGGAGTAGGGAGGTACTGAAGGCTTTAGCAGCATTACTATGCGCACTGTACCCTGCAAATTTCAGATGACCATTCAATAATTCATAAGTACAGGTTCAAGTGTCGCCCCCAAAGCAACCTGAATGGCAGTAGTAATGGAACTCAGGGTTTTGCAGCGCTGCAGAGCAGACTGATGATATGATACCCTTATAGAGCAAACAGCAAGGCCGCTATGATAGCGACAGCTAGGAAGACGTACTTGAAGCAAGCAACGAGGATGACTATAGTGGAGATGAGGACCTGCCAGGAGAGGTAGAGCAGCGCACAGGCAAACACACCCGCTAGAATCACAGCTAAGGCGTTTTCCGTTGAAGGCGCCAGCCAATCAGAGTCCACACCACCACCAATACCTTCTCCCCCTCCTCCTCTTCTTCTTCCCCCTCCACCTCCTCCTCCCCCCCATCCACCACCACCTCCTCCTCTTCCTCCTCCCCATCCACCTCCCCTTCCTCCTCTATCCCCGTTGCCGCCTCTGCTGAAAATAGGAATCCAGGACCAGTCAAATCTGTTTCTGCTGCTGCTGCTGTTGTCGGTGCTGCTACTTCTGCTGTTACTCCATTTGTTAGTGTTGCTCCATCTGTTACGATTACTGTTACTGTTGTTTGTCGCACTGTAGCTTCCCCCGTTATAGTCATCTTCCTCCTCCAGAACTATCCCTGACCATCGCTCCGCATCCGGCTCGCGAATTGCACGGCACACACTTGTAGCAGGTCGTCTTCTAACGGGGACGCTATTGCGTTGGCTTTGGCGTTGGCGCGGGTCGTGCGGTGGGAGAAGGGAGGGAGGGAAACGACGAGCAGAAAGTTCCCCGAGCGACGAGCTGTGCGCCGGCGACAGCCGCAGCTGCATGGCTATGCTACCACTAACGGGGATGCTATTGCGTCGGCACGGGTCGTGCGGGGGGAGACGGGATGGAGGGAAGCGACCAGCAGAAAATTCCCCGAGCGACGAGCTACACTCCAATGGCAGCCGCAGCTGCATGGTTTACTACAAATAGTATCACCAATTATAGTACTCTGAGGAAGATTTAAGTGAATTGCTGACACTAAACAGAGAACAAACTAATACAACTGCGTGGAGCAAGGGGGTGGAAGAAGCGCATCGAGACGACTCGAACGTCTTGCAGGGGACGCGGCACCCCAAACGGGTCAACTCGCTTCAACCCTCGTGTCGAGTTGAATTTTGAGACGTCTCAACACTCGATTAGGAGCTAAATACGCCAGCAGGCCACTAGCATCTAGATTATTTCAGTATGGCCTAGCGCGGTTCCGTGGCAAATAGGGTCCTGGAAGGGGTGACTCAGATATGTGGCCCGAAAGGGGCTGATCCAAATTTCCACGTGACGAAATGTTCGTTTTTTGCGAAGGATGTTGCTGGATGCGAAATAACTCCGGCATGTCGGTAAGTGTGTAACCCTACGAGAATTCGAGCCACCCTAAATGGACCACCCACGTATCGTAGAAATAAAAACCCTTCCAAGCATATACACTAGCCCTGAGGTATGTAACTTCCCACTAGCTTTTACCGTATTTGCTATCTCACTTATTTGCCTTGCTATAGAAAACCGTGAGTCATAACGGCAACAAGATTACAAGACACAAACAGCATAAGATTGCCAGCTGCTTGGTCCTATACTTGCTCTGTTAGCAATTCTACAGCCAGCGAAAGATCACCATTTGTTGCATTCAATGCTTGTTGAGCAACCGACTGTATAAATAGGGCAAACACAAACAAGATCGGACAGGGACAAACGTTAGGACAATGAATGCGAAAGACAAAAGACTAGACATACACAAAAAAAGGCACATGAGGTGTACCGCACGTACCTGGTTAAAGCCCATATCGCACAATTGCTGCACAGATGCCGCTCTATCACCACCATCATTGGTCCTGCTGGCATTATCAGCTGTAGCATGCAGGGCGTGGTGGTTGGTGCCTCCCAACAGCTGCTCGTTTTGCTGCAGTTGGCTGGTCTGGCTTGAGAAATGTCCCCAGCCACTAGAGAGGACCGTTGCTCTGGGAGGAGGGACGGGGGAGTGAGAGACCGCAGAGAGCAATAATTGACTTATGAAGCTGACTCAAATGCTCTGCTGGGGATGGCGGGTTTGGCTTGAGGAATATCCCCAAGCACTCGAGAGGACTGTTGATCTGGGAGGGGAAGGGGGGGTGGGGGGGTGAAGAGGGGAAACTGCAATTGACTTATTGACACCCCCACAGTCCCCTCCCCTGCTCTCACACGCAGCGCCTGCAGTTACCCTATTACAACCGCCACAGCATGCCCACGCCCCCAGTGTGACCACATCCCCCTTATGGCCACACCCCTTCCCAGGGCAGCAGCAGCAGCGGCAGCACTGGCAGAAGCAGCAGCAGCGTTGGGCAGCGGGTAATTGGGAGCATCATGAGACGATATCACCGACACCCCCACACTTCCCTCACCTGCTACACTCGCTGCAGTGCCTGCAGTTACCACATCACAACCCCAGCCCAGCATGCCTATGTCCCCACACACCTTCCCAAAGCAGCAGCAGCGGCAGCAGCACTGGCGGAGGCAGCAGCAGCGTTGGGGAGCGGGTAATTGGGAGCATCATGAGAGGCTATCACCGACACTGCTACCGTTCCCTCCCCTGCTCTACTTGCTCCTGTTGCTCTCGTTGTTGCCCCTGCTCCTGCTCCTGCTGGTCCAACAGCGGCTATTGGTGGCACCTCTGCTGCTGCCGAGCCTGCTAGGGTCCGCCCCCGCCCAGGGAACCTCTGAAAGAGAGACAAGCACACACACACATGGACACAGGAACATAACATCTCTCTTTGAACCGCTCTCCATGCACTTAAAGAAAAATGCTAAAGGTTGCGCCTCTGCTGCTGCCGGGCCTGCTAGTGTCCGCCCCCGCCCAGGGAACCTCTGCAAGCAAACAGAAGCACACACACACAGGCACACGGAGGAGCAACAGTCAACCCTGCACTGACCACTATATTATGAGTGAATGACAATTCACCGCACCTACCCACCCATGTGACTGTGAATGCACTCGGGAGGCGTAAGAAACCAGGTAGTCTAGTCAAATCCTTACTCCAACTGTCAGGATCAGCAGTCCTTGCTGCTGGTTGTTGCGGCGAGCTCCCTTGGGTCGCAACCTGTACCCATCGGCATCGGCCATTGCCCCCACCTATGTGACCCATGTGACTGTAGACGTGACTGTAGACGTGACTGTAGACGTGACTGTGACTGTGTTTTCTAAGTGACTGAGTCGTCTCCAAAACTCACGGGATCAGCCGCAGCGCCCGCTGGTTGTTGCGGCGTGCTCCCTTGGGTCGCAACCTGTACCCACCCATGTGACCCATGTGACTGCACTCAGGAGAAAACAGGTAGTCAAATTCATACTCCAACTGTTAGGATCAGCAGTCCTTGCTTGCTGCTGATTGTTGCGGCGAGCTCCCTTGGGTCACAACCTGTACCCATCAACCATTACCCCCACCTATGTGACCCATGTGACCTATGTGACCCATGTGACCTATGTGACCCATGTGACTGCAGACGTGACTGTAGACGTGACTGTGACTGTGTTTTCTAAGTGACTGAGTCGTCTCCAAAACTCACGGGATCAGCCGCAGGGCCTGCTGGTTGTTGCGGCGTGCTCCCTTGGGTCGCAACCTGTACCCACCCATGTGACCCATGTGACTGTAGACGTGACTGTGGCTGACTGTGACTGTAGAAGTGACTGAGTCGTCTCCAAAACTCACGGGATCAGCTGCTGGTTGTTGTGGCGTGCTCCCTTGGTGCGTAGCCTGCCCCCACCCATGTGACTGTGACTGTAACGAAGGGTGTGGATTATTAGCAGCTGCAATTGCCGATAGCGAATGCACATTCGATAGAGGCCCCTGGCTGTATGTGTTTTGGCGCTGATTGTATCCCCCCTGCTGCTGTTGCTGCTGATGCTGCTGTTGTTGCTGTTGGATTAGCCTTTGCTGCTACTGCTGCTGCTGCTGCTGCTCCTGCTGCTGCTGCTGCTGCTGCTGCTGCTGCTGCTGCTGTTGCTGCAGCTGCTGCCACCGATCGCCACCTGTCTTGGATGCGAGCTAGGGATGCTTGCATGGACCGCCACGTGGCGTGCAGCGATTGGCTGATGCTTGCCGGCCTGTGGTAGGGACAGGTTGACGGGTACAGGAACAGAGAGGAAGAGGGGATGATAATGCACAGATGGACAATGAAAATTGCGTGAAACAGTCATTCCCTTACATTAAACCATGCATGAGTGTTGGGTGCATGGATTAAGGTAACAAAGCCCAGGAAGGGATGGTATGGTAACAGGTTTGGAAGGAATTTACGAGGTGCGGAGGACAGGGATCCCCAAAATGGTTCTAAGTATGGGAGTTCGATAGGTGCAGAGGAGGGGCATTAACACAAGAGGGGTTACAAAGAGTGTTAGAATTATATATATTGTAGCATGCTAAGCACATGTGACTGTACACCAATTGTGGTGTACAGTTGGGTTGGGACTACACCCAACATTGGGTGTAGCCTTGCACTTTGGGGTGCCAATCCACCCAATTGTGGTGGAGCCCCCAAATTGCAACCCTCTTGACTTTTTGGGTACCTCACTTCACAATTGAGGCCACCACAAGCCAAGTGGGCCTAGGGTTGCCACACTTCTTAGAAGTGTGGGCAACCCAACCCACCCCACCTATGGTTACCTCACTTCCCAAAGTGAGGCCAACCCAACCATAGGTTGGGTTCCTCCTTCCCTTCCAAGCTTCTCTTCCCAAACTATGTATGCTAGGTTTGCTCTCTAATCAAATCACTTGTTCAATTCACATCTTTCACATAGTATAGAGCTAGTTGTTCCTCAAACCTTAACTCTCCCTCCCTCAAGTTATTTTTCTATGGGCCCACCCCACAGCCACAATTTCCCTCCTACGCTTAGCTCAACCTAGCATACTCTAGCAAGCGCATCGCCGCCTCCTTCCCTAGCCGTCGCGGTCATCCCGCCGCGCCGCCTCCTCCCCTCGCCGCCGCGGCCACTTCCGCCGCCGCCGCCTCCTCCCCTCGCCGTCGTGGCTATTTCGCCGCCGCCGCCTCCTCCCGTCGCCGCCGCGGCCGATTTCGCCGCCGCCGCCTCCTCCCCTCGCCGCCGCGGCCGATTCCGCCGCCGCCGCCTCCCCCCTTCGCCGCCGCGGCTGATTCCGCCGCCGCCGCCTCCTCCCCTCTCCGTCGCGGCCGTTCCGTCGCCGCCGCCTCCTCCCGTCGCCGCCGCGGCTGTTCCGTCGCCGCCGCCTCCTCCTCTCGCCGCCGCGGCTGTTCCGCCGCCGCCGCCTCCTCCCTTCGCCGCCGCGGCCACTTCTGCCGCCGCCGCCTCCACCTCTCGCCCCCGCGGCCGTTTCCGCCGCCGCCGCCTCCTCCCCTCGTCGTCGCCTCTCTCACACCGTCGCCGCCTGCGCCTCCCGCCGCGGCGCTCACATCCTCCCCCTTCCCCTTCTCCCCTCCCCTCTGGCAGTAGCGGCAGCAGCAGCAGCGGCAGCAGCGGCAGCAGCAGCGGCGGCAGCGGCAGCAGCGGCAGCAGCGGCAGCAGCAGCAGCAGCGGCAGCAGAGCAGCAGGCAGCAGCAACAGCAGCAGCAGCAGCAGCAGCAGCAGCAGCCTGAGCAGAGCTCCATCCTCCTGCAGCAGCACCTCCCCCCCCCCTCCCTCTTGGCCGCCGCGGGTCCACCCGCCGTCGCCCACCTCCTTGACCGCCGCGGGTCCACCCGCCGTCGCCCCTCATGGATACCACTCCTCCCTCTCTTCCCCCTCCCATTGACGCCTCCTCCGTCGACAAGCTCCAACTTGCCGCGGACCGCTCGGCGATCAATTGGCACTCCTTCGTCGGGAGCATCCGCCGCGTTCTCCAGGACGCATTCGTCGGACCCTACTGCGTCCTCGACGTCCTCCTCCGCCGCCCGCAAGCTCTCCAGCCCACGGCACCCAGTCACCCTGGCGAACCCCCTCCACCCCCCATTCAACCTGGCCCTCCTCCTTCTGAACCCACCTTGGAGATCGCCACTACCCCAGCGCTCCAGAGTGCCGTCGACGCCACATTCCTCCATGACCGCCGCGAGTACCTCATCCGCAAGGCAGAGCACGAGGTCGCAGTCCACCATCACGACTTCGCAGTAGCGGAACGCGCCAACCGCCTGGCCCTCCTCGATGAATACAACACGGCCATGGCAGACTACCTCCCCAAGAGTATTGCATGGGCCGCTGCTGACAACCGCGCCTGCACCATCCTCCTCGGCGCACTCCCTGATACCCTCATGCGCCGTTTCCAGGCTCGGGAGATGCGCGCCTCCCTCATCTGGGCCGAGCTCCAGGCAATGTTCGAGCGCCGCGACATCAGCTCTGTCGGCGCCCTGTTCCAGGAGTACTTCTCCATCACCCTCGCTACCTGTGACGGCGCAGTTGACTACGTGGGGCGCATGCAGGAGGTCGCTGACCGCCTTGCTGCACGCCAAGCTGCCCTCCCCGAGCCACTGCAAATCCACCGCCTCCTCTACAACCTCACCCCGGACTACGAGTCCCGCCTCCATGCCTTCACTGAAGCGAACGCCATGGCCGGCCTCAACGACGTGGTCCAATGGATCATCGACACGGAGGTCAAGCTCCGCACCCCCGTTGTCAACCTCACCACCCCTCAGCCCTCCTCCTCCAGCTCCCTCAATGCTACGCAGCCGCGCAACCAGGGTGGTCGCAGCGGTGGCGGTGGAGGCCGTGGAGCGGGTGGTGGTGGTGGAGGTCGTGGCGGTAGTGGTGGTGGTGGCGGTAGCCGTGGTGGCCGTGGTGGCGGTGGTGGTGGTGCTGGAGGACCGTCCGGTGCTAGTGGTGCTGTGACTCGAGGCGCTCGCCCTGGCACTCTCCCCCCATGCACGTATGTGCGCCGCCATGGTCCCCATGCTGGTACCCCTTGCGGCCAAACCAACCATCCCCCCAGCACGTGCTTCAAGGCGCTCGACGACGCCTGGTTTGACCGAGGTAACACTGGCACCCCTCCTCGCTGGAACACTGTCACCCCTCGCCCCTCCCTGGTGGATGTTCAAACCCTCCCATCTTTCCTTCCTGCTCACCTCCGCCTGGTTAGCCCCTCCCAGCCTTCCCAGCTGCAGCAATTCCAGCAGCACCAGCAGCAGCAGCATCAGTACTTCCAGCAGCAGCAGCAGCAGCAGCAGCAGCAGCAGCAGCAACAGCAGCAGCCGCAGTTTCTCCAGCCGCAGCAGCCGCCGCCGCCGCATTTCTTCCAACCGCCGCCGCAGCAGCAGCAGCAGTTCCTTCCCCCGTACTGGCAGCAGCAGCCACTGACCTTCGGCACGGCGGCTACGGCCGCCCATGCCTCCCTTGCTCCCCCCCCTCCCTGGGGTTCCCTCCCCTCTGCCCCCCCCAGTGTCCCCGACACTTCGGGCAGTTTCCTCGGTAATGTCAGTATTGCACCATCCGTCGCTTCCATGTATCCCTCTGCTTTCATGTGTCGCTCCCTTGTTCCCTCTGCTTTCCAGTACCCCGTGTCACCTCCTCCTCCTTCTTCCCCCACCCTGGACTTCGTCCTTGATAGTGGGGCCACTGAAACCGCACTAAAGGACGCAGGTACTCTCACCCCCCTTCCACTTCCCTCTCAGGTTCATGGAGCTGATTCCAGTTTTTCCATCCCTTGCACTCATCTCTCCACCCTCCCCTGCACTGCCTTCCCCTCCGGTAAAGTCACAGGCCTCCACATCCCCACTCTCCGCAACAACCTCATCTCCCACCGTGAGCTCCAAGGTGTTGGTATCACTGCCATCTACCCTGGTTATGCCAATTACTGTGACCTCTACCAGACTTCCTCTGGCCGCTTCCTCCTCCGCATCCCACTCTGCCCTTGCACTCGCCTCTACACACTCCGCACACCTCGCCCATCCTACTGCCACGTCACCACCCGTGCTGGTACTTCCACCGGTCCACCCCCCCCCTCCTTTACTTCCCCCCTCCCCTCCCCCTCAGGTATCCTCTCCCTCCCAGCCGTCCTCCTCCTCCCCTCCCGTCCCCTCCATCACCCCATCTCCCTCCTCCTCCACTACCCTCTCGCACCCTGCCGTTCTCTTACACCACAGACTCGGCCATCCCAACTTCACCGCCCTTCGCACCACAGTCACCTCCCGCCTCCTCCGCAGCCTTCCTCCCGTCTTACCCCCGCTTCCCTCCTCCCCCTCTCCCCCATGCTCTTCATGCATTCACGGCAAGCTCAAGCAGTCACCCCACCACAGTCATCCCACCTTCGCCGCCGCCCCCATCGACCTTGTCCACATGGACCTCTGGGGCCCCTATCCCATCCGCTCCCGCCAGGGGCACCGGTACATGCTCGTCCTCGTTGACGACCACAGCCGGTACTCCACCACCTTCTTTCTTCATACGAAAGACCAGGTGCCGGCAGTGGTCATCAACTGGGCCGAGCTGTGCCGCAATCACTTCAAACGCCCCATTGGCCGCCTTCACTCTGACGGTGGGGGTGAGTTCATCAATAACACTCTCGCCACATACTGCAAAACCTACGGTATCCAACAGACCTCCACTCTTCCCCATTCCCCTCAGCAGAACGGCATTGCCGAGAGCCGCATTCGTGAGATCACCAAGATAGCTCGCTGTCTCATTGCTCATGCCTCCACCCCGCCTTCCCTCTGGAGCTATGCCCTTCTCCACGCCGCCCTTCTCCTTAATCTCCGCTCCCATCCTCAGCACCCTTCCTCCTCCCCCACAGAGCTTTGGTCCAACACCAAACCTGACGCTGCCGGCCTTCGAGTTTGGGGATGCAAGGCCTACGTTCTCATTCCACCCGCCGATCGCTCCCGCGCCGCTGGCAAACTTGCTCCCCGTGCCCTGGAATGTGTCTACCTTGGGCACAACCGCGACTCCCCAGGCTACCTCTTCCTCCACCCTCCTACCAATCGCCTCATCCGCAGCAGCGACGTCGTCTTCGACGAGTCCGTCCCCTATTACTCCACTCCTCCCCCTGATCCTCTCCCTCCTCCTACTCGCCCTCTCGCCTGGACCGACACCGTCCTCCCGCCTCTCCTCCCCCCCGCTCCCCTCCTCCCACCTGTCGCCGCTCCACTCCCGCCTCCCTCCTCTGCCGACGTCTACGACCCCGCTGCACCCGCCTCCCCCGCCCACTCAGCTGCACCCCCTCCCTCCCCTCCCTCCTCCCATCACTCTCCCGCCCTTCCGCAACAGCAGCAGCAGCCGGGGCAGCAGCAGCAGCAGCCGGGGCAGCAGCAGCAGCAGCAGCCGGGGCAGCAGCAGCAGCAGCCGGAGCAGCAGCAGCAGCAGCAGCCGGAGCAGCAGCAGCAGCAGCAGCAGCAGCCGGGGCAGCAGCAGCAGCAGCCGGTGCAGCAGCAACGGCAGCAGCAGCAGCAGCAACGGCAGCAGCAACAGCAGCAGCGGCCTCAGCAGGGGCAGCAACCCCATCGCCCGCAGCGACAGCGCGCCACCTCCCACTCCTCCCCCTTTCTCCTTCCCCGCATGCACACCCGATCTCTGGATCCCATCCTTGGGACCCCTCCTCCTCCTTCCCTGCAACTCCTTGAGGACTCTCACGAGGAGTTCCTCGCCATCCAGCAGCACACTCCGTTCATAGCCACCCTCTTTCTTGACTTCCTTGGCTTCCCCGTCCTCGGCGCCACCTCCACCCCCACCATCTTCACTCCCTCCACTTTCCAAGAGGCCATCACATGCCCTGACGCGGACAAGTGGATAGCAGCAATCTTCCAGGAGTGCGAGGCGTTTATCCGCAACGACTCCTTCGTCGACGTTCCCCTCCCTGACGGTGCCAATCTTGTCGAGGGCAAGTGGGTCTTTCGGGTGAAGCAACTGCCGGACGAGGAACCGGTCTACAAGGCCCGCTACTGCGCCAAGGGCTTTACACAGACACATGGGGAGGATTTTTGGTTCACTTACGCCCCCACCGCCAAACCCCCCACCCTTCGCGCAACCCTCGACGTTGGTGCGCGTGATAACATGGAGATCGACTGCATGGACGTCTCCAATGCGTTCCTACAGGGCGACCTGCATGAGCGCATTTTCCTCCGCCGGCCACCTGGGTTCCACGCAGCCTTCCCTGAGAACACTGTCTGGCAGCTGCGTCGCCCTGTCTACGGCTTGAAGCAGGCGCCGCGCGAGTGGCATGCAAAGCTGGCTGCCACCTTAGGGTCACTCGGCTTCTCTCCCTCCCACTCCGACGCCAGCCTCTTCATCCGCTCCTCCCCTCGCCGCTTCTTCATCCTGGTGTACGTGGATGACATGATCCTGCTCTCTGACACGAAGGCCGACATGGAGCAGATGAAGCAGTCCCTGCAGCAGCGTCTCAAGTGCAAAGATCTTGGAGCCCTCACCCACTACCTGGGCATGGCTATCACTCGTGACCGCTCTGCTCGCACCATCACCCTCTCCCAGTCCCATTACATCGGCCAGATCTTGGAGAAGTTCGACATGGCGCAGGCCAAGCCCGTCTCCACCCCCCTCCCCTTCGGCCACCAACTCGCCCCACCCACCTCTCCCACCTCCTCCCCTCACCCCTATGCCGAGCTCGTTGGGTCCCTGATGTACGCGATGATGTGCACCCGCCCCGACCTCGCCTATCCCATCAGCGTGCTCGCTCGCTTCGTCGGCACCGGCCGCCACAGTGAGGAGCACTGGAAGGCGGCCAAGCGGGTCCTCCGCTACCTTCGAGGGACCAAGGACCTTGCCCTCACCCTTGGCGGTTCTTCCCCTCCTCTCCTCTCGGGCTTCAGCGACTCCTCCTGGGCCGACACGCAGCCGGACCGCCGCTCCTCCCAGGGCTACGGCTTCACCCTTGGCAGCGGCCTCATCAGCTGGCGCTCCACCCGCTCCTCCGCCATCTCTCTCTCCACCTGCGAGGCCGAGCTCTACGCCGGCACCATGGCCGCTCAGGAGTCCCGCTGGCTCTGCTTCCTCCTTGCCGAGCTCGGCGCTCCCCAGACATGCCCCACTCTCTGGTGCGACAATGCCAGCACCATCCATCTCACTGAGGACCCTGTCTACCATGCCCGCTCCAAGCACATCGAGCTCCGCTATTTCTTCATTCGCGAGCTTGTCCAGAAGGGTCTCATTGCCGTTCGCAAAATTGCGACCGAGGCCAACCTGGCCGACATTTTTACCAAGGCCCTCCTTCGCCCTGCGCACTCCGCTTTCCTCCGCCTCATCGGCCTCGCTCGCCCGGGCGCTCCTTGATTCAGGGGTTGTTCTCTTCTTGTGTTAGCATGCTAAGGGGTTGTGTTAGAATTATATATATTGTAGCATGCTAAGCACATGTGACTGTACACCAATTGTGGTGTACAGTTGGGTTGGGACTACACCCAACATTGGGTGTAGCCTTGCACTTTGGGGTGCCAATCCACCCAATTGTGGTGGAGCCCCCAAATTGCAACCCTCTTGACTTTTTGGGTACCTCACTTCACAATTGAGGCCACCACAAGCCAAGTGGGCCTAGGGTTGCCACACTTCTTAGAAGTGTGGGCAACCCAACCCACCCCACCTATGGTTACCTCACTTCCCAAAGTGAGGCCAACCCAACCATAGGTTGGGTTCCTCCTTCCCTTCCAAGCTTCTCTTCCCAAACTATGTATGCTAGGTTTGCTCTCTAATCAAATCACTTGTTCAATTCACATCTTTCACAAAGAGCACCAGTTCCTGCATACCGTAGGGAGGATTTTACTTTTGAGAATTCTCAGAAGAAAAATCCACATGAACACAAGACGGGTTACACAGAGCACCAATGGCTGCATACCGCAGGGAGGATTTTACTTTTGCAAATTCTCAAAAGAAAAACTCACATGAATACAAGACGAGTTACACAGAGCACCAATGCCTGCATACCGCAGGGAGGATTTTACTTTTGCAAATTCTCAAAAGAAAAACTCACATGAATACAAGACGAGTTACACAGAGCACCAATGGCTGCATACCGCAGGGAGGATTTTACTTTTGCAAATTCTCAAAAGAAAAACTCACATGAATACAAGACGAGTTACATAGAGCACCAATGGCTGCATACCGCAGGGAGGATTTTACTTTTGCAAATTCTCAAAAGAAAAACTCACATGAATACAAGACGAATTACACAGAGCACCAATGGCTGCATACCGCAGGGAGGATTTTACTTTTGCAAATTCTCAAAAGAAAAACTCACATGAATACAAGACGAGTTACACAGAGCAGCACCAATGCCTGCATACCGCAGGGAGGATAGATCCCCAAGAGTGGTGAAGGCCGCAGAGCTGATGGGATGCCAACCTGCAATGAACCCCGGCCGGCGCACCATGGGAGCCTGATGGTATGTGCGGTGATGGTGTGTATGGTGTGGCTCACCGCAGGGAGGAGAGATCCCCAAGGCTGGCGACGGCAGCAGTGGCGATGGGGTGCCCCCCTGCGATGAATCCTGGCCGACGCACGATAGGAGCCTGATGGGTGGGTGGGTGGGTGGTGGCGGGTGGGAGGTGGTAGGATGAGCAGTGGGAGATGGCAGAGTAGTGCTGACCAATAGCCCCCTGCGATGAACCCTGCCCAGCGCACGATTGGAGCCTGATGGGTGTGGTGGTGTGGTGTGGTGAGTATGGGTGTTGAAATGGGCAGTGGGCTGTGTCATACTAGTGCTGGTCGGATGTCCCCCCCCCCCCCCATGAACCCTGGCCGGCGCACCATGGGAGCCTGATGTGTGTGTGAGTGGGAGGTTGGTGATGGGCAATTGCGGGGTAGGTGGGTACGGGGGGTAGGTAGGCACTCACCAGGAATCGTGACGATTCTAGAGAACTGAATGTGGCTGAAGAGGGTGTGACTATAGCGAGGGCGCCACGCACATCTGAGAGGAGCGTGGAGGACGGAAAGGGGGAGCGAGAGAAAGGGTTCGAGAGCACTCGAAACAATCAGTACACACGGACTGAGAAAGAGAATAATTTTGAGGAAACCAGCAAGAGAAAGGGTCCGAGGGCACTCGAAACAATCAGCACACAAAGACTGAGAAAGAGCACTCCGTGGAGGAAGTCGTTGAGAAATCTCACCTTCATCTCCTCCATGAAGGTGAGCAGGGCAGACTGCTGAGAATTCTCAAAAGCGACTTTTGAGAAATTTCGAAAGTCGTTCTAAAGCACAGCTAGTACATAGGCGAGAGGAAAAGAGCTCACATGCGAGGCCTGAGAGAACGCCACTTAGGTGGCCGAGCAGAGAGGCGGAAGGGAGGAGCAGTTAAAGACAGAGACAGGTGAGGCGGGGGGAGCTCACATGCGAGGCCTGAGAGAACGCCACTCAGGTGGCCGAGCAGAGAGGCGGAGGGGAGGAGCAGTTGGAATAGCACGAGAAGGACCCAGGGGTACCTGTGTTTTAGCGGGAAGGGATGGGATCGGATGGGGTGGGGTTGGGATGGGATGCGGTGGGGTGCAAGTGGGACGGGATACCACGGCAACGAACTGCCCTTTCATGTTACAGGTTTGATAACAAATATCGTAAAAGAAATCATTTCAAGGTGGCTCAAACACCCCTTCATGCCACGGGATTGATGACAAAAATCGTAAAAACGCCCTTTCATGCCACGGGATTGATGACAAAAATCGTAAAAACGCCCTTTCATGCCACGGGATTGATGACAAAAATCGTAAAAACGCCCTTTCATGCCACAGTGGCGACTACACCCTTTCAAACTGCCCTTTCTAGGTGGCTCGACCACCCTGTGCTGCTGGAAGCTTTGAGTGCTTAAAAGACGTTGTTTCAATGGATTTCATTGTGAAAGCTCACTAGGGCGATTGGCACAGTGTGAAAATAGAAGATAGGAAAGCATTGGGAACGTTATACAAAAAAATATCAATGCAGCTCCAACAGAGGCTTCCCAAGAATTCTCACCAGGCGGTTGGCACAGTGAAGAAACCAAAGATGCTGCACGCAGGGGAAACATGGTGCGGGGTGACACAGAGGAGGGAGATTCAAAGGATGAAAGGGTAATGCGGAGCAAGGAGGGTAAAATGCATGTATGCGGAGTTCTGTGGTCCCAAATTCCTCAAAAAGAGGCAAGGATGCTAACCTGCATGATGCATGTACGCAGAGCTGTGCGTGCATGTACGCAGAGTTGTGTCGCCTCAAGAAGAGCATCAACCTTTTCACACTGCATCGCAGACCCTGCAGCTGTCGCTGTCGCTGCCTTACCTACCCTGCAGCCCAACAGCTCACCTTGCCAGTGCAACACGATAAGAGCAAACAGCACGCCAGAGAAGCCGATGCAGCACTCGGCGCCCCACCAACTCCACCATCCAAGCAGCGTCCCGGGGAGGAAGGCAAGCAGTGAATGAATAACGGCATTGAGCAGGGCGAGCAGCAGCAGCGCGTGCAGCAGGCGGAGAGAGCCCAGGTGGCGCTCCAGAGGGGACAGGGCAGCCAGGAAGAGCAGCAAGGAGAAGCCCACACTCACCTCCTTTGACTGCCGCCTCCAATCTGCAAGTCCAGGACGATGAGTGCAAAGAGCACGCCTGAGAAGCCGATGCAGCACTCGCCAGCCCACCAGCTCCACCAGCCAAGCAAAATTCCCGGCAAGAACGCCAAGGCACTGTGGATAATGGAGTTGAGGCAGGCGAGCAGCAGCAGCGCGTGCAGCAGGCGGAGAGAGCCCAGGTGGCGCTCCAGAGGGGACGCGAGAGGGAGGAGTGTGGAGAGGTTGAGTGCGATGTGGAGGAGTCCCTTGTGGAAGAAGATGGAGGTGAGGGCGCGGTAGACTGGAAAGGGGGGAACGGGAAGAGCAGGGCGAAAGAACGGAGCACAGGAAACAGAGCACAGGGAAAAGCGAGGGAAATTGGAGTGTGGAGAGGTTGAGTGCGATCTGGAGGAGCCCCTTGTGGAAGAAAATGGAGGAGCGGGAGCAGTAGACTGAAGTTAAGGAGGGGAAGAAATTGAGGGGGGGGTGAAGAGAAGGTGAAGAGTGAAGACGAGGTGGGGTGTGAAGAGGTTAATCGTTGCACATTTGTCTTTCAACGGTTAATTTTATCATAATCCCTCATGTTGCATAGTGAAATGATCTGTTGCATCAATCGCAATAGGATTGAACCGTGGAGGCCACGAAATTGATAATATTACAGCAATACGATCAATATCGTGGCATCCACAGATCAACCATACTGCGACTGATGCCCCCGGTCAACTCACTCTACAACACGAAAGATATAACAATGGTATCTCACCTTGCCAATGCAGCAGTGCTAGAGAGGGCGAGAAGCAGACCTCCCTGAAGCTGTCATAACCGATTAGTAAGTCACCCACGAACACAGCCACACAGATGACGAAGATGGAGGCAGTTACTACAGGCACACCCAGCCACCACTGGTGGATGTGCGTACCTATGCTGGCCTGGGAGTGAGGGGTGGGGGAAGGGATGAGGATGGGGAGGGACGGGTGGAGGGATGATGAGCCACCACACGGGCTGAATGGACAGCAACACAGCCAGCCACTCAGATGGCGAATACAGAGGCAGTTACTAGAGGCACACCCAGCAACCACTGGTGCATGTGCGTGGCTATGCTGGCCTGGAGGGGTTGGGGGCGAAGGGAGGGGGGGAGGACGAGGGAAGGGATAAGTGATTACCACCACACCAGCCGCATGGAAAGCTAAACTGCCAGCCACTCAGATGGCGAAGACAGGCTGTTATCAGAGGCCCCACTGGAAAGCGTGCCTGTGCTGGCCTGGGAGTGAAGGGATGGGGAAAAGGCGACGGATCGGATCAAGCACAACCACCACACATACAGCCACACGCACATTTTTGAGAATTCTCAAAAGTGATTTCAACATGGATGGGGAAAAAGACGACGGATCGGAGCAGCAGAACCACCACACATACAGCCAACACACACAGGTGTCGCCAAACTCCTACATGTGTCACGAAACTCTTACAGGCGTCGCGAAACTCCTACAGGCGTTGCGAAACTCCTACAGGTGTCGCGAAACTCCTACAGGTGTCGCGAAACTCCTACAGGTGTCGCGAAACTCCTACAGGTGTCGCGAAACTCCTACAGGTGTCGCGAAACTCCTACAGGCAGGTTTGCGACAGGCAGGAATCGCAGACCTCTGATGTGACGTTGGACCGCATCGCGCCTCCACCACCGTTGATTCCCGCGATCTAACGGCCGACGCAACCGTCACTAGGCCAGAGAAAATCTGACGGCCGAGAATATCGTTCAGGCTGTGCAAGCCAAATCGGACGGCAGACAGAATGTATTCCGTGGAGCCGCGATCCTTCTAGCACAAAAAAAGAAAGGTCGGAAAACGGGACAAATTCTTGTTTATTTTTACCCCCCCAGAAAACAAAGGCTTTCGACTCAGGTCAGAGCGCGAACTAGTGGTTGTGAGTTTGCAGGTAATAAATAGCGAACCAAGCGCTTCGGCGAAATCGAAGCGGCAACGAAGCGAAACTGGCTTCTAGGCGAAACGTACGACTGACGGATGGTTGTCAGTCAGTATGGCGATGACCTTTGGTAATGCCGGGTGTACGCGTTAGTATCCTGAGCGTCGAAGTAGCACTATGCATTCAGTTTCTGCAAAGCCTCGTTGACTAGAAATTGTACATTGTCCAGAACCCATCTTTTTAGTGCAGACAAAAGAAAACAAGCACAAGCACACATCACATAACTATATTAGACCACACTGCACACAACAAATTTTTGCAAGCATAGAGCTTCTTACAACCTAATAGCCCAGCCTCCAGGTGAAATCTCCCTTTTTGGGTTCTTGACGGGAGATTCCTGTCATTTTCTTTGCGTCTCAAAAAGCGACAGAACCTGGTTTTCTATTCAAACCTCCGCAGCACCCGTAACTGATGGAAACGGGTAACCTTAACTAGTTTTACCCTGAAGAAGTTACACATTGGCCCTGCTTTTTGCTGCTTGCTTACTGCTCTCTGCTCACTTCTAATGCTCGCTACTTGCTCGTGCCATCTTCCCCTCTCTCGCTCCCATTCCCTAATCACTCCAGTCATCATCCTCACTATCCTCATCCTCATCCTCATCCTCATCCACAGGAACCCTACTTGTGATTCACCTAAGCACCTTCCACTCTATTCCCCCCCCTCTAGTCACTCCAGTCATCATCCTCACTTCATCCACTGGTGCTCTCCTCTAGCCCCTGCCAGCATAGCCTGGTAGCCCCCTCCACTCCCATTTCTCTGGCATTGCCTGGGTCGTTAACACCCCTGTAGTGCAGCACACATTCCCCCCCTCCTCTAGTCGCTCCAGTCATCATCCTCACTATCCTCATCCTCATCCACAGGAGCTCTCCTCCTCGTAATGGCCCCTGCCAGCATCGCCTGGGTAGCCCCCCTCACAAACGGCGTACCCTCCCCTCCTCCGCCCCCACCTCCTGCTCTACCGCCTCGTTTTCACCCGCTTCACTCACACATTCCCCCCCTTAATCGCTCCAGTCATCATCCTCACTATCTTCATCCTCATCCACCGGTGCTCTCCTCCTCGTAATCGCTCCTGCAAGCATCGCCTGGGTAGCCCCCCTCACAAACGGCGTACCCTCCCCTCCTCCGCCCCCACCTCCTGCTCTACCGCCTCGTTTTCACCCGCTTCACTCACACATTCCCCCCCTTAATCGCTCCAGTCATCATCCTCACTATCTTCATCCTCATCCACCGGTGCTCTCCTCCTCGTAATCGCTCCTGCAAGTATCACCTGGGTAGCCCCCCTCACAAACGGCGTAGCCTCCCCACCTCCGCCCCCACCTCCTCTCCCTCCCCTCTCCTCCTCCTCACTCTCCTCACTCCCTTCCCCACCTTCATCCTCCTCGTTTTCTGCCGCTGCTTTTGCAGCCGCTTCCTGCTGCTGCCCCTGCTGCTTCTGCTGCTGCTGCGATTTCTGCTTCTCCTGCTCCTTCTGCTGCTCCTCCTGCTCCCGCTGCTGCTTCCCACTCGCCTTAGCCTTGGGTTGGGCCTTCTCTTTGGTCGCCTCCTCCTCTGCTGCCTTCTTCTTCTCATACTCTACTAAATTCTTCTTGAACAGATCAACGAAATCCCTCAACACACCAAAGACTGGGGAGGGAGGGAAGGGAGGGGAAAAGGAAGGGACGCAGGGGAAAAGAGGGATGAGAGTATGTGCAACGCACCAGAAAATGCACAGTGGTCTTAAAGGATCATTGTAGAGGGATTATGGTAGAGGGATTATGGTAGAGGGATCATGGTAGAGGGATCATGCTAGAGGGACCATGGTAGAGGGATCATGCTAGAGGGACCATGGTTGAGGGACCATGCTTTCATGAGAGACCATGCTTTGCTGTCTGTGGTGACTTAAACTCAAGATTTGGAGAATGTAAAGAAGGTTGTATGGGTGACTCATCAGCATGCATTGGTGAAGAAGGTGCATTGCTGAGATCGTACAGAAGGTTGTCTTGAGTTGAAGCCATACTGATGCATAGGGTTTGAGCCAAGTTAACGCAATAGGTCTAAGCTGATCAGCTTTATGATGTGCGCCAAACTCACTGAGTGTAAAGGAGGTTGTCTTGGGGTCCGAGCCAAACTTGCGAGCGAGATTCTCAGCACTGGCGTTCTGGTGGACCAGAGGGGGGAGGGGGGGGGGGGGGGAGAAGGGGAGAAGAAAGGGAAAGGGGGGATGGTGATGGGGGGAGGGGATGTGGGGAAAGCTGTCTTGGGGTCCAAGCCAAACTTGCGAGCAAAATTCTCAGCACTGGCGTTCTGGCGGATTGGGAGATGATGTGGGAGAGGAGGGTGAGAAGAAAGGGAAAGGGGAAGGGATGGGGGGGATGGTGATGTTGGGAGGGGATGTGGGGAAAGCTGTCTTGGGGTCCAAGCCAAACTTGCGAGCGAAATTCTCAGCACTGGCGTTCTGGTGGATGGGGTGGGTTGATGGGTGGGGTGGGGGGAGGAGAAGCGGGGGGGAGGGAGATGAGGATGGAGGATCAGCGCCTATGAGTGAGACAACATTTTCATATGACTTTTGAGTCGACTCAAAAGTCACCTAGAGAAAATTATCATTGAACAGCTGCATGGCTCGACCGATGCGTGTCCGCATTGCATGCATCAACTCAGTGGCAACTCACTGCATGGCTCAGAGAGTGAGAGAACATTTTCACGCAACAGCTGCATGGCTCGGTGCGGCATGCTTCAACTCAGCTCAGTGGCAACCAATGCACCTCAGCCTCAAGTCATCACCAGAGCGGCCAGAGCAAGGGACATATGGTAAGGCAGCGCTCACCATCTCGCCCATGAGGCCGTGTACACTGGCATGCCATCTAACAACATCCTCCTCATAAAACAGCTGCATGGCTCGATGTGTGTCCGCATGCTTCAAGGGCAGTGCATCCTCCTCCCGCTTCGCCTCCTCCTTCTCCTTCTCCTTCTCCTTCTCCTTCTCCTTCTCCTTCTCCTTCTCCTTCTCCTTCTCCTTCTCCTTCTCCTCCTTTTTCTCCTCTTCCTTTTTCTCCTCTTTTTTCTCCTCCTTCTCCTCCCCCTTCTCCCCCTCTCCGCCCTTCCCACCATCTCCCTTGTCCCCTTCACCTTCCTTTCCCGTACCCTCCTTACTCCCGCCCTCCTCCTTCTCTCCCTCCCCAGTCTCCCCCTCTTGCGCTTTCTTCTCCTTCTCTTTCTCCTTCTCCTCCTCCTTCTTCCTCTCCTCCTCAACCATCTTCTCACACTCCTTCAACTCTCGCTCTACAAGCACCTTCCCTCTGTCCAGCTCCCCTATCACTTCCGCCAGTCCCTTTTGGTCCACCTGCAAGGGTCAAACATAAACAGAGAACAGAACGGGCGAGCAGCAGATAGAATTAGCACTCTCTCCCCTTCTTCTTCTTCTCCTCCTCAACCATCTTCTCACACTCCTTCAACTCTCGCTCCACAAGCACCTTCCCTCTATCCAACTCCCCAATCACTTCCGCCAGTCCCTTTTGATCCACCTGCAAGCAAGCACAGAGGGGTTGGGACGGGCAAGCAAACAGCGGATAAGATTCGCACTCTTACTCTCCTACCCCCCCTCCATCTTCCTCTCCTCCTCTACCATCTTCTCACACTCCTTCAACTCTCTCTCCACAAGCACCTTCCCTCTATCCAGCTCCCCAATCACTTCCGCCAGTCCCTTTTGGTCCACCTGCATGGGATCAAACATAAACAGAGGAACAGAGGATGAAACAGGCAAGCAGCAGATAAGATTTGCACTCTTCCTCTCCTCTCATTTCTTCTCTTCCTCAGCCATCTTCTCACACTCCTTCAACTCTCGCTCCACAAGCACCTTCCCTCTGTCCAGCTCCCCAACCACTTCCGCCAATCCCTTTTGATCCACCTGCAAGGGGTGGGGATGAGAGAGAGGGAGAGAACGGAAACACGGCCTTAGAGCCTCTGGCCCGCTACCCAGAAATCCTTCTACCCAGAAGGCGAAGTGAACTCAGCTCACATTAACTGCCTCATTCAAACGGTTTCGAGCCCCCTCGATGAAGTCCTTCCAGAAGTAGAGCCACTCGGGGCAAGGTGCCCTCTCGAGTCAGCCAGGGTCAGGTGTCGACTAATGCCTCAACAACACAACACAACCAGGCCAGCTCACCTTGATTGCTTCGTTCAGCAGGTTCCGAGAGCCATCGGTGAAATCCTTCCAGAAGTAGAGCCACTCGGGTCGGCACTGACTCAGGACCTGGATGGGTGGGGTGGGGAAGACAGGGGGAAAAGTGAACAGGGAGGAAAGCGAACAGGGAGGAAAGTGAACAGGGAGGAAAGTGAACAGGGAGGAAAGTGAACAGGGAGGAAAGTGAACAGGGAGGAAAGTGCAAGCAAGACAGGGAAAGGATGAAGTGAAAAGAGCCATCGGTGAAATCCTTCCAGAAGTAGAGCCACTCGGGTCGGCACTGACTCAGGACCTGGATGGGTGGGGTGGGGAAGACAGGGGGAAAAGTGAACAGGGAGGAAAGCGAACAGGGAGGAAAGTGAACAGGGAGGAAAGTGAACAGGGAGGAAAGTGAACAGGGAGGAAAGTGCAAGCAAGACAGGGAAAGGATGAAGTGAAAAGAGCCATCAGCTGTGACCTGCAGAGGGAAGTGAAGGGAGGGAGGGGAGGGAGGAGCAGGGAGCACAAGAGAGTGTGGAGAAGACTGTGTAAGCCATGAAGCCCTTGGCGATGGCCACTTTGTTGATACAATGAGACGTCAACTGCACCTTGTATAAAGAAACACCGTACATATTCACCACTCACCTTAATGAGGTACGCCATGAAGCCCTTGGTGTTGGCCACCTTGTTCAGATCGTTGACACCCCCCCCCCCAACACACACCCTCCCCATACTACACGCATACTCACCTTAATGAGGTACGCCATGAAGCCCTTGGTGTTGGCCACCTTGTTCAGATCGTTGGCTGCAAACCCCACCACCTTGCCTGCCGCACCAGCACACACGGCACACAAAGAAACAACAGGAACAAGATTTGAGTTGTCTCAAACCTGCTAACCATGGAACACAGGCAAACACAAAATCAGGGGAAACAGAAGATAAGGAACGAAAAGGGTAGCGACATGGATCCATCATCCATGCAGCGCGCTCTCTTTTCTTTGCAACGTGCAGGCCTTTTGCACAAATGTCCATCCATCATACAATACGATACGATACGATACGATACGATACGATACGATACGATACGATACGATACGATACGATACCACCCAAACACTTAATCAACACACCACTCCGTTTCCAGTTGAGTACGACCCACAGCTCACCCTTTTTGGTGCCCTCATTAAGTTTGTTGCCGATATCTCGCACCACCAGCAGCACAAGGCATAGCCCCTAGGCACACAGAAGCACCACAGCATTCCACCCACAGCTCACCCTTCTTGGTGCCCTCGTTAAGTTTGTTGCCAATATCTCGCACCACCAGCAGCACATGCTGCAGCTTCTGGGATTCTTGGATCTGAGAGATTTGGGGGCGGCAAACACAGAGAGATGAAGCAAAGGAGGGTAAATTGCACGCGATAGCGGGACGAAGCGAAGGGATGGAGGGGTGGGCGGGGGGGAGCGCAACAGGAGGTGCTGGTGTGTTTGACTCATGGAGGTATGGTGGTTGAATGGGCCATGAGGGAAAGGAATACTTGGGATGTGATGAGGGAAGGTGAAGGGTGGGATGAGGCAAGGGGGAAGGAAGTGAATCTGATAGGAAATGAAAGATGAAGTGCCCACCTTTTGTGAGACAAGAGTCACAAACTTGATCGTGTCTGCAAGCTCTGGTGCCTGGTGGATGGAGGAAGAGAGGCAGGACGAGGGAATTGGAAGAAAGCGGGGAGAGGTGGGGGAGGACAAGAGTCACAAACTTGATCGTGTCTGCAAGCTCTGGTGCCTGGTGGGCGTTTGGATGAGAGGAAAAGGCAGCAGAATGGCCTGGTGTGCCTGGCAAGGAGAATAGACATAATCAATACAGAGGGGTTTCCACCTGACAAGTCAAGTCACAAAACCACTCATTACCAACCCCAACCACTCATTACCCCTCTCCGCCACCTTCTACTCACCCCCTCTGCAAGGAATATCCTGTACTGCAGCACTTCGAGATTTGGCTCCAGGCGCTGCACCCCCAGCAGCACCAATCCCAACCACTCAGTACCCATCTCCTCTCCCGTTACACTCACCCTCTCTGCCAGGAATATCCTGCACTGCAGCACCTTGAGCTTCGGCTCCAGCTGCTGCACCCCCAACCCAACCAACAGCATCCACCACCACCGACCCCAACCACTTAGTACCCCTCTCCTTACACCACAACTCACCCGCTCTGCCAGAAAGATCCTGTACTGCAGCACCTTGAGCTTTGGCTCCAGGCGCTGCACTCCCAGTAATGCTCGAAATAGCTGCAGGGGAAGAGCAGAGAGGGAGATGGGAGTAGCGTATGGGACGGAAAGGGGGCATGAGGATGGGGTATGAGGATGGGGTATGAGGATGGGGAGGAAGTTCGGAAGCAGGGGAAAATGGAAGTGGGGGAAGAGAGGTGAGCGGGGAATCAGGAAAAGAGAGGAAGTAGGGAAGCCAGCCAGGTCCCCTACCAACCTTCGACTCTTCTAAACCCACCTTCCTCATTTCCCAACCTGGTAACCTGGCTGGCTTCCCTACTTCCTCTCTTTTACTAACCTGGCTGGTTGGTAATGAGGTAACCTGGCAGACAGGAAAAGGGAGGAAGTAGGGAAGCCAGCCAGGTTACCTCCCTACCAACCTTCGACTCTTCTAAAACCGTCTTCCTCATTACCCACTCTGATACTTTGGTTTAGCCAGATGAGTAACAACAAACCTCCTTCACCTCCATTTCCCGGCAAATATCTCCGTTGGTAACCACCTTCCTCAGTTCCAGCCTCCCCCAGCACGTACCTGCTCGCACGGACCTAGGTCTTCCACGTTCCCCTTGAACTCCTGTCAGGGAAAGGGAGGGAGAGGGGAGGAGGGGGAGGAGGGGGAGGAGGGGGTGGAGGGGGAGGAGGGGGAGGAGGGGGTGGAGGGGGAGGAGGGGGAGGAGGGGGTGGAGGGGGAGGAGGGGGAGGAGAGAGAAGACGTGAGGGAATCAATTCCAACCTTCCCTGCTCGCACCTGCTCGCACGGACCCAGCTTCTCAACATTCCCCTTAAACTCCTGCCAGGGAGAGGGAGGGACGGGGGGGGGGAAAGTGGGGAGGGGAGGGGAGGGTAGAAGGAGATAGATGGTGTGAGTCGACTCAGCAGTCACTCCCACCTCCCCCAGCGCGCACCTGCTCGCACGGACCCAGATCCTCCACGTTCCCCTTGAACTCCTGTTAGTGCCAGGGTGGGGAGAAGAGGGAGAGTGGGGGAAGAGACAAGGCGTGAGCCGCTTCCAGCCTTCCCCAGCACGCATCTGCTCGCACGGATCCAGATCCTCCACATTCCCCTTGAACTCCTGCCAGAGGGAGGGAGAGGGGAGGAGAGGGAGAGGGAGGGGGAGGGGGGGGTTGTGGGGAGAAAGATGGTGCGCGTTTTGAGACGTCTCAAAACACTTCTTCAGTCAGGAGTCACTTCCAACCTTCCCCAGCGCGCACCTGCTCGCACGGACCCAGATCCTCCACATTCCCCTAGATCTCCTGTCAGAGAGAGGGAGAGGGGAGGAGAGGGAGAGGGAGGGGGAGGGGGGGGTTGTGGGGAGAAAGATGGTGCGTGTTTTGAGACGTCTCAAAACACTTCTTCAGTCAGGAGTCACTTCCAACCTTCCCCAGCGCGCACCTGCTCGCACGGACCCAGATCCTCCACATTCCCCTTGAACTCGTGTTAGTGCCAGGGTGGGGGGAAGAGGGAGAGTGGGGGAAGAGACAAGGCGTGAGCCGCTTCCAGCCTTCCCCAGCACACACCTGCTCGCACGGACCCAGGTCCTCCACATTCCCCTTGAAACTCCTGCCAGGAATGGGCGAGAGGGCGGGAAGGAGGGAAGGGGGGAGAGGGGGGGAAGGAGGAAGAGGGCGGGAATGGGGAATGGGGGAGATGGTGTGAGTCGACTCAGAGGCCACTCCCAACCTTTCCCAGCACACACCTGCTCGCACAGAACCCATGCACACGCGCCCATGCACACGCGCTCTACATACATGCGCATGCACCCATGCACATGTGCAACATACATACACATGCGCAACATACATGCGCAGACCCATGTGCCACAGGGTCTACATACATGCACGCGCCATGCACACACACACAGTAGGTCCCATCTCACCCTCAGCAGCCGCTTCTCCTTGTCGTCTGGTCCATATTTCAACAGAGTTTCCACCAGGCTGTCACACCTCTCCACACCACTGGCACGTGCATCTACCAATCCCCTTCTGCTCCCCTATACTATGCACCTCTATCCATATACTGGTATCTCACCCGCAGCAGCCTCTTCTCCTTGTCATCTGGTCCATACTTCAACAGAGTCTCCACCAGGCTGTCACACCACTCGCCTATTGTGGACGTGTCCACACTCAACACTGCAATCTGGTGGCATGTGGAAAGAGGACGAGAGGGAGAGAGACGGAAGCAGGTAGAGAGGGGGATGGAAGCAGAGCCTCCACCAGGCTGTCACACCACTCGCCTATCGTGGACGTGTCCACAAACAACACCGCAATCTGGTTGCAGCATGGGAAAGGAGGGATAGAGGGAAGCAGGGGGGTGGAGAGACGGAAACAGAGTTTTCACCAGGCTGTCCTGTCGCACCACTCGCCTATTGTGGACATGTCGACACTCAACACCGCAATCTGGTGGTATGTGAAGCGAGGGAGAGGGAGAGAGAGTGAAGCAGATTGGAAGGAGATGGGTATGGAAGCAGAGTCTCCACCAGGCTGTCGCACCACTCGCCTATTGTTGACATGTCCACACTCAACACTGCAATCTGGTGGTATGTGACAAGAGGGAGAAAGACAGAATGGCGACAAGGAGAAAGAGGAGATGGACGGTAGGGTTGGGTACAGTGAACAGCTTTTCCAAGGCTCGCTGTCACCCCATAGACATGGGAGAGAGAAAAACGAGAGGAGAGTAGGACACAGAGCAGAACGAGGAGAGAGAGCAGAGAGAGCAGAGAGAGCAGAAAGGGGAGAGAAGACTGCAAAGAGCAGAGAGCAGAGAGCAGAGAGCAGAGAGCAGAGAGCAGAGAGCAGAGAGCAGAGAGCAGAGAGCAGAGAGCAGAGAGCAGAGAGCAGAGAGCAGAGAGCAGAGAGCAGAGAGCAGAGAGCAGAGAGCAGAGAGCAGAGGGCAGAGGGCAGAGGGCAGAGGGCAGAGGGCAGAGGGCAGAGGGCAGAGGGCAGAGAGCAGAGAGCAGAGAGCAGAGAGCAGAGAGCAGAGAGCAGAGAGCAGAGAGCAGAGAGCAGAGAGCAGAGAGCAGAGAGCAGAGAGCAGAGAGCAGAGGGCAGAGGGCAGAGAGCAGAGAGCAGAGAGCAGAGAGCAGAGAGCAGAGAGCAGAGAGCAGAGAGCAGAGAGCAGAGAGCAGAGGGCAGAGGGCAGAGAGCAGAGAGAAGAGAGCAGAGAGCAGAGAGCAGAGAGCAGAGAGCAGAGAGCAGAGAGCAGAGAGCAGAGAGCAGAGAGCAGAGAGCAGAGAGCAGAGAGCAGAGAGCAGAGAGCAGAGAGCAGAGAGCAGAGAGCAGAGAGCAGAGAGCAGAGAGCAGAGAGCAGAGAGCAGAGAGCAGAGGGCAGAGGGCAGAGGGCAGAGAGCAGAGAGAAGAGAGCAGAGAGCAGAGAGCAGAGAGCAGAGAGCAGAGAGCAGAGAGCAGAGAGCAGAGAGCAGAGAGCAGAGAGCAGAGAGCAGAGAGCAGAGAGCAGAGAGCAGAGAGCAGAGAGCAGAGAGCAGAGAGCAGAGAGCAGAGGGGCAGGGAGGCATACCACAAGGTTGCGGGGATGGAGCTTCATGCTGCGAAGGAGGAAGAGAGTAGAAACACAGGCAGAGTGCAGCGAGCAGAGAGCAGAGAGAGGGGAAAAAGCAGAGTGGCAGAGGGCAGAGAGAAGGGCATACCACGAGGTCGCGGGGATGGAGCTTCATGCTGCGAAGGGAGATCTCCACGTTCCGTGACTTGCCCATGTCGATCTGTGCGTGCACGGGTGGGGGGGGTGGGGGGGGGGGGTATGTATGTTGCAGTCTTCTCAACCAGCTTCATGCTGCAAAGGAAGATCCCGACGTTCCTTGACGTGCCCATGTCGATGTGTGAGTGTGCAATGGGAGGAGGAAATGGGAGTAAGGGGGGTATGTGTATCGTTATCCCAACCAGCTCGATGCTGCGAAGAGAGATCTCGACGTTCCTTGACATGCCCATGTCGATGTGTGAGTGTGAGGCGGCGGGGTAAGGGAGCGGGAGAAAGGGTGAAAATGGAGAAGAGGGGATCACCACTCACAATGCGGATGACTTGCTTCTTCGGTTGTTTGAGTTGACTCAAAACAGACTCAAAGTGAAAGGGGGGTGGGTGGGAGGGAGGGTGAAAATGGAGAAGTGGGGATCACCACTCACAATGCGGATGACTTGCTTCTTCTGTATTTTACTCGAATCAAAAACAGACCCAGAGCGAAAGGGGGGTAGGTGGGTGGGAGGAAGGGTGAAAATGGAGAAGAGGGGATCACCTCTCCCAACGCGGACGACCTGCTTCTTCACAGGTTGCTCTGCGTGCTTGAAAGGAGCCGCTGCCTTGGGCTCAAACCAGACTGCTTGGAACCACTTGTTACCACATGGCACCACTTGATACGTCTTAGAACCACTTGGGACTCACAATGCGGATGACTTGCTTCTTCACCGGCTGCTCCGCCTTCTTGAAAGGAGCCGGAGCTTTGGGCTCAAACTGCTTTTTCAACTCCCCGATATCGATATCAAAGTCAAGCTCCCTGGTTGGGTAGGGGAGAGGAGGGGGGACAGAGGGACAAGTAATGATGGAGAGGATTGGAAAGGAGAAGGGGCAAGGATGTGTTGGGTTGGGGCGGGCTCAAACTGCTTCTTCAACTCCCCAATATCGATATCAAAGTCAAGCTCACTGGTTGGGAAGGGTGGAATGGGGAGACGGGGATGGGCAGAGAGGGGAGCAGAGGTGGCAAGGAAGCATTGCTTTGGGCTCAAATTGCTTCTTCAGCTCCCCAATGTCGATATCAAAGTCAAGCTCCCTGGTTGGGAAGGGGAGGGGAGGGAACGGGAAGATGGGACGGGCATTGATAGAGGAGAGGGAAATGGCAAAGGGGCAAGGAAGCATTGCCTAGGCTTAGGCTCAAACTGTTTCTTCAGCCCCCCAATATCGATATCAAAGTCAAGCTCCCTGATTGGGTAGAGGACGGGGGGGGAATTGAAGGGAAGCACGAGCAACGACGGGAAAGAGGGAGTGGAAAGGGGTACTGCTTTGGGCTCAAACTGCTTCTTCAACTGCCCCATATCAATATCAAAGTCAAGCGTTGGGGAGAAGGGCAACGAGTAATCACAGAGGGAAAGGAGTAGGAATAATCATTACTGACTTACCCACAAGATGCGTTGCCAGCACTACTTGTCTGCCTGCCTCCTACCTCCCTTAAAAAAACCCCTTGAATTATTTTCATTCCCCCCATTTCCCTTCTCCCCACTCACTTTCTTCCCAATCCCCTTCCCCTCCCACCTCCCCTTCTCCCCATCGAAAGCTTGTTCCCAAGTTAGAAGCATTACTAAAATAAGAAACAGCTCACGAGATTGAGGTGGTGCTATCCGCATCTGTCACGGCCCATACCCCCCATGCCCCCCATGCCTCCATACCCCCATGCCCCCCATGCCCCTCATGCCCCCCATGCCCCCCATGACCTAACCCACATTAGCAGCATTACTAAAAGAAGGAAACAACTCACGAGGCCCAGATGGTGCCATTTGCATTCGTCACGCCCCATCAATCTCCCAGCGCCTGCTTCCCCCCAAAACCCCCCCACCCGTACCACACCTTTCCCAAAATAGAAGCATTACTAAAAGAGGAAAACAACTCACGAGGCCCAGATGGTGCCATCCGCGTTTGTCACGCCCCCCCAGTCCACCAGCGCGCGCTTTGCCCCCCACGCCCCCCCAGGAGGGGGAGGGGGACCCTTCACCGTGAACCCAGGCAAGGGGAGAGGGGGAACTGCGCCCCTGGCGCCAGGGGGGGGCGGGGGAGGGGGAGGCCCCGGCCCCTTAGCGCCTGGAGGGGGCGGGGGGGGAGGGGGACCCTTCGTCCCTGGGGGAGGGGGAGGCGGAGGGGGGCCTTTGGAGCCTGGGGGCGGGGGCGGGGGAGGGGGACCCTTGGCGCCCGGGGGAAGGGGCGGGGGAGGGGGTGGCGGAGGTCCTTTTCCCCCAGGGGGGGGCGGGGGCGGCGGAGGGGGAGCGGGAGGGGCTTTTAAAGTACCACCACTAAGTGACGAGCTAAGCGGGGGGGCCTTAGGGCGGGCCTTACCCCCCGCTCCCCCTGCTTCCTTCTCCCCACTCTCCTCCCCAAACCCACCTCCTATCGACCCAGCAGCCGCTTTCAACCCTCCCAACCGACTCCCTCCGCCTTGGACCCACCAATACCCCTTCTGGCGTCTTTCACCTGAGTCCCATACCCTACAATCGCCCCCTCCTCCTCATCCTCCTCACTCTCTCCCCCCTTCTCCCCATCCTTCCCCTTTTTCAGCTTATCGTCCTTTGCTTTCTTCACCCATTTCTTTGCCACGCCTGCCACCCTACTCAAATCCTCCTCTCCTTCCAAACTCTTCTTTACCTCTGGTAAACCAGGCAAAGCCGCGGGTTTCGTCGGGGTCAGAGCATCATTTTCCAAGCTGCCCGACGAACCCTCTCGGGCAAGTCTCGCCTTTCCCAGGGCAATAAACGAGCCATCATCGTCCTCTTCCCAGCCTCTACGGCTTGGGGCATTTTTTGCCCTGCCCATAGCAGCAAGCGAGCTATTTTCACATGCCCCATCGTCCCTCCCATCACCACCACTCAAATCAATCCCATCCCCTTCCCCGCCGTGCGAAGCACCTGACCTAGCCTTACGAATTGCCGCTGCTGCCACCGCCCTACTCCCCCCGTACCCTCTCCTGCCCTTTACCCGGCCTTCCTCCCTTCCCCCTCGCTCTCCCCTCGCCCGCTCCCCCGATTCCCCCTCCTCCCCCTCTTCCCCTCCCCCCCCATGTTTCCCCTCTTCCCCCCTTCTTCCCCGCCTTCCTCCCCTCGCTACCCTTCCCCCGCCCCCTTCTCCCCCTTCCGCCCCCTCCCCTTCTTCCACTCCCGCCTTTCTCCCCGCCTTTTCCCGCCTCTTCCTCTCCCCCAAGCTCCCAAACTTCCGCTCAGCATGCTCCTCCCCCTCCCCTCCCCCTCCTCCCTTCCCCCCTTTGCTCTTCCTCCTCCCGCCCCCCATCCCGCGCCCATCCTCACTCCCGCTTCCCTCCCCCCAAAAGTCCATCTTTTTCGTCTCCTCCTTCGCCTTCCTTACAAGCACCTTCTTTTTATTCTGCTTTCGTTTAGAGCCCCGAGGAGCCAACCCTTCCAGTAAATGCAACCCCACTATCCCTTCCGACTGCCTCACAAACACCTCCCACTCAGTCTTAAACGCTTCTTTCCCAGACCCCTTCCCTTCCGCGTCCCCCCCCGCTGCTCCTGCTGCTGCTCCCCCTGCTGCTCCCCCTACTGCTCCCACCGCTTTCACTGCAGCTGCTGCTAAAATCCCGTGCTCGTTACTAGCAAACGACGGATGCACCCCAGACGCCAGGGCGTGCGGAGGCGTGCTTGGCGCGAACCTGGTAACCCTATTCGCGGACGAACTAGACGAAGGCGTGGACGCGGCACTAATGCTCGTGATCCAGTCAAACCCCGACGCGGGACCCAAAACCTCCTCGAAATTCACCTCTAGTTCCGAATCCGCGTGGCTACTAAGGTCATCATACGACTGACCATCATCATCCTCGTTCTCATACGACTGGAAGGTGCTTCGGCTGCGCACACTGCCTGCCTCGCTACCATTGTCGGTGAAGCTGCTAGAGGGGGTGGTTGCGCCGCTGCTCAAGGGGGTTAGACTCCTGCTTCCCTTTCCGCCCAGTTTTCCGCTTCCCCCTGCGCCTCCCCCTACGTCTAGCCGCTTCCTCCCCCCCCTCTCACCCGCGGAGGAAACCGACGCGGAGGCCTTCCCCCGCCTGCCTATATCCGCTAACGTTCCGCCGCCCCCATCCCGTCCCCCGTCGCCTCCGCCTTCCGCCCTGCTTTCCGCCCCAGATACTGACGCGGCTGCTGCTAGGCGACGCGGCTTGCGCACGTGCGTGTGCCCGTGAACGTAGCCGGGCGTCGGTCCCGCTCTGTGCGGGCTCGATCCTTCCGCGGGCGGCGCGCGCGAGGTCGACGCGTTCGATCGCGTCAGCCTTGGCCGCGGCCCTTGCGACGCGTGCGACGCGTGCGACGAGGAGGTGTTCGCGGCGGCGGATTTGGGTCGCTCGTCCGTCGCTGGGAGGTCGTCGTCGGTCCATTTCTTGGACCTGGAAAGGGTGGCGAGGAACCCTAGCTGCGAAACAGGCGAAACAGGGGAATTTTGTAACAGGAATAATGACAACCCGGACACGTCAACACAGCAGATTGTTTGTGATACGGCTCAAGGAAATAGTACCCAGTATTATCGCGATCGTCCTTAACGTGTACAAGTGTACATCGTGAACGACCTCTACTGAAAGTTCACCATGCTCGAAAGCCAATAGGGAAACCCTAATAACATGCATCGGAAGCATTCAGCAGGAGAAGTCAAAGCGACGCGAGTTCCGAGGGACCCTAATGGCATGTATCGGTTTCCTCTATACCGCGATCGAAGTGTACCTGTAGAGGAGCCTCGCCGGAGTCGCCGAAAGCGGGAGCTGGCCCGCCCGTCTGACAGCCGATCGACGGGGGGGGGGGGGGGGGGGAAGCTAGGCTGGGGAAGTTTCAGGAAACCCTAAAAGCATATATCGGGAAACTCTAAGCCGGGATCGAAGTGTACCTGTAGAGGAGCCTCGCCGGTGTCGCCGGGAGCGGGAGCTGGTTCGCCTGTTGACGGCCGTTCGACGGGAGGAGACGACGCGGCCTTCGCGTTGCCGCTTCGAGATGGCCGCGGGCGGTAAGGAGACTTTTGCGCCGTCGAGTCATTCGGCACCTCGAGAGGAGACGGGGCTTTGGCATTGCCACTTCGAGACGGCCGAGGGCGGTACGGAGATTTCTGAGTCGCCTCAGCTGCCCCGTCAGGAGCAGACGGAGAGGCGTTAGCATTTGGTTCTCGAGTCTTCCGAGGGCGGTGCGGAGACTTTTGCGTCGGATCATTCGGCAACTCGAGAGGAGACGGGGCGTTGGCATTGCCACCTCGAGATTGCCGAGGGCGGTACGGGGACTTTTGAGTCCCCTCACTCGAAAGATCGGGAACAGACGGGGAGGCGTTGGCATTGGGTTCTCGAGATTTCCGCGGGCGGTACGGAGACTTTTGCGTCGACTCATCTGCCACCTCGGCGTTGGCATTGGCACCTCGAGATTGCCGAGGGCGGTACGGAGACGTGGGACCGGGTCGCTCCATCCTGCTGCTTCAGCCTTCACCGCCCCCAGACTGTCCCTTCGCTGCTAATACGCTCCTACTCGCCTTCAATAGAACACCCTAACTTGAGAATGAACGAGTGCTGATTCACTCTACGTGCGACTCCGCCTACTCCAACCTAGTCCTAAGTCCTCGCGGCCTAATTTCCAACGCTCTCCGCGGCCTCTATTCTCTTCGACACGGCTGCCGTGGTTCTTATGTCAAGAAGAAAGAAAAAACAAAAAAACCTACTTGGATCCGTAACTTAGGGAAAACTACCTACCATGATGCTGTGATTCTTGTGTCCCAAAAAAATAAAAATAAAAAATGCCTACTTGGATTAACCGTAAGAAACGCTATCATGATGCCGTGGTTGAAGCTGCCTGAAAGCGTTTCCGCAATGCGGTTCAGGGAGACCGTACGTCACGACACCATCGCACTAGCCGACACGAGCCCACCAGTCGCGTCGCACACTGCTTTTTTGTCCCGTGATCGGATTGTTATGTATTCCAGCCAACGCTGCTGCGACTGAGGTCACTAAACGCTGCAGCCTGAGTAGCGCATTGCGGCAGCCCTAACATCACTCCTGTCAACACTCTTTATCAGAAGTCCTATCAGCGGCGTGGGGCCTCTTTCTGCTCCTGCTGGTGTGCGGGGCCTGAGGGACTGAAAACGCTGATGGTGAAGAAATCGGTGTTAGGAAATAGGCGAACTGTACCGTAGCGGAGCGCGAATGACCGCTTTCCAACGTGTGGGTACACTATTCCACTGAAATTGGTACCGATGTAAGAAATCCATCATAAATTCAATTCAGATGTGAACAACAGGTGTGCAACATAAACTCGCCAGAGTCCCATTGTAAGAAACATATTTTAACCGTACATTTTCAATCCTTTCCAGACTACATTTAATACCACCAGGTCTGAGAAACTGAATTTACAACCAAAAGCGAGCATGTCGCCCTCTCTTGCCTGCGGAAAACACCTTAAAGCACTTGTACCCCTCACAGCTTCGCACAAACGGAATGCAAATATGGTCGTCAGGGCAAACTTTCCTCAACACGCAGGGACGCTCATTTTTGTTAGGAGGCCCCTTCTTGCTGTTGTCACACACCCACGGGCATATGCGCCGCTGTTTGACTACACAGCCGACAGGTGCAGGAGGGGATGTGCCGCCAGAAGCAGTAGGGAGAGAAGGGGGAGGAGGGGAAGGAGGGGAAGGGGGGGTAGGAGGTTCAAGGGAGGGAGGAGGGGAAGGAGGGGAAGGGGGGGGAGGAGGTTCAAGGGAGGGAGGAGGGGAAGGAGGGGAAGGGGGGGGAGGAGGTTCAAGGGAGGGAGGAGGGGAAGGAGGGGAAGGGGGGGGAGGAGGTTCAAGGGAGGGAGGAGGGGAAGGAGGGGAAGGGGGGGGAGGAGGTTCAAGGGAGGGAGGAGGGGAAGGAGGGGAAGGGGGGGGAGGAGGTTCAAGGGAGGGAGGAGGGGAAGGAGGGGAAGGGGGGGGAGGAGGTTCAAGGGAGGGAGGAGGGGAAGGAGGGGTAGGGGGGGGGGGAGGTTCAAGGGAGGGAGGAGGGGAAGGGGGGGGAGGAGGTTCAAGGGAGGGAGGAGGGGAAGGAGGGGAAGGGGGGGGAGGAGGTTCAAGGGAGGGAGGAGGGGAAGGAGGTGAAGCGTTGACTTCCCTTACTGCAAGATAAAAAGGGTGAACACGAGGAGGGTAAAAGTATCGGAGAAGAAACAACTTGCTTAGATAAAGAGGAGGAAGGTATCAGAAGCAGATGTAGATACAAAAGGCAGACAGCCACTGAGTTGAGAAAGGAGCGGGGAGATGCAGTCTAAATCAAATAAACTGAGAGATATTCTTCCTTAGGCGCACCCACAGCTACACGGAGGGGGTAAATGCGAGGAGGTAACTACCAGAGGGGTAAGTACCCTGTCTAGATGAGGCGGAAAGGAGGCGTTCACACAATGAGGCGGAATCAAGAAACGGATGTGGATACGGAAAGAAGCTGCAGAGACACCTCAGGCAGGTAATGAGACCCTCAGAGACCCCTAAAAGATATGGAAAGGAGCGGCAGGGAAGAGTCTTGGCCAGGAGAAGCCAGAAAGATGAGACTTTGGAGGGAGAAAAAAGGAGAAGGTGTGCAAGATAGATTCCAGTGTCAAACAGGCAATAGTTCCAACTCTTGTACAAGCACTGATGTGGGAGGCAGCACGACTCACATGCTGGTGCGCAGACAAGAAGAAGGCTAAAAACGGCGGCGAGAAGAACTTGGTCCTTTGTGGTGATACAAGCCATTTTGTCCCGATCTCGACGAGAATCGGCGAGCGCCGGTCGCGGAGACTGGCGCCGTGCTTGACGAGATCTCAGCGGTGAAGAGCTCGAGAGAGAGTGAGTGAAGACTCGTCGTGAGGTATCAAGATCTCAGTGACGCCGGCGTGAGTGTCTTGATCGCGCCACTTCAGAGAGTCTCTCAGCCAAGACTGGCTGTCTCTCGCTCGGAGCGACGACGCGGCGTGAGTGTCTAGACGACTCGAGAGAATCTCAGTGACCGCCGATCGCGGAGACTCGCGCCGGTCTTGACGATCTCTCAGCGGTGAAGAGCTCGAGAGAGTCTCTCAGCGGCGATCTCGCGGCGTGAGTGTCCGGACGATCGTGGAGATCTCGACCTTTCAGGCCGAAGCGGCAGATCGCGCGACGACGGGTACGCGGGTACGCGACTCCGAGTCGAAGTCCTTGGCTTGCGAGACTCCGGAAATTGACGGAAATACTAGCGAGAAGAATGGCAAGCAGGCGTGACAAAGGAGAGTACTAGTAGTAGATCCGTTGTGCGGCACAGCCAGCACAAGTCTAAAGCGCGCACCATGTTGGCAGCGCAACGCCTTTCCGCGGAGCAGCGCAAGCCTTTGCGGAGCAGCGCAACGCCTTTCCGCGGAGCAGCGCAACGCCTTTCCGCGGAGCAGCGCAAGCCTTTCCGCGGAGCAGCGCAAGCCTTTGCGGAGCGGCATGACGGGCAGCGGTGCCAGGTGGTGACTTTTCCGGGGCCGGCAGCAAGCACAAGCACTATAAAACTGCTGGTAAGGCATTCGTCGAATGAAAACGAGACACTGACCTGTCCTTACGAGCACGTATCTGCAGTCATTGCGTCCTTACGAACACGCCATATTGCCGTTTTGTTCGATATCCTCCTCCGCACGTGATTTCTTTTGAGGCGCCTCAAAAGTTCGATGTCCTCCTCCTCACGTGACAGCGAGCATGCGTTCGTTCGAGTACGATGCTCGCATAGACACCTCCCAAACAACGTGGTCTACGGGATGGGATTCGCCGTGAAGGTCTAGCCAGGTGACTTTTGAGTCGACTCAAAAGTCACCTCGAACATGCGTTCGATGCTACCATAGAAACCTCCCATACTGTACAACGCAGTCTATGGGATGGGGTGGGACTCGTCGTGGGGTGTAGCCACGTGATCGTCGTTTCTGCTCAAAACTAACCTATGTCTCTTCCACCCTCCGCTCTTGTACGTACTAGCCACTCTGCTGAACTAAGTCTTCTCTACGTTGCTGCTCAGGGCTGCTGATAGCTGCTCGAAACTAAAATACATGTCTCTCCACCCGCTCCGCTCGTGTACCTAGTTGATGCGCGTGTACTAGGGATCTGTATGCCATCGCGTGTGTATGTCTTGTCCTGTATACCACAACCACGCCTTCTCCCCGCATTGCTGCCAAGAGCTGCTCAAAACTAAGGGCGGGGCCAGCGCGTTCGTTTTTCACGACTGAACGCTTCATCCGTTGTGGTGCAGAAGGACTCCAACCGGTTAACAGCGGTTTTCATTATCAACCGTTTTAGACCGTGACAAAACAAGAGTAACCGTTCAGGATGAACTGTACAATCTTGATAAACGAACGCGCTGACCTCGCCCTAAGAACGCGTGAATTACGACAGCTCAGTTACCTTCGGGGAACTTCGCCTGCTCCTGGAAAATACCAGTCGCACGCAGTCCCAAACCCACAATCTACATACAACGGCAGCAGTCAGTTACCTTCGAAAAAATCGCAACATTGAAACTTCGCGACAAAATCGCCAACGACCAACACCCACATGCCACGGGCTGCCACTCACGTCCTCACCAGAGCACTCGAAAGTGTTACCAACAGTCGTCACGAGCGCTGACGACTCAATTGTAGTCCTACTTTACACGTGGCGAGCCGACGAAAACTCGCAAATTCCCTGATCGACCATATTTGCGAACGGGTGCTTCGTCCTCGTGATTCATTACAAACAGTACGTGCTCGATTTTATACACTTCACCCGACCCTGTTCATACAAATTACCATAACCAATGTTCTCTGGTTCAGCATAGGGCTGAAAATTTGAGACCCTGGGTCTAGTATATATCACACCAATACAAACATGTATTGAAACTACTGTATGCTGAGCACACAAAACACAACAGCAGAATCATTTAGGCAATGGTATTCAACAACTGCTTCGCATACCAGTCCTTCAGCATAGGTACACCTTATTGGGCAAGCAACCTTGTTCACACTTTTAGTTGAACAGCTTCACGCACTTGTAACCCTAGCAGCTGCCAACAAAGGAAATGCAACCCTCGTCATCTGCACCAGGGCCCCTGCTAGGATTTAGGGCACCCTGAGCCCTCAGGGCACCTTTCCAGAATCGTAAAAAATGCCCTGATTTGTCAGGGCAAATTTTCGAAGCCTTCCTGTATGTTCAGGGCTTTTTCAGAAATCAATCCTGACCTGTCAGGGAAAAAACTCAAGTGTTCAGGATTAAGATTGGTTGGTTGACAGAGTTAGAATTAAAGTGAATATTCTCCTGCACGGGGGTGGGTTCGATCCTACGACCTTGTAAGGAATTAAAATTCCTTACTGTAGTAAGTTGTTAGCGAGGACATCCCGAGGGTGTCGCGACGAACCTGCGATGCCTATTTCGTCGCACCGAACCACCCCCGAGTCGGCCTCCGCTCCAATCGTGGCCATCACCGAGCCATCCCATCCCGAACCCCCCGCCTAGCTAGGTTTTCCCCTATTTAGGCCTCGCTACTTCATTGTTCAATCATTCTGTAATTTCTCATTCTCGTTATTCGATATCCGCGCACTCTGACAAGTTCATTCATAACACCTGGTATCAGAGCTACCTCCCTAGCCTACCCCGCTTTTTAGAGTGTAATACCCCTCGGGGGGGGGGGGGGACGAGTAAGGATGCCTTGGGGTCAAGGAATTGCGTAGGCCGGCCAAGAGAACTAGTTAGTTGCTCTTCGCGGCCATGGTTTTACGGGGCACTCCTTCGGCACCGCCAGATCCTTAGCTCGACGGTCGCGATCGACCATGACCTCCCTCCCCCCGGGCGACGGGCAGCAGTAGCTGTCGCGACATTAAAGTGAGTAATTTCCGCTGCGATTTCCGACGATTTCGGAGCTTGATTCGTGTGGCAGCCTGCGTCAGCGGACCTGCGTCGGCACCTGCACGAACAGCATCGACGTCGTCATCACGAGTGGCAGCTGGCGTTGGCGGATCTGCGTCAACAGTTGCGCGAAGATTTCGGAGTCGTCCCTACGCGGCAAGTGACGTCGATGGCAAGCCGTCATCTTGTGCGCGAGATTCTCGGGAGAATCTTCGGCAGCTGGCGACAACGGGCCTGCGTCAGCATGGGCGACAATTTCGGAGGTTTCTACTGTGAAGAAAAGGGCAGCTCGAAGGACTCGCCAGGCGCAAATGGAGTTTTGCGTCAGAGGATCCCGACGGCTGGAGAGATAGACGCTCAAGCCGCCCGAATTATGCGGGGGTTGAGTTTTATCCCGTCCGACCGGAAGGTGCGGCGCTTACCGTACTGGCGAGCGAGTCGTCGACGATTTTCGGCAGAAGTGCTTGTGGACAGACGGGAACTTTGGACCCGCCGACACTTACGGGCTGCAACAGACAACGACGTGGCTAAATCGCACTTAGCAGGAGTGGGGCGCAGGCGCGAGGGCATATCGGGACTGAACACCCGAGAAATACTCGTTTGTTGCTGCGTGCCTGGAGCTGCTTGCCAGCTGTTCGACAGTTTCGAGATCGGTTTCCCCGTTCAAGGAAGCCGTTTTCGGGGACAGCCGCAACAGCCCACGATTAAACGGTGTTCAACGTGCCACCCCGACAATTTCGGAGTGTGGTGCAGGCCGCCGGGACACGCGTGAAGAAACTGCCCAACGGCTAAGCGGGGGTTGAAGAACGTCGTGGGGAGCAGATAAAAGCCGGTGGAACCGATCTGCGGCCCTACTTCGCCCGAACCTCACCATCCCCACCGATTACTGGTTCCGACTCATGCAGTCGACCTTATTCGGATGAATAACGGGGGTGAACACGAGCCTACCCTGCGCTGGTTAAAAGCACCTGGTTTGGTGCCCGTTCGACAGCTGTACAGAAAAGACAAAAAAAAGGGAGTTGCGGCACTGTTCTACTCCGACAAAAGCGGGCTGGGTGAAACAGCACGCGAAAAAATCGGGGCGCCGCAGGACAACACTGGTGCAGTTTACAGGTTTCCTCTGACCCGGGCGTCTACACGAGGTGACGGCGCAGCGGCGAAGCTGGGACCGGAAGCTGTGGAATTTTAGTGGCGCGACGGGCACGGTGGGCTGCGAAGCGGTTGGGACTGATTTCCTTTTAACTAAGGCAACCCCGACTCCGATAGTCTTTTCTTCTCCACCGTGGCTGGGGTTCGCGCAGGGCAACACCGACAATACCCCATCCGACAAAAGCGGACGCTGGGTGAACGGCGGGAAGTGGAATGTTCGGGGGGTGAAACGACAAAAAAAATATGAAGCTGAGGGTGTTTCTTCGTTTCTTGGAGTGCGGTTGAGTCGCTGGGGGACTTCGCCTGAAGGGCGCTTTTCGAAGTTGCCTGGCAAGAAACACAGCGGCAAGGATTCCTAGGACCCTTGGTGTTTAAACGCACACCTCGGGAAATTCTTCAAAAAAGGGAAGCGTGGGAGCAGTCGTAGCTTCGGGAACTTATCGGCCGGCGACGAGCGATGGGTGAAACATCTGCAAAGCGCTGGTGGGAGAAACAGGGAGTTTTTGTTAAACGACATCGGCGGGAGCAGCTTCGACTACGGAGGTCAACGGCGTTGATGCCTCTAGGTTCCGTGAAATTCGGTCTCGGAAGACCCAGGGCAGTCCCCGGTTCTCGATTTAACCCACATGCTGGGGTCGGGTAAACCGAAGGAAACTGATGGTGACCGAGTGGGCGGCTATAGCACGACCGAAGATTTCGGAGGCGAACTGCAACTGCAACGGCGAATTTTACGGGGTTGTTTTTGAGCGAAATTTTCGGAGTTTTACGTGGGGACTTACAGGTTTACGGCGGGAAGCGCCGACAATTTCGGAAGACTTTTCGGAGTTTTGGTTAAACGCACGCGACATTTACGCAGGGCAACGGCGCGGGAACTACACGGACTTTTCAAGGGGTATGAACGACTTACGACGAACTGGAGGAGGCGGCAGCAACAGTGGAAGGGGGGAGAGACAGCTGTAATTTTTACATCTCTGCCCGGGAGTCATCGGCGGATTGCGACAACATGCTCGGCGAGTATGGACAAACCCGCCGGAGGTGCTGACATCATCTGACACTGATTCGTGTTCGACAATATTTTTCGGAGTGACATTCGCTACGGTTACTGCTTCGACGACCATCGCCGACTCTCGATAAACAACTTCGCCTTTAATCGCCTTCAATCGCCGACTTCGACGACACTCGTAACACTCCTGATTTCACGGCCAGAGGTTTTCAGGACGGTTCCATTCCGACTCTACTAGCGACAAACCCATCCACTCGACCCGCCCACGACAACTGCATTGATTTCAACCACGTCAGGTGCTGCCAGTTGCAACTGCTGCAGATACTGCACGATTCTGGCGACGTGAAGACAAAAAGCTTCAGTTCGAGTACTTGGCAACTTTGGTTTCGGTTTCTGGTCTACTTCTGCGAGTTCGCCCTCGAAGATTTTATGGGCACGTAATACCTGGTTTCGTCATCAGAATTTCCACACCGACGCAACTTCACCCGGCATTCTTCGCTCAACGGCTTTCTTCGTGGGACTTAACACCTGGATTTTTGTGTGTTTTCATCTCGGCGCAGCTGCGGGAACTTTTCTGGTGCCATTTTCTTGGAGGGGGGGAGAAAGTGCTTTGCACTGTTTTCTTCCTTGGCGTTTTCTTGGTCCTTTTCTGACTTTGTCAGGTTGCGTCAGCACGACGGACGATTGCGTTTGAATCGTCACAATCTACGGTTCCTGCTCAATCGCGTTTGAATTCGCGTCAGCTGGTTCCCTCCACATCCGCGTCACCGTCAACCGTCAGATCGACATTTGAAATCATCAGCGGTCAACGCGAGCTCTGACCGTCCGATCAACATCTGCTCGATCAACGGCTCTGTTTCCAACCTTCAATTCGAATTGGTCCACTTCATCTTCGACCGTCAGATCGAGACCTGACTACATCAACGGCCTACATTCCAACTTTTTCAAAAATATCGCCCAAGGGATTTCAGCCGTCGGATTCAGCTGAAAGGGAGATCAACGGCGTACTCATTACGGAAGGCTTCGGTCTACATACAGGGAGGGCTTATTTGGAAGGTGGGAGAGTGTAAGGAATTAGAATTCCTTACTGTAGTAAGTTGTTAGCGAGGACATCCCGAGGGTGTCGCGACGAACCTGCGATGCCTATTTCGTCGCACCGAACCACCCCCGAGTCGGCCTCCGCTCCAATCGTGGCCATCACCGAGCCATCCCATCCCGAACCCCCCGCCTAGCTAGGTTTTCCCCTATTTAGGCCTCGCTACTTCATTGTTCAATCATTCTGTAATTTCTCATTCTCGTTATTCGATATCCGCGCACTCTGACAAGTTCATTCATAACAGACCTCATCTATCAGAAGTACCGTAACTTTCTACTGACTAGGCCACTTCTGGATGGTTTGGTGGATGAATGAGTGTCAGTTGTACGGTGACAACTACGGGCCCAAACAAAAAACGCGTCAGGGCAGGCCTCGGCATTCATCCCGACGCTACAGGGAAGAACACTACAGCCATTCTGAATGTTCAGGGCATTTCATATAACAACATCCTGAGACCTCATGGTAAAAATTTACACTATTCTGAAATGACAGGGTAAGTTCAAAACTGCATCTTGAATTCAGGGTAATCAGGATGTTTTGCCCTGATAACGTGGGGCCTGATCTGCACACACCCTATTGAACCAGCACGGCTGGTTCACCCCGTTATTGTCACACAGCCAAGAATAGGGACGGCTGCTGGGGGTGCAGTCAGGAGGTGGGAGAGATGATGCCCACTAACGCCCTACATTAAACAGCTTCATGCACTTGTAGCCCTCGCAGCTGCTAACATAAGGAATGCACACCTCGTCATCGGCACACACCCTCTTGAACCGGCACGGCTGGTTCACTCCGTTATTGTCACACAGCCAGGGGCAGGGGCGGCGCCTGGGGGTGCAGTCAGGAGGTGGGGGGGATGATGTGGCGGGCGAGGGAGGGGGAGTGGAGGGAGGAGGAGGCGAGGGAGGGGGAGGAGAGGGAGGAGGAGGCGAGGGAGAGGGAGGAGAGGGAGGAGGAGGCGAGGGAGGGGGAGGAGAGGGAGGAGGAGGCGAGGGAGGGGGAGGAGAGGGAGAAGGGGGAGAAGGGGGAGGAGGGGGAGAAGTAGGAGGAGGGGAAGGAGGGGGGGGTGGGGGGGATGATGTGGCAGGCGAAGGAGGGGGGGGTGGGGAGGCAACACCCGGAGGAGGTGGCGGGGAGGCCTTGTCTGGGGGAGGTGGGGGCGATGACGTGGCATTGGCAGGAGGAGGAGGTGCGGAGGCAACAACCGGAGGAGGCGGTGAGGGGGAAACACGTGGTGGAGGGGGTGAGGAGGCAACACCTGGAGGAGGGGGTGAGGAGGAAACACCTGGTGGAGGCGGTGCGGAGGCAGTTTGAGCCACCACTGCTGCCACACCACGTGGAAAGGGTTTAGGTTGAAACGGGGGGGGGGGGGGGGGAGAGGGGGTGCAAGACAACAGTTAGTGGGGACAACGATTATAAATAATATAGTTAATAAGAAACGATGAAAAAGCTACACTAGAAACTACCTGTCGGAAGGGCGAGCACAAGTAGGAAGACCCCGAGAAGAAGAACAAGTTCAGAGATTCCTTTGCCTCCTCGCGCCGTCATTGCTGCCATTGCCGTCGTTGCCTTTAGAGGAGTCACAGCGTTGCCGTCAACGCTTCGTGCCCTCGTAGTGCTTGATAGGCGCTAGCGCCGGGAGATTCCGATCCAAGCGCGTGTGGTTCTCTGGCTATGGTGCTGGGACTCGAGACTTGAGAGACCCGAGGCTTGAGACTCTGAGGTTTGAGGCTTGAGACTCAAGGCAATTGCTGCTGCAGATTCCAATCCAACGCGCGTGCTTCTCTGGCTATGGTGTCTGGGACTCACTTGAGACTCAAAACTCGAGATGAAGGAGACTTGAGGCTCGAAAGTTGAGCTGCGGACGACAATTGGCAGAGTCAGTGACACCAACGAGGAGTTACACACAATGAAGCATGGCCAAGCAACGACTCGCTTTTATAACACCGTGTACTAGCCACATGCCACTGCTTGGCGGTACCCGCTCGCGGCAACGCTTGGTGCGGGAAGAAGGACAGACTCGGAAAATCGGCAAGACGCGACGCGATTTGGCGGGGGTCTCGTCAAGTGTTCGATAGCAGGCGCTAGCGCGGGGGTCTTGTCAAGGGATTGACGGCCCGGCGTGCAGTATTGAGGCGCCTCAAAGATCGCGGAACGCCATGCTGCAGCAGAAGCAATGCCACAACGTTATTAGGCGAGGGTCCCGTCAAGGAATTGACGGCCCTGCACGTGCCGTCGCGTCGCATCATGCTCCAGCAGCAACGATGCCACAATCCGTTCGCATATTCGCGAAACGCAGCCAGTTACTCCGACGATTCTTCGCCAGGCCATCGCCTACTGGCTAAGCAGCCGTTCAGCCGTAAAAAGTCGCAGCAGCATCTTTCGTCGTTAAGCCTTTTTCGCGGAGCAAACTTGCTGCTGCTAAGGGGTACCGAGCACTGTTCCGCATACCGAGGCAGGGAGCCTGCCGGGGAAACGGCAGCATCACTACTGTACCGTAGCTCCATGCTTGGCGCGTCGGCAGCGGCGGGGGTTCGGCAGCGGCGGTTCGGCAGCACCACTACCGCCATAGTAACATATTCTGTACTGTATAAACAGTCTGTGGAATAATCCACTGTAACGGATAGCACCATCCTATGTACAGTAAACGAACTTAGCCGCTACAGTATGATTCGGCCGATGACGAGAACCGAGCTTGGAATCTAGAGTTTGCCGAAGGAAATGGTTATGTTACAGTTGAAGGTGATGTAACGAGTAGACCCACGGCCTGTGATGCTTCTGAAAAGCCGTTTCATGTTCGCGACAGCCATGTGATGACTTCACGGTGCCTGACAAACCGACCAGTCCTGCTGTGAATGGACGATTACAGTAGCGCTGTAAACCTTTTCCTGCTGGAATCTGCGCCTCGAAGTTATAGCTACCTCCTTTCTTCTCCATCTCTCTCTCTCCCCCAAGCGTCCCTTTGGTTTTGACTCACACGAATGCCTTGGAATTGTGAGTTTGCTTTCCTGGTCAAGTTTCTGACCCTGTGCCGTTATGTGTACACGGGGGATCCAATGTCTGGACTCTTGGCATGAACAATCCCCGAAGGGGAAAGTCACCATATTGTGCTCCGTTACGAGGCAATAGCAGTTTCAGCGTTTTGATTGTCCACAGCAGTTGTCTTTCCTTATACACAAGGACTGCACAACATCCTCGACCTACTTCTTTGTTGCAACTTTAAGCGAATTCGGTGCTGTGCTTTAAAACTTAACCAGATTGTATGCAGAGGTCAACCACAAGAATCTTCAGTCAATCACAGACAAAAAGAGAATGACAAAACTCTTTGGAAAAACAATTATGGTATATTCGTATCAGATATTGCTATGTATCAAAGTTATTGAGTTACGAAACGTGTCATTGAATCCTTCCATGCAGCTGTTAACTTGTCATGAGGAGCCTTTTGAGCGGTGCATGAGCTCCAGGTTGGCATCGAACAAGGCCTGGGAAATCAACCGCTGCTCCCGAGCCATCCTTTCACGTTCGGCCCGAAGCTGCTGCTCTGCAACCTGCATGCGCTTCTCCTTCTCCATAAGCTGCACATAATTAACAGAAATGAGAAGGAGCTTTTAAATTCCAGAGGAACCCATGTGATTAACCCAGCAAAAAGCATCATGTGCGACATATCAACAATCATGCTTGGAGCGAAGCAGAGTGGAAAACAGTGGGGTGAAAACACAGGCAGAGGAGCAAGTGCAGCAGTAGCTTCGGGGAGGGTTGACAATGGTCAACATACAGGAAAGGCAGCAACTCATGTGGGGAAAAGCTTGTTTCTCCACCACAGCATTATAGATCGACAGCTCACCTGGTTTTCTAAAGCCTGAAGCTTCTTCTGGCTCTCTTGCAGCTGCTCCCTCTCCCTTTGAATCCTCTGCTCCATCTCCTGCTGCCTCTGCTCCAGCCCATCCACCTGACAGAACGAGAGACATGCAGAGCAGAGAACGAGGCAGGAAGTGTTGTGTGAAGGGGGGTCTCTTGCAGTCCCAACTATCAACCACCTCTGCTCCAGCCCACCTCTGCTCCAGCCCACCTCTGCTCCAGCCCATCCACCTGAAAGAACAAGGAGAATGGAGTAGAGCGCACGGCAAGAAAAATATTGTGGCATTGAGCTGGTGCCTCGAACTCACTCCACAGCAGTCTCAAGAGAAATATTGTGACAGCGGATCATCCCTTGCTCTCACCACCTGCTTGAGAGTCTGGTTCTCCTCCTGCACGGCTGGTTGGATCTCAACAATCAGTCCGGAACCCTAAACACATGTCTCCCTTGCTCTCACCTTGTGCTTGAGCGTTTGATTCTCCTCCTGCACAGCTGCTTTGATCTTCGCAACCAGTCTTACAAGAACTTGAGAAAGACGTGTACTTAGCTCTCACCTTCTGCCTGAGCGTCTGATTCTCCTCCTGCACAGCAGCTTGGATCTTGGCAATCTCCCTCTCCATCCTCTCCTCCCTCCTTGCCTCCCTCTCCGCATACTCCTGCTTCACCCTCCTCTTCTCCGCCTCCATTGCAACCACCACCTCCTCCTCTCGCCTCCTCATCTCCCTCTCCCTCTCCCTCACATCCTCTCCCATCCTCCTCACCTCCTCATTTAACCTCCTCACTTCCTCTCCTCTCCTCTCTATCTCACCCTCACACTCCCGCACCGCCTTCCTCCTCTCCTCCTCCACCTCCACCACCCTCCCCTCCAACTCCCTCACTCGCTCTCCCAGCTGCTCCTTCTCCCTCACAACCCCCTTCCTCTGCTCCTCTAACAGCCCCTTCACCTCCAGAAGCTCATTCACTTGTCCAGTCAGAGTCACAACACGCTCTCTCTCCTCCCTCATCTGCCCCTCTAACCCCTCCACGAGCCCATTCAGCCTCCCAACTTGCCCGTTCCTCTCCGCTACCTCTCCCCTCAGCCTCCCCTCCATCTCCCTCCACGCAGCTTCCTTCTCCCTCATCTCCGCATCCCATCGCTGCTCCACCCGGGTCCACTCCTCCTGCTGGCCTCTCATCTCCTCCTCCTTCCTCTCCAGTCGCTGCTGCATCTCCTGCTGCTCCTGCTGCGCCTGCTGCAGCCTTGCTTCAAACCTCTCCTTCTCTCCTTTCATCTCCTGCAAGCTACTTTCCAGTTCCACCTGTCGCACTTGACGCTGCAGCAGGGACGCCTCTAGCTCTGATCGCTCCACCTTCATTGCACTCATCTCCTCCTCTCCCACCTTCCTCTCCCTCTCCAGTTCCTCCACTGCCCCTTCCAGCCTCCTCACAGCACCCTCCCTCTCCTCCAGTGCATGCTTCAGCTGCTGCACCGTGCTCCTACTCTCCTCCACCAAAGCCTCAAGCTCGCTGTTAGCACCCTCCTGCTCCTCCAATCTCTGCTCTAGCTGCTGCACAGTCCCCTCCAACTTCCTCACATCACTCTCCCTCTCCTCCAAGGTATGCTTCAGCTGCTGCACTGTGCTCCTACTCTCCTCCACCAACGCCTCAAGCTCACAGTTAGCGCCCTCCTGCTCCTCCAATCTCTGCTCTAGCTGCTGCACAGTCCCCTCCAACTTCCTCACAGCACTCTCTCTCTCTCCCAAAGTCTCCTTCAGCTGCTGCACCGTACTCCTACTCTCCTCCACCAGCGCCTCGAGCTCGCTGTTTGCACCCTCTAATTTCTGCTCTAGCTGCTGCACTGTGCCTTCCAGCCTCCTCACGGCACCCTCCCTCTCCTCCAGTGCATTTTCAAGCTGCAGCACAGTGCTCCTGCTCTCGCTCAGGGAGGCTCTGAGCTCGCAGTTTGCGCCCTCCCGCTCCTCCAAATCCTGCTCTAGCTGCTGCACTGTGCCTTCCAGCCTCTTTATGTCACCCTCCCGCTCCTCCAGGGCAGTCTCTAGCTGTGCCACAATGCTCCTGCTCTCGCTCAGGGAGGCTTTGATCTCGCAGTTGGCACTTTCAACCAACTCCTTCTGCTCTGTCAGACCTCTCACCACTTCCTCCAAACCGGCCTTCTCACCTTGCAGCCGTCCCACAGTTGCCTCTAGCACCCCCTTCTCTGCCTGCAAGCGCCCAATCTGTTCCACCAGACTCTTTCCCTCAGCTTCAAGCTCCCCTTGCTTCACCTTCAGCCCATCCCTCTCAGCCTCCACTGCTTCCTTCTCCTCCATCAACTCCTCCCTCTCGACCATCAGCACGTCCTTCTCTCGGTTCAAATCTCCAATCTGCTCTATCAAGCGAACCCTCTCACCATCCAGCTGCCTCTGCTTCACCATCAGTTCCTCCCTGTCAGCCTCCACATCCGCTATCTGTACCTTCAGCCTATCCCTCTCAGCTTTAAACTCCCCGTTCTTGACTGTCAGTTCCTCCCTCTCAGCTTCAAGCTCACCTACCTTCACAGTCAGCCCATCCCTCTCAGCTTCCACTGCTGCCTTCCCTTCCACCAATTCCTCCCTTTCAGCCAGCAACGCCTCCTTTTCTCCCCTCAAACCTGCAACCTGCTCCACCAGGCCAGCCTTCTCACCTTCCAGCTCCCTGTGCTGCACAATCAACGCCTCCTTTTCAACCATCAACGCCTCCTTCTCTCCGTTCAAGCCTCCTATCTGCTCCACCAGTCGAGCACTCTCAGCTTCCAGCTCTAACACCTTCACGGCCAGCTCCTCTCCCTCGTTTGTCAAGGCAGCCACCCTCTCCTCCAACCTACCCCTCTCCTGCTGAAGCACCTCCCGCTTCTCAAGTAATCCGTCCCTCTCAGCTTCAAGCTCCCCTACCTTCACCGTCAGCTCCTCTCCCTCCACTGTCAAGGCCACCACCCTCTCCTCCAACCTCCCTCTCTCCTGCTTCCCTGCCTCTACTTCCCTCTCAGCCCTCACCACCCTCTCCTCCAACTCGCCCTTCTCCTGCTGAAGCACCTCCCGCTCCTCAAGTAATCCGTCCCTCTCCTTCTCCAGCCCAGCCTTGTCACCCAGAAGACCCTCCCTCTCAGCCAGCAAACTCTCCCTTTCACCCTCCAACCTCTCCCTCTCTTGCTCCAACCCCTTCTTAGTGGCATCCAGAACCTCAATTGCAGCCTTCATCTGGCTCATCCCCCTCTCCAACTCACCAACTCCTGCCTGCAGCTGCTCCCTCTCTGCTTCCAGTTGCCCTGCCTTTGTCTGCGCTTGTTCCAATGCTCCCTCCAGCCCCTTCCTAGCTGCACCTAGGGCCTCGTTCTCAGCCTTCACCTGGCCAATTTCCCTCTCCACCTCACCCATACCCGCCTGTAGCTGCTCCCTCTCAGTTTCAAGTTGCCTTGTCTCTATCTGCGCCTGTTCCAATGCTCCCTCCAGCCTCTTCCTAGCCGCATCTATGACCTCGTTCTCAGACTTCACCTGCTCGATTTCCCTCTCCAACTCACCAATATCCGCCTGCAGCAGCTCCCTCTCGGCTTCAAGTTCCCCTGTCTTTGTCTGCGCCTGTCCCAGTGCTTGCTGCAGTTGCTCCCTCTCCGCTTCAACCCCTCCCTTCTCCGACAGAGCCTGTGCCAACTCGCCCTTCAGTTGCTCCCTCTCCGCTTCAACCCCTCCCTTCTCCAACAGAGCCTGTGCCAACTCGCCCTTCAGTTGCTCTCTCTCCGCTTCAACCCCTCCCTTCTCCAAAAGCACCTGTTTCAGTGCTGCCTGCAGCTCCTCCCTCTCCGCTTCAACCTCTCCCTTCTCCGTCACAGCCTGCGCCAATTTGCCCTTCAGCTGCTCACTCTCCCCTAGCAGCTCCTCGTTACGCCTCTCCACGTCCCTCTTCTCCTCCTCCAACCCACTCACTGTCTCCTTTAACGCACGCACTTCAACCACCAACTCCGCCCTCTCCCCCTTCAGCTCCGCACACTCCACCTCAGCTTCCGCCTTCCCACACTCCGCCTCCCCCTTCTCCCTCTCCAACCTCCCCACAGCAGCCTTCAGCTGCGCATTCACCCCCACAAGCCTCTCCCTCTCCCCCACCAACCTCCCCCTCTCCCTCTCCATCCCCTCCCTCTCCGCCTCCCACTCCGCTTCCCTTTCCGCCCTCTCCGCCTCTATGGCCCCCTTCTCCCCCTCCAACCGCGCCACTGCTGCTTTCAGCTGCCCGTTGGCTGTTCTAAGCTGCCCGACACTCGCCTCTAACTGCACATTGCCTCCCATAAGCTGCCCGTTTGCCTGCTCAAGATCCACATTCAAATCCCTCAGCTTTCCAACTGTCTCTTCCAATGCTACCTTCTGCCCCTGCAGCTGGGAAACCGCTGCTCTCAGCTGCGCAACTGACTCCTCTGAACCCCTCACTTCCTCCTCCAGACCCCTCACTGTTGCCTCCAAACCCCTCACCTTCTCCTCCAATCCCGCCCGTTCCTTCACCCACCCCTCCCTCTCCCTCCAAAACTCCCTACTCACGCCCTCCAACTCCCGTTTCAACCCATCCCTCTCTCCCAGAACCGCGTTCAACCGCGCATTAACCATATCCAGCTTCCCACGCGCCTCAGTCCAGTCTCTCACCACCCTCTGGTGCCTTGCCGCTGCTTCCTTCACCAAACCATCCATCTCCTCCCTCAGCCCCTCCTCTCTCTTCTTTGCTTCTTTCGCCAAAATATCTATCTCCGCTTTCAGACCCTCCTCTCTCTGCTCTGCTTCCTCTGCCCGAACCAGCCAGGTTCGTCCTTGCACCTCCGCCTCTTCCCTTGCTGCCTCTGCTGCTGATAGATCCCCTGCAGCCGACTCCTGCTGCTGCTGCTGCACCAGCAGCAGCTGCTGTTCCTTCTGTGCCCATTCCTCCTGCTGGGATTGCATCTCACGCTGCATATCTGACCTCTCTTCTTCCATGCTTGCAATGCTCCCTTCGAGTTCTGACACCCTCCCCTCAAGCATTACCCTCTTCTCCTCCCATCCTGCTTCTTTCTCCTCCCATGCCGCTTCCTTCTCAGCCCATCTCTTCTCCATCACCACCAGCTCCTGGTCCCTCTCTGCCAGCTCATTCCTCACTGCTGCCAGCTCACCGTTAGCCGTGTCCACGTCAGCCTGAGCTGCTGCCAAATTCTGCTGCAGAGCTGCCATCTGTTCATCCATCACCCCGGTCTTCTCCACCCACTCCTGCTCCTTCGCTGTGAGATCTCCCTTCACCGCACACAACTCCCCCTCCACTGAAGCAAGAACTTCACCCAGAACACTCTCCCTGCACGCCCAAGCCTGCTCCTTCTCCTGCCAGCATGCAATCGCCTGCTGCTTCGCTGCCAGTTCTCCCTTCACCACACACAACTCTGCCTCCGCTGCTGCAAGAGCCTCACCCAGACGGCCCTCCCTGCACGCCCAAGCCTGCTCCTTCGCTGCCAGGTCTCCCTTCACAGCACGCAGCTCTTGCTCCGCTGCTGCTATCGTCTGCTGCTTTGCTGTCAGCTCTGCCTTCGCAGCGCACAGCTCTTGCTCTACTGCTGATATCGTCTGCTGCTTCGCTGCCAGATCTCCCTTCACCACACACAACTCCTCCTCCGTTGCTGCAAGAGCCTCACCCAGGATACCCTCCCTGCAATGCCACGCCTGCTCCTTCTCCTGCCACTCTTGCTCCTTTGCCAGCCACTCCCCTTCCTTACCTTCCCACTCCCTTCCCTGCTGCAAATGTTCCTGCTGTACCGTTTCTAACACCCTCTGGATCTCCCTCATCTTCTCCTCCTGCATCACCTGCTCGTTCTTCCACCCCTCTTCCTTCTCTCCCCACTCTTCCCGCATCTCTGCCAGCTCCTTTTCCAATAAATCAACGGCTCCGAGCAGCTCCTGCTTCTCGCACTCAAGAGCATCAACAGCCCTAGTTAGCTCCTTCCCCTCCTGCCTCGTTTCCTCTAATTCCTCTTCCACAGCAGCCTTCTCTGCCTTAACAGATTCCAACGCAGTCTCCATCTCTCCCAACCGTACCCTCTGCTGCTGCCCAAGAACCTCCCACTCCTGCGCCCTCGCCCTCCACTCGTTCCCCTTAGCCGCCCACTCCTGCTGCTCCCCTGCGTAAGCCCGCTTCACAGCAGCCAACTCTTCAGTCAAAAGCGCAGCCTGAGCAGACAGCTCCTCCCCCTCGACAGCAAGGCTCCTCTTCTCTTCCGCCCACTGCATTTGCTCCTCCTCATACGTCTGTTTCACAGAAGTCAAATCTGCAGTCAGGAGCCTAACCTGAGCAGACACCTCCTCTCCCTTGCCGACCATCTCCCTCCTCTCTGCCTCCCACTGCTCCTCCGTCTGCCGCCACTGCTCTACCAGAGAGAATACTCGTCCCTGCTCCTGCCTCTCCTTCTCCGCCCATACCTGAAGCTCCGCTGCTCGCGCTTCTCTCAGCCCAGCAATCTCCTCATCCAAGCACCTCGCACGAGCGGCCATCTGCGCCTCACAGCCCGCCCACTGCTGCTCCTTCCGCGTCCACTCCTCTACCTCAGACGCCCACCTGCACTCCTTCTCCGCCCACGCCTGCTGCTCCGCTGCGTGTGCCACTTTCAGCGCAGTGATCTCCTCATCCAAGCTGCCCACCTGAGCTGCCATCCGCGCCTCACAGGCCACCCACTGCTGCTCCTTCCGTGTCCACTCCTCTAGCTGAGAAGCCCAGGTGCCCTCCTTCTCACCCCATTGCTCCTCCTTCCGCTCCCACTCCTGCTGGGCCACATGCGTCGCCTGCTGCACTGCCTGCTGCTCCAACTCCGCCTGCTTCCGCTCCTCCTCCGCCTGCTTCCGCTCCTCCTCCGCCTGCTTCCGTACCCCTTCAAGTTCCTGCTCCAGCCGCTGTCCCTCATCTCGCAGAGCAACCACCACCTCTTCAAGTCTCCTCCTCTCCCGCTCCAGTTCCTCCCTTTCCATCTCCACCTCCTCCATCTCCTGCTCCGCCTCTTTCTTTGCCTGCAGAAGCTCCAACTTCTCCTGCTCTGCTCCTGACAGGCTCGTCTCAAGCCATGCCACGTGCTCCCTCTGCTCATCCGCTTCCTTCGCCCACTCTCGCTCCTTTTCTGCCCACGTCAGCTGCTCCTTGATCCACGTCAGCTTCTCTTCATCCCACTCCTTCTCCCTAGCCACCCACTCCTCCTCCCTCGCCTTCTTCTCCTCCTCCCACTCCCGCTCAGCCTCACTACGCTCAAAGCAGCAACGAGCCAGGTCCAATCGCACTGAAACGAGCTGCACCGCTGCCTCTTGCGCCTCTCCGTTCCAAGCCTCCTGCTGCTTCTCCAAGGCCCTCTCCATCCTCTCGCACTCCCTAATCTTAACGTTCAGCTCGCTTGTAGCTTCTTCCAGCTTGCGCTCCTTGCGATCCAGCTCCATTTTAACCACAGCGAGTTCTGCTTGTAGCGAGGATAGCCACTGCTTGGAGAGCTTTTCAGACTCTGCCATGCTCCTCTCCAGCCGGGATACCTCCGCCCTACAACGCAAATCAACACGGGAAGCACGAAACGTCAGTCAACAGTCAGTCACTTGTCAGTCTGCTGTCAGACAGCTGTCAGTCAGAAATCAGTCAGTTCCCAGCCATTTTCTCGGTCATCTTGCAGACTGAGCTCCCGCGACTTCTCAAAGCCCACCCAATCAGCTTTTGAGTTACCTGGGGAGGGGAGATCCGCGCCTTTTGAGGCGCCTCAAAAGCCCACTCAGCTTTTGAGATCCTTACCTGGGGAGGGGAGATCCGCGCCTTTTGAGGCGCCTCAAAAGCCCACTCAGCTTTTGAGATCCTTACCTGGGGAGGGGAGATCCGCGGTGAGTAGGGCCTTCTCCTTCTCCTTCAATGCTACCTTCTGCAACTTCCCTCAAATAGCAGATTCCAACCACTCCTCAAAAGCACATACCTTTCCAACCCCTCACCTGGTGGACGAGAGGTCCGCGGCGAGCAGGGCCTTCTCTTTAGCACCCTCTTGTTACCTAATGCAACGCTTTACAAAGCCTTATCACATACAAACCACCCCTCAAAGCACTCATCAAACACTCACTTCTTCAACCCCTCACCTGGTGGACGAGAGGTCCACAGCGAGCAGGGCCTTCTCCTTCTCACCCTCCAACAGAGCTCCTTCAACTCCTCAATCCCACAGCAAGCACTCAGAATCTCTCCATTCTCCTCACAGCACATATTCTCTCCTTCCTCTCGTCACAGCACACACAATCACCTCGCCAGTTCCTCACCTGGTGGACGAGAGGTCCGCGGCGAGCAGGGCCTTCTCCTTCTCGCCCTCCAGCCGAGCTCCCTCTGCTGCCATCAGCTGCGCCGCCCGCTGCTCCCTCTCCGCCAGCAGAGCCTCCGCCTGGGGAACGACGGAGGAGCGGGGGACGGGAGAAGTGTTTTTGAGGCGTCTCAAGAAGGGATTTTGCTGCCATCAGCAGCAGTACCAAACAAACACACCACCTCCCGATACAGGAATACACAAAACACACAAAAACACAAACAGCAGCAGCAGCATCCAGCCTGACCCCATGCCCTCACCTCTGCCTTCTGCTCTTCCTTCGCCTGCAGCAGCTGCCTCCTCACCTCCGCGGCCTCCGCCCCGGCCTTCCCTTCCGCCTCCTCCAACCTCACCAAATCCCTCCGCAGCCCAGCCACCATCTCACCCAGCCGCGCGCACTCCACCCTCCCCGCGTCCCTCTCGCGCTGCGCCGCCCGCAGCTGCGACTGCAGGCCCTTGATCACCCTCGCCGTTTCCCCGTTCTGTCCGTACCCCGCACTCCCCGCACTCCCCGCACTCCCCGCACTCCCCGCACTCCCCACAGTTCCCACGCTCCCCGCACTCCCCGTCGTGCTCGCACTCCCTGCCCCTCCTCCCAGACTCTCTTTTCCTGCCGTCAGACTCAGTCTTCCCCAAGCCCCTGGTGTGCCAATCTGGTACCCAGCTAGTGCACCCCCAACCGCCGGGGCTGGGGTGGAGGCAGAGGCGGAGTGGTGGGGATCAGCCGCGTTCATGCCTTCACACTGCTGTTGAGGCACCTCAGGGGCTGATTCTGCAGAAGCTGTTTCTGCTTCATCACACGAGGATCTGATGCCTTCAAACTCCTGGTACGCCTCTTTCAGCACCTGCAGCTGCTGATTCACCTTCTCGTCCTTCCACTTCTCCTCCTCCTCCTCCTCCTCCTCATCCTCCTCCTCCTCCTCCTCCTCCTCTTCTTCCGCCTCGTCCGCCCCTTCCGCGTCCGCGTCCTCTCTCCCCTTGCCATCGCTGTCGCCTTCTTCCCTATCTTCTTCTTTCTGAATTGGAAAACAACCGGGGAAATGCAGCAAAGAGGTTCACAGTTGTAACCGATGGGAATAAACAGCAGAGAGTTGCCACGTCTAACTCGTGATATTAGACACCTGCAGCTGCAGCCTCCACTCTGATTGATCACAATAAGAGGCCTGGCAACCCTCTTGCATAGTGCGAAAGCCTACTCCATAGAACCAACAACCGTGCCCATGCAACTTCTTTCTACTCGACAACGCACCTTCAAGGGTCTCCCTTTTGAACCCCGACACCTAGGCTCTCGTCCTCTGCTCCTTCGACAAGCCGTTCAAGATACTCCGACATACAAAGTAACGCAAGAACCCCAGCTCCCGTGCTCTCACCGTGAGGGAAGCCACCAGCTCTTCAAGCGTCGCCTTCTTGACCTCAGCCACCTTGGCTCTCGACCTCTGCTCCTCCGCCTCTCGCTGCATCTCCTCCGCCTTGCCTCTCCACCGCTCCACCTCCTCCTTCAGGTTCTGCCAATGGAACGACACAGCAGCACGTAAGCACAGCAACACTCAGCACCTCAATACGAGAAGAGGTAGGTGCGAATATCATATGCTATCAGCACAGCAACACTGCTTGACTTTCTGCTGCATCTCCAAGCAGGCAGACAGCCTGGTGCTTCAAGCAGGAGCAAACCAACACGTTGTGTGGCGAGACTCACTTGCGGCTGCTTCTTTAAGTGCAGCAGGCGCCGCTGCTGCACCTCCAGGCGAGCCAGCTCTCGCTCATGGAAGAGCAGGAGGCAGCGCATGCCCGCTTCAGGTAGGCTTGCCACGGACGGCACCCATACCCAGTGGAAGGAGGAAACGCATACGCTGTGGAAAGGACTCACCTGCAGCTGCTTCTCCAGATGCGGCAGGCGCCGCTGCTGCACCTCCAGGCGAGCCAGCTCCTGCCTCGCCTCGCCCAGCTCTCTCTCTGCCGCCTCCCACTTGCGCCTCCACGCAGCGGCCTGCAGGAGAATCACGGGATGGGGGGTGAGGAGTGTTCAAGTAGCACGTGCTGGGCTTCAGCTCCCTCTCTGGCGCCTCCCACTTGCGCCTCCACGCAGCAGCCTGGAGGGGAATCACATGTTGGGACTTCGAGTTGATGAGCAGCACGCGTAGAAGCTGACCTGCAACATAGACAGGGCTTGCAATCAGAGAGCCTCAGCAGTCTGATGATTGCGAGCACTAACGAACTCCAAAACATCCACATAATCACAGCACGTTACAAATCAAGCACCGAATAGCAGTTGCATCTTGATCCTCGTGTGGCTCAGGTTATGGAACAGCCAAATATTGCTCGAAGCTCGTACCTGCTCAAGCTTGTTCTGGCACTCCTTCAGCTTCTCCTTCGTCTCCTCCTCGCGCCACTTCGCCTCCTCCACCTGTCGCTTCAGCCCTGCTGTCTCCCGCCTCAGCGCCTGCACCTGCTCCTGCAGCTGCTGCTCCCTCTGCAGTCGCCGCCATCCGTCTCCGTCCTTCCCTTCCGCCACTGCCAGTGCGTTCTGCGGGTGGAGTGGGAAGGGAAACACAAAACGCGTGTAAGGACGCAATCAGGCGCTGAAGTTTCTGTGCGCATCTGCTCCTGCTCCTACTGCTGCTCTGTAAGCGCCAGCCTCCATCTCCGTCATTCGGCGACTTTTGAGTCTAATCAAAAGTCACCGCATGGATCTGCTCCTGCACCGACTGCTGCTCTGTGAACGCCAGCCTCCGTCTCCGTCATTCGGCACCATCAGTGAGGCGAGGCAGCTTGCGAGATGCGTGGAAAGCACACAAATCTTCTTGACGCGCAAGGCATGCGAGGTCCTGGCAGGTCACTCGCAACAATCTGAAATTTAATTTCACTTGGTTAATGTCAATTCCGTATCGGGTCAACGTGACAAACGTAACCAGAGGTGCGTCGTCGTTTCAAGCAACATCAAGGAGATCGCACGCCATGGGATGAATCATGAGATAACAAGGATGTACCAACTTGCCAAGCCGGATATACGTGATCATGCCAATGACACGGAGCCGTAAAACGAAAGGAACCTCGAGTCGTGAGACGGCTCAAAACGCAGAATACCCCGGGACACGGAGCGTCGTCGTTCCAAGCAACAGCAAGGAAATCGCCATGGGATGAATCGTGAGTTAACAGGACGTACCAACTTGCCATGCCGTGATCATGCCAATGACACGGAGCCTCAAAACGAAAGGAACCTCGAGTCGTGAGACGGATCAAAACGCAGAATACCTCGGAAACCTGTAAGAAGTCCCAAAAGCAGATCATGGTGAAATTGTGGTGCTTCTCTGTGTGAACGAACCTCGAGTTGCTTCCGTCGGTTGACCTCCGCATCCCTGGCAGCCATCGCCTCCTCCAGTGTGTGACAATAAATCAGATAGACTTTTGGGTTCAGTGATAAAATCAACACAGTTTATTGTCAGTGCTGTGGGTCTCTGTAGAAACGAACCTCGAGTTGCTTCCGTCGGTTGACCTCCGTGTCCCTGGCAGCCATCGCCTCCTCCAACTCCATCTCCTTCTCCTCGAACTCCTCCAGTAGCCGCTCGTGCACCGCCTGCAATAGAATACATAGAACAGAAATTAATTTCTTAAAAAATAAATTATTTACAATAAAGGTCTTTACAAAACATATAATCGGACTCTGTCATAATCGGAGAGATATAATATTGCCACACCGACTGCCAACTGTCATAATCCAACATCCGGAGAAGTATAAGAAAAGCCATATACATATTGAATTCACTCGAGATAGAAGTGATTGAAAATACGAGAAAGGAAACTGGTACCTCGAGGTCCCGTTTCTCCTCGAAGATCGCCTTGGCCGCTCGTTGCGCTTCATCGCGCTCCTCCATAAGCTGGAGCACCTCCTTCCTCTGCACCGCCGGCGACTGACGCACCCTCGTCCCTCCTCGCGCTCCCGTGAACGGCGTCCCGCCTCGCGTTCCCGTGAACGGCGTTCCGTAGCTCCCGTGGTGAACCGCGCTGCCGGGATGGAACTTGTGATTCGTGGTCTCACGAAGCGACGCCGCGAACGCGGACGGTCGGTAGTGGATGTCGCTGTTGGTCTCGCGCTTGCTCAGCGGCGTGTGGATTTCCGACACGGACTGGAGAAAGGCGTTGCTGCCATAGTTGTTGTAGCTGCTGTTGCTGCTGATGTTGTTCATAGCGTTGAAGGTGGAATCGTCTTTTTTCTCCATGTCGCAGTGGTTCTCGTCGGTGGTGGATGAGGGTTCCACCATGGCTGCGTTACGTCAAGCTTCAATCAATTCCCCCCAAATAAGTCGCCTCAGAAGCACGCAACAGTCCGACAGTGATGGACTCTGAAGATAATTTTGTCAGACCTTAACGATGATGCAGTCAAGGAGGTGTACTGATAACGTGAGAAGGTACGTCTCTCGACCTGGGATCAGTATCAATGGCGTGAGCTGTCGCTAGTAATTTCCTAATGATTACGCCACTAAATCTATGACCGGAGGTCAATCTCAAAATTCCCGCTAATAAACCGTTTTCCTAATGAAAAAGCTCGAAGAATTGTAAAAGAAGCTAACCGAAGGAATTCATAGGTGACACCGAAGGAGCAGTGATGTAAGCTAGCAAAAAAAACGCTGATCCGCACACAGTACGAAACACGAAACCACTCACAGCAACGATCAACACCTGCATGCACTATCCCGCGAGTAAATCACATTCTTAGCTCAGGAACCAAAATATCCCTGAATCAAGAATTTTTGCACTAGCACTGAATCAAGAATTCTTGAAAACCAGTTCAGAATGGTTCCTAGGCCGAAGCTTTGAGAAGCCTGACAACCTGAGCATTCAGGAATCTAGTAGAATGATAGTCAGCATTCAGCATTCAGCACTCAGCATTCAGCACTGCGCGTTTCACATTCAGGGGTATTCAGGATTCTCGAGCAGACCAAGGCCCAGGAACATCCGAGCCATCCAGATGTGGTTCAAATTTGGCGGGTGCCAGATCAGAAGGGCGAGAACAGGTTGCTCTTATTGGGTACCGAACCTGCAAGGCTGGCTTGAGAAACAGGCGCTTCGTTCTGGGCTTGTCAGGCCGCCAGCGAGTTTGAATTCCCCGCCAATCTCTGAACTGAAATTGCACCTCGAAATCACCATGATGAGTTGTTGGATACTGTACAGTCTACACGGAATTTTACTAGCTGGAATTATCATTTCATGAAGCCAATAACTTATGACCCCAAGCAATAGGTGCCGTCCGATTAAAGGCGCCGGCGCTTCTATCTGGAGCATGGCGCTTATGGCCGGAACTCGATTATAAGCGCCCCCCTTGTAAACCCCTGATTTATTATAAGCGCATGCATAATTTTATTTTTTCAATCTTGATTAAAACAGTAACGGATCTCAACTTCCAAGCGAGTCAGCACCCATTTTCACCTTGTTTGACTTTCGAGGTCCTGACTGGTTGCGCGTCCAGTCAGGATGAGGTGGCACGCTGGCAAATTGACGTGCCAAATGCTCTGTTCAGCGTCAGAGAATCACCCTCGCGCGATTCTGATTCAGGACGCTGTAAAATTTCGACTCGATTGAACTTACGAGACAGAAATGTACAATTCAGTGCTTTTAATTTATAATTCTATATTTGCCATGATTTAAGCGCCGGCGCTTATGGCCGTGATTCAATTACAAGCGCCACCCCTAATAAATACCGATTTTATTATAAGCGCAGATGCGCCTATATCCGGGGTAATACGGTACATCACATCAGCCTAGAAAAACAAATTCGGGCTATGTTTGTATCAAACGTTACTCCATGTAGGCAACGGGGAATGAAAACTATAAATCATACAAACTTGTAACCTCAAACAAAAATGCAAGAAACATGCTGTACAGTGTTAAAATATATTTATATTATAATGTAACTGCATGTAACTTAGCTAGTGTAGTATCATTTAAGTTTCTACCACTGGTGGTGTACCCCTCTTGACCACCATCCCTACCACTATATCTTGTATTTCACTCATAGTACAATCCCTTCTTTGCTTGGCCAACACTCTCTCCCACCAAACCCTAAGGCTCTCTCTAGCTACTATTCTAACATGGTATAGAGCTGTAAAACGGTCTAAGGTGTTGAACTATATTTATATATGTTCTTTATAATTGACTGAAGTGTAGAGTGTAGCACATCCCAACTTGCTGTAGGTGGTGCACCATGCTTCTCTTTACTATATCTTGTACTCATGTTTCTTAGTGAAACCCTCTTCTTTTGCCTAACTCTCTCTTGCCTAGTTAGGTAAACCCTAGCTATGGCTCCTTCCTCTAGCTACTATTGTGACATGTTATCAGAGCTCGTTATGTCCTGGCCTGTGGGCCCCAATTATGCTTCCGCTGCTGTGCCGCGCGCTCGGGGCGAGCGGCGTTTTTTCTTCCCGCCGGGCGCTCGGGGCGCGCGGCGGTTTTCTGCCCCGTCGGCCTGCGCGTCGCCTCCCCCGCTTTCCCCGTCGCGGCGCCCAAGGGAGTCGCGCGCGGCCCCCCGCTGCCCCGTCGCGGCGCCCTGGGGAGCCGTGCGCAGCCCCCGTTTCCCCGTCGCGGCGCCCAGGGGAGCCGAGCGCGGCCCCTCGCTGCCCCGTCGCGACGCCCTGGGGAGCCGCGCGCGGCCCCCGTTTCCCCGTCGCGGCGCCCTGGGGAGCCGCGCGCGGCCCCCCGCTGACTCGTCGTGGCGCCCAGGGGAGCCGCGCGCCGACCTCGGGGACGCTCGCGCCCGTCCCCGTGGACCCGCGCGCCCCTCCCCTGGACCTACGCGCCGCCCCCGGGTACCTCTGCGCTCCCCCCCGTCGACCCGCGCGCCGCCCCCGCTGCTTCCCGCGCTCCTACCTGCGTTAGGGTTTGGGGGGTGGCGGGCGTGGGGGTGCACGGTGTGGGTAACCTGCAGCTCCTCCTCCTCCTTCGTCTCCCACTGCTGCAGCTGTCGCTGAGGGGGGTGGGTGTGTGGGAGCCGAGGGTTTAGGGTTTAAGGGGGGTGCCGTGGGAGTGGAGCTAGGGTTTCAGCAGGGGGTGTGTGAAAGGGGGTGGGACAGTTGGGGGAGTTTGAGTGGAGGTAGCAGTCTTGTCGTCCGCAGCGCCTGTAGTCCGGGGCCCTTGCCGCTGGTAGCCCAGAGAGCCTGCTGCGCCTGTCGCCCGTGGGTCCGTTGCTCCTGTCTGAGCCTGTTACTCCTGTAGTCCGGGGCCCTTGCTCCGGTAGCAACTGAGCCAGCCGCTCCTGTGGCCCGTGTGTCTGCAGCTTCAGCAGTCGCCTCCCATCTCTTCTCCTCTCACAGTCACTCCTCCTCCTCACTTCGCCTCTTCTTCTGCTGCGCCCTGCAGGGTGTACCACTTCAGGGGGTGTTCTGTACATGGTTCTCACTGCAATCAATTAGGGGGTATGTTGAACTATATTTATATATGTTCTTTATAATTGACTGCAGTGTAGAGTGTAGCACATCCCAACTTGCTGTAGGTGGTGCACCATGCTTCTCCTTGCTATATCTTGTACTCATGTTTCTTAGTGAAACCCTCTTCCTTTGCCTAATTCTCTCTTGCCTAGCTAGGTAAACCCTAGCTATGGCTCCTTCCTCTAGCTACTATTGTAACATAAGGACCTATTTTTTTCTTTTTTTTTTTTTTCTTTTTTTTCGTCCGCCCGTTTGCGCCTGTTGCGAACTGCGCGTCGCGCAAGTTTCGCCCTGCCCGTCCGAGCGCGTTCCGCCCTGCCCGTCCCGTCACGTCCGTGGCACCCTGCCCGTCGCGCCCCTCTTCGCGCCTCCCGTCGTCCGCGTCCCCTCCCCTCCCCCCCCCCCCCCCCCCCCCCCCCAACCCCCGTCGCCAGCGACGAGCGTCGGCGCAGGCGCCAGCGACCAGCGCCAGCGCGGACGCCAGCGCCGGCAGCTTCTCACGCCGCCCCCCACCACCCTCCCTCCCTTTCGCGACTTCCGTCGTAGGGGGGGGGGGGGGGGGAGGGGGAGCTGTGGAAGTGGCGAGTGAGATCCATCAGCAGCCCGTTCCCCCCCCTTCCCTCTTCCTCTTTCCCTGCATCAAATGTTGCTGTAGGGGTGGGGGGGGAGGGGGAGGAGACAGGTTCAGGGGGGAGGGAGGAAGGAGAAGAGTGTAAGGGGGGATGAGAGGTGAAGGGGGTGGAAAATGAGTGAGAGATAAAGAGTGTGGTTCTTTTTGTTTCTCGTTTCACGTTTCTTGTCGTGTCGTTTCTGTCATGTCCGGGCGTGTTCGCCCCTTGTCGCACACACCGGGCATCCACTGCGGGGGTTAAACCGCAGGCGGGAAACTCCATCGTGTGTTGTATCGGTGGGCCCAGCTGCGGCCCGGTGAAGTCTGCACTTGGGTTACGTCTCTCCCCTATACTAGCTTTCGCTGCATGCAGTTAAGGGGGGATGTTAAAATATATTTATATTATAATGTAACTGCATGTAACTTAGCTAGTGTAGTATCATTTAAGTTTCTATTGTTGGTGGTATACCCCTCTTGACCACCATCCCCACCACTATATCTTGTATTTCACTCATAGTAGAAGCCCTTCTTTGCTTGGCCAACACTCTCTCCCACCAAACCCTAAGGACGCGGCACCTCTAGAAATTTTGCACGATCGATCCTAGGATCGCTGATTCCACCGCACTGAGATCCTGCCAAAAACATTTACATCTTCTGTCAAACTATATGTGCTGCATATTGTCTAGGCTGTAGTGGGGTAGCCCATATGGGGTACAACCCAATTAGGGTTTACTACTTGTACTCCTGCATCCTGTTAGTTCATCCATTCCTGCTGCTAGATTCTGACATGGTTTCAGAGCACTAAGGTCCGTAGGACCGTTTTTTTTCGGGCCCACCTACCGCTGCGGTTACCGCGCTACCCCACGTACCTGCCTGCCTTGCCTTGCCTTGTGACGTGCTGCACTATGCGCGCCGTCCAGCAGCCCTAGCGCTGCCTCCTGCTGCCCTAGGCCAGCGCGCTGCCCCTAGAGGCCCGTAAGGCCCACGCGCCGCCCCTAGAGGCCCGTAAGGCCCGCGCGCCGCCCCTAGAGGCCCGTAAGGCCCGCGCGCCGCCCCTACACGCCCGTCAGGCCCGCAAACAGCCCCTGCAGACCGTTAAGCACGCTACTGCCACGCGCTGCCCGCACCGAGCCGCGCGCAGCCCGCTGCAGCCGCGCGCAGCCCGCTGCAGCCGCGCGCAGCCTGCACC